GGGCTAAATATAGGAACCGTGTTCTATATTAAGGTAGCCGACGCTAGCCGTACCACACTCCGTAGGCTAGCTGGCTAGGAATACGTACTCCGTCATAAACTGCACAGAATATTACCGTAGAGGGGGCTCCAGAGGCAGCAAGCGAGCGGCCGCAGCGTGCAAAACCTAAGTGCAGTAGGTGCGCATCAACAGATTGTAATGCACGTACGTGCGCTAAGAGGCAGGTAACTGGCTAGCAGACAGCTATATTAAATACAAGCGTTTATTGTTAAGAAATTCATAATATTCGGCGTTGTGGTTTGGTGGGTGGCCCATATACCCAGGTAGCCTACTTACCCGTGAAATACGTTGTCCGTCCTTAATAATTCTAATAAAGCTCGCCCGCCCCGGCATGGTGCGTGCTTCATCTTATTGTCAACTGTGCCCTAACATAAATGCTGAGAGCAAATTGTATCCCTTAACCCGTCGATGTGCAACATTTTAATATTGTTCTTAAAATGGCCAATCGGATTAAGTCGATAAGCTAAGCGAGGCGCACCGATTGGTTACGGTAACGTAGGACGATAATCGACGGGTTAAGGGATATATCGTGATAACTGCGACCCTTCGCTGGCAAGACGCCTGTTTACTTGCCGTAAGGCCTGTAATGCTATTAGACAAGGTCTTTTACCTTCTCTTATTCTAAAGAATGCGCCGCTAGATGTACCTTCTCAGTCACGTGATCATCTCGCTATTCTATTAGAAAAGGGGAAGTTAGTAGAACGCAGAGTGAATAGCTCGCGGCCTAGAACAACCTTAGATTAGTAGCGAGCTCTCTTGTCTAGTCCTGTAATCGAGTGGTGTATGCGTTGCGACCAAAAGAATTAAGGTAAGGTCTCTCTGGTGAATGTCGGAGCTTAACAGCCTGCCAAGCAATAGCGTCGTGAAAGTGTTGTAAGTGTGACTAACCTTAGGTATATATCTTCTATAGTTTTGCTCCTTCAACCGTCATGTTTCGGCCCGAGCGCACAAACCCTCCGGTAGCGTACTGGTTACGATTTTAGGAGGAGCGCGAACGCTGATCCCGCTGTCAAACTTCCTTCTCAATCTTATAAAGAGCGTCTAGGCTTAGCCTAGGTTCGAATCCCGCTCCAACCTAGCACAAAAAAAATCAATCACCTTCATCTCCTTCATGAGCGTCCAGGCTTAGCCTGGGTCCAATTCCCGCTCTGAATTCCTTTTTTTCTTTTTGTCCCCTCCCTTTCTCTTTTCACGTGACCACCGCGTTCCCTTTCACAATAAATGATCCACCAGCGTTTGTATTGTCGACGAACTAAAAGACCGTGGCGATGTAGCGCGAGGCGGGACATCCAAGGAAATATTGCCTTCAGGAACTGAACTAGACCCGCCATGCCGATCTGACAGCTTTTTCACGTCGCCAAGGCAGCATTTACTTATTACTCTGGTCCTTTACAGCCCCAGTGGCCAAGCATGGATATGCAGCTACAGACGCAGTAGGTGGAATCAGAACTTAGGACCGGGAGGGCCTATTCTTGGAATGAAGATTACCGTGACCGTGCTGAATTACTGAAAGTACGAGATCCTATCTTGAGGCGTTTACTCTCACCGCTATTACCCCTACTATACAGATGACCTATGGCATGGATCCCGCGCTAGGCCACCAGGCGTACGAGGGGCTGTACAAAGTTTCCGGCTAAGTCGAGATGTCTCAAAAGCAAGTCCATCCTAAGAGCGAGTCAGCCTTTCTCGTTGAGACCAAATTTGCAAGCGAAGGCAGACAGCCTTGTATTCTCGCTCATTAGCGATGAGCCCACCGCTACGCCTCTCCATTATCTCGCCGTCGCAGCGTGTCTGCCTTATTGGTACCACGCACTGCAGGCTGCGAAGGCGAAGCGGGCTCGCGTGAGGCTCTCACGTGCGTGCACAGTCGCAAAACTCCCTCCAAAGCTCTGGCCCCAATCTGATAAGATCGATACAACATAGTGGTCGCATAATCGAGCGTATTGTTGTGATAAAGAAACCAGCTAGATACCAACTCGATCAACAGCGAGTCGACCGAATGCGTCGGCAGCCCTGGCTTAGATCTCGGGAACTATCCCTACTAGCGTCGGCAAGGTTGTAGGTGACGAAGCGTTTCTGCCTTGAGGTGGGCAGCGCCACACAGTGCAGAGATGGGGCGAAGCATCACAGATTTCGCTGAGAACATCGTTCGTACTTTGTACACAGCCAGCATTAGATGCGCTAAGTATTGAAGTAGGCCAAGTATCATGGTTGTGCAGCACGACGAGTGTCAAAAACTTCAAATTTCCTCCTTAGAGCTCCAAAACAGATTCCACGTGATCTTTTCAGAAAATGGTGTAGACGGGCCCTACCACATTTTGGCTAATCAACTGGTCAGCTTTCGTCCCTTGCTACTGTTAATCAAGTACTTACTTTATATTCTACCAGGCCGAACCACTTCAAACACCATCCCGTTATGGAACCTCTTTCCGTCAGCGCTAGTGTTGCTGGTCTTGTTACCCTAGCCGATCTCGTCTTCAGCCGAACTTACAGGTATGTGTTGGCTGTTAAGGGAGCAAGCAAGGACATCAAGGCACTAGCCGAGGAGATTCGCTCACTTTCTGGACTATTTCATGGCCTGTCTTTGGTTTTGGGAGAATTAGAGACAGGAACGTCCTGGTCAAATCTGCGGGCCCACCAGCTTTACTCCTGCAACATCACCTTGTCAGAAATCAAAACAATTTTTGAGAAGCATAATCCGAATACGGCATTCGACCAACCTGTCAAGGATGCTTTCAAAAAGCTCAAATGGCCGTTCTCAAAGTCGCGGACTAAAGAACTTCTTGTTGAGATTGAGAGGCACAAATCTACAATAATTGCTGCTATGTGCGGAGATAGCGTCTCTGCAGTGATGGAAGTTTTGTCTGCTCAACATGGCGTGGCGGATGAGGTTAAAGATCTCACGAAAAGTTTGAACGCTAGATGGGCTATGGAGACTCACATAGCGTTGGACAAGAAACGTTGTGAGGTCCTAAATTACTTCGGGAAAATCAGCCCTCTCTCTAACCACAAGACCAATCTGAAGCTGTGGCACCCTACAACCGGTCTGTGGCTCACAGAGGGCCTAGTATTTCAGAATTGGCTACGAAGTTGAAACTCCAAGCTTTGGCTATCGGGCATTCCTGGCGCTGGGAAGACAATCCTGGCTTCGATCACCATCGAAGAAGCCATTAAAAACAGTGGTCCAGGCCGAGCTGTTGCTTACTTCTATTGCGACTACAAATCGAAAGACCGCCAGGACCCTATCCTTATATTGGGATCGCTTGCAACCCAGCTCGCAAGACAGAAAGAAGAGGCATATTCTTTGCTTGGAGGTCTTTTCGCAGCCTACCATCCGAAAGACGAAAGTCCTTCACACCCGGAGTTGGAACATTTGACGGACGTGCTGCAGAGAATGGCGGCACTATTCGATGACGTGTCTATCGTTGTTGACGCCCTTGACGAGTGCCTCGATGATTCCGAAACTGTAGTGAATTCGCTTGTCAGTTTGAACGCAGGGCACACCAGTAACATCCGAACACTCTTTCTAAGCCGAGATGAGGTTGACATCCGACAGCTGCTCATAGGAAGAGAGTATATCGAAGTGCCAATCGTCGCTCAATCTGACGATCTCAAAGCGTATGTGGCGGCCGAAATAGTGACTCGGGAACGAATGATTGGCAGGAAGAGACTCCGGCTAGGAAGTAGTGAGCTGAAGGAACACATCTCAAAGACTTTAGTTGAGCGGGCAAAGGGGATGTAAGTTGGACGTTGTCTTCTTCGAATCATCATCCTACCGGTTACGTTTCTCTTCCTAAGTCAAAGCTGATTTCTGAAGGTTTCGTTGGGTTACTTGCCAGTTGGATTATCTGTGCGAGCTGCCAACGGATGCCATGAGGCGCGACGCTCTTTACCAGTTACCACCAACGTTGAACAAAACATATGAGCGCATTCTCCGGCGAATCAATCCGGCAGTACGACTGCCTATACAGAGAGCTCTGCAGATGATCGGTCATTATGAGATATTAGCACCTCAGCTTTGTGAAGCAATGTCTATTGAGCCAGGTTGTCGTGTCTTGAATAAGGAGGCATGGTGGAACATTGAGGAGATCTTACTGCACTGTAGTAGCTTAGTTCGAAGATCGCATGATTCCGGTGAGTTGGAATTGGCGCATTTCTCTGTCCAAGAATATCTTGCCTCGCTCGACCCTAATTCAAATTCCGAGCTCGCGGGTTTTTCTTTGCAAAGTCTATACGTATCTACCTAGATTGCTCGGACTTGCTTGATCTACCTCAACTGCCATGACTTTCACGCCAACGTCTTGGAGGATTGGAGCAGCTGGAAAAATCAGAGCCTGGATCATCCGTTCCGCGAATTTGCTGTTCGCAACTGGGTAGACCTTGCTGAGGATAGCTGGGATAACAAGTCAATTGTCCCTCTCGCCCAAGAACTCTTCGGGCCGTCGAAAACATGCAACTTCGTATCTTGGATCCGCGACTATGCTTTTCTTTGTACCAATGCATAACTGGAGGACCATGAGGACAATGATCAATCCCACGTCTTTGGCAACATAAGCGAGGTTATTTGCACTGGAAGCCTCACACCTCTTCATGCCGCCGCTGCTCTGGGAATTTCGGAACTGTGTTGATGGTTGATCATCTCAGGGTGTGACATTGACCAGGGAAGTTGTTTCGGGACCCCAATCCATTGCGCCATCATTGGGGCCTACGCGCTGGTGGACTGTATCAACGACATATCTGAATGGCGAAGCTCAGGATCCATCAATTGCTATAGACAACGGAACCGAATGGAAGTTCTCGATTTACTACTTAAAAAGGGGGCCGACCCGAATGCATTGTATCGGGACCGAGCAGGCAAGCTCCATTGGTCAACACACCTTGCTCTTCGCCTAAAACCAAGGGTGGAGGCCGATCACCCTGTCGCCAAACTCATTGCCGCTGGAGCGGACCTCAACTCAAAGGCAGTCCAGACCCTGGAAAGTATATTAAGTCGAGAGGAAGCAAGAAGCTTTCATGAAGATCTCTGCAAGTCTCTTGAAGCTCGTTCAGTGGAAGACGACCAAAACATTCGATGGCTGAAGGCACTGTTACAATCTAAGGATTCTAAGTTCTCGCCAACGTGGCAGAGCGAGCCCCTATGGCAGAGTCAACTCTCCATGGGTGAATTGACAACTCTGTTTCGTAGCTCAATCCGCTACGATCAAACAGAAGTTATTCAGAGATACCTGGAAAGTACGAAATTGACGACAACTTTACGAATGGGGACAATGAACGAAATTGCTCTGCACGTTGCCGCTCAAAACTGTTCCATCAATGCGCTAGAGCTTTTACTGTCATTAGGGGCGGAGGTTAACGCTGTCTCAAAGCATGGTCTTACGCCTTTGCATTACATCGTTGCCCGGGAAGAGCCCCCAAGCACTACCTCGGCTTGCATACTCAAATTGCTTGACCGCGGTGCTTCAATCTATAGCGCCGATGAAAAAGGGCGGACTGTCTGGCATGTCGCTGCTGAGTATAACAATGATGTAGCTCTGGACGTGCTGCTGTTACAGACTAAGAATATGGCTTCAGCCCTCTTGCTTAAAGACCAGGCTGGGTTCATTCCCGTGTACACTGCAGGCCGCAAGAAGTCTAAGGAAGTCTTTGAAAAGCTTGTCGCAAATACCGCTGATATCCCGGAAAGTTGTCCCGACGGGTTTGGTCTGGTCCACTATGGTGTTCGCTTCAATGATCTGGCATTATTGAAGACTTTGCAGGAACGAGGATGTATGCTTGAGCAGGAAACCGCAATTGGTGGTACTGCTCTGCATGATCTCCCTCCTGGTCCCGAGCTAGCTGTTGTTCAATTCCTCGTTGACACTGGTTTGGACCCTGAATCTGTCACACACCAAGGGCTGACTCCTTTACATCACCTTCTCGAACACGGGCTCCCAATTTCTCGAGAAGTACTCAAAGTACTTGCCACGCAACATGTAATCAATTTGACGACCAAAGATGGGTTCGGTGTGTTGCATTTCGCGATCGGCGTAACAAGGTCTTCCAAAGCAGGCATTCGTTACGACCAACGGATGCAATCAGTTCAAGAGCTGGTGGCCGAAGGCGCTGATCTCGATGCCGTCGACATTGAAGGAAGGTCTTGTCTCCATACACTTCTTGAAGCGCATCATCGGTTGATAAGCTCGCCTGCACCATGTTTAACCGATCTCATTTGCTATTTTTTTCGAAACAGCAAGCAGAAAGACTTGTTGAGGACACCATTCAGCTATGGAGAAGAGCTTTTACTGCCTCTTTTATGGGCATGTATGTACAGCGTCGATGAGATCATCGAGTTGTGTATAGCAAACGATGTCGATGTAGATCTGACGCCCGCAACATCTGGGCTATCTCCCATTGCCTACGCTTGTGCGTGCAACTGTGACACCGCACTTTTCCGCCAACTCCTTGCCAAGTCTAAATACTTGCACGAGGCCGACGCTAACGGGTATTATCTGCTCCATATCGCTTGTTTTCAAAGTTCAAGTTGCAGCCGCTCTCTCTTAGAGGAAATATGTAATGCCGGCTTGGATATCGATCTCGTAGCGACCAATAAGTCACGAGAAACACCATTGATGCTTTCTGCAAGAAACCAAAAATTCCAGCATTTCGAGTTTCTTCTCCAACACGGAGCCCAGCTGCATGCAAAGGACTCTAAAGGCTGGGGAGCATTGCATCATGCTGCGGTTAATGGGTGGTCTGAAATCTTTGAGGAGCCCAAACTAGTTCGTGTTGATTGGGAACATGTTGTCGAAATAGAAGGTACCATATGGCGAGGTTGCAATGTGCTTCATCTAGCCGCCTTTCTCGGAAAAGCTCGTGTTGTTCGGGCTCTATTAGAGGACCACTCAGTACCGAGCGTTAATTGCATCAACGACAACGGAGCGCAATCACTCTTCCTCGCTGCGATCCATGGAGATCCTGAGACTATCAAGACGCTACTCCTAGCGGGCGCCGATATCGACGCCGACTTTGCGGGCTATGGCGGCGCTATCTTCGCTGCTGCAGAATGTGGAAAGCTTGAAGCTGCACAGATACTTCTTCAACACAAGTGTTCACTAATTCCGAACTCACATGGCTTGAGCCCACAATTTGCTGCGTTGGAAAATGGCCATCGAACCTTGGCTGGTGTACTCCGAGATGCCGAATTGAAAGAGAGTACGTTACCACCATTTGTTCAAACATGTTTCTGCCCCTATCATTAACCATATCTTTCATGACCAATTTCATTTTATGCTTTTGTCATTCACTGTGCAAGCTATTCGTGGAGCCGGTCGAGATTGATATTGACTGATTACAGGAACGTGCCGTCAATCAGAGGAGAAGCTCAGTCAAGGTGCCATGTTAGGATCTATTGGATCAAGAGCTCTGGGACTCGCAATCAAGGCTAATGATATACAACTCTGTCGAGCCCTACTCGAAGATGGCTTGAATCTACATGCCGAAATTCCTGAAACACCAGATAGACCTACGCCAATACTGGCGGCCTTAGCACTTAATAAAGATGAGATCGCTAAGTTTCTCATTGAGCAAGGCGCGGGCTCTTCAGGACAAAATTTTCTGCACTCTGGTCCGCTCTATGGCTACACGGCCATTCATCTTGCCAGTCGCAGAGAACAACATCAAGACATTCTACGGCAGCTTCTCTCCAAACAAGAAAAAGCTCTCCAAGGTCTCGATGATTTCAAAAATGCGATACATCCTTTTCATGTCGCCGTAGCATGTAAGAACCAAGCCGGCCTCAAGCTTTTACTGGAGCACTTTTGCGGTCAGCCTAGCCTAGAAACGCACACATCGATATCAGATTTTATCGAAATTCAAATTGACAAGCACCGCGCAGTACAAAGTTCTCTACTTTCTGGAGAAGGGGTCTACCAGAGCCAACACCTAACGACTCGCGACGTTCCAACAGGTACAGCACTTCACGTGGCCGCCCGAGTGAACAATCTTCCGGCACAGAAATTACTACTGTCTTACGGAGTCGACATCAATTCAAGAGATAGTGATCTAAGAACCCCTCTACACATCGCTGCTCTTTGCAAGAACACAGCCTCCGTCGACTTTCTACTTCGAAAGGGCGCGAACCCACATTATCAAAACCGATCTATGTGTACTGCCGCAATATTGGCAGCGAAAACCGGCTGCGCAAGGACACTGAAGTGCTTCCATCGAAAAAACGCCATTATATCCAAGCGCTCATCCGAAGGATTCACCATCATGCATCATGCTGCTTATGGATCACCAAGCGCTTTCTCCTTCCTTCTTGGCTTAGGCTACAACCCTTATGACCCTGCACGAGACAGCCGAACTCCAGTTGGGGTCGCCTGTCAAAGTATGCATATCCACCCTACATTTCCAGCGTTGATTTGTAACTTTGGTCTCGATTTCAGTGCCGAAAGGAGTAATTTTCCCCTCCCAGACTTGACCGATGCCAATCTGCCTACTCTGAAAATGTTCCTGAGGCGGATGACAAAAACAGCAGCAAGCCGCATAATCAGTGCACAGCCGAGTGAGGATAGTCTCGTTTGCATAGCAGTGCAAAATGCGGCCTATTCGATGACTGAATTCCTAGTTCAACACGGTGCGCATCTTGAAGCTGAGGGTAGACGCCAGCAAGGCACAGCTTTAATCATAGCATGCGAAGCCAGCCGGCTACCGCATGTGAAGCTGCTCATCCGATCGGGAGCGAAGATCTTCGGTACGAAACAGGGAGAACCCATTAGTGCCGTGTATTCAGCTCGCCACTTTCCAGAGATCGTTCAGTGGTTGCTGGTTGGGCGGTACGTGGAGCAGAAACAACTAAGTTCAGGCCAAGATGGTGTGGAGGAATACCAAGCTGTGCGACAATGGTCCGGTCCACATAGAGCGAAAATTTCTACTGTTGGGTTGTATGTGCTCGGGTACACTCGGGTTGCAGCACTACAACCTAGGGTCAGCAACTCATATGCAGTAACGTATCAGGATAACATGCTGATACAGGAGGAAGTAACAGGTAGTGCAACAGCAGTGCTGCAGCACGGTATCAGTACTGTATCAGGAAACAGGATGAATCAAGTAACGCGTCAGGAAGAGATACCACGTTATGCCCCCGGGGCTGGCCCCCCTCCTTCCCCTAGTATATAAACAACGAGCTAGACACCCATGGAAATCAGAGTTCACATCAATTTCAACCTGAGTGGTACGGGGCCTCTACAATGGATCAGGCCGTGGCATTGCATCGGCTTCGAAAGAGTCTTCTAGGGAGAGTTGTTGAAATACTGCCGGAAGATACCAGTGGATAAGAGCGAATGTAAATTCTTTGTTTATCTAAGAGACATGTGTACATGTCAGAGTAATGACTTGAAGTAGAGCACCACTGCAAAGCACTCCCGTACTCATCGAAACCGGCACACGCCCATCTGCTGGGAAGATACCTCCGGCATAAGGATATTACGTTGGACGTGATGCAAAGATACTAAGAGCGTATGCCATACTGAGTCACTAGAATACACGGGCGGATATACGTGACAATAGAGCTCCGGACGAAGCTCCAATGCACAGCTCCTCGGCGGCTGTCTCGGCGGTGCTTTCATTGCGTTTACCAACGTATTTCTTCGCGACGACCGTCTACCGACTAGATGGATCGCCGGAGCTTATCCAATTGCCGAATGGTCTGTCTTGGATCTTCTTCGCCATACCATTCGCCAGTCTCTTGTGCCAGGATCTCGCCTTCTCACATGCGATTTTGCTGGATCGACGACCGGAGCCGCTGTTTCCTCGCTGGCTCGATTTCGTGACATCGGGCTTGACGCTTACGTTTTGACCAGCGCTGGGTGTGCGTTGTGTGCATCATGGGGCTGTGGCTTGGAATGGAGGGTTGGCGTTCTGGACGGCGGGTGTTGGGGGTGGGCTGCTGACTTGCAACTACTCTTTATACTTGGCGTGTAATTGACGGGAAAGATCTCCCCGGCGATGGGGAAATGAGACATGGGATTAAGGCAGATAGAGGATTGTTGAGGCGGAGGTTGAGGTGCTGGTGGAGAGATTATTTGAGGATCGAAAGGTGGTCGAGCATTCGGAGAAGGACAGCGGTTGAGGCTATTTGAACTTGAGTTCAGAAGGTGATCAATGTTATTTTCTGGCTTTGAGTCTGAGCTCTTGTTGCTTTGCCTCACCTCTACGTGAGGGCGGGCGACAGGGGGTTCCCGGCGAGAGCTATTGAAGCTATAGGGATGTATTGATTGATTTTTATTCATTTTTGGTTATGAAGAATCACGTCTCACTGCTCTGGTAGATTATCACATCCATAAAGACCTTCTCAAACCGTGGATTTATTAAAACTTGACTCTCGAGTTCGGCAAAAGTTGCATAGTAGAACGGTTATCCTTGAGAAATAGCAAAAACCGTCACATATCCTAAGCTTTCTCGACGACCTGACTTGGTGCTTCCACATCAGCATTAGAGTTGTTGACGGTATTCCGATGGCGTGGCTGCAGTTCCGGCGAATGCAATTTTGCTGCTACGTCGTTGGTCAACAGGTGGTCGATGTCTCTGGCGCATGCAGCACAGACTGTAGCAACGACGCCGAATGGGATGGCAACAAGGTAAACAAGTCTAAATTCTATTGGTTAACCATCACATTTTTTGACATTGAATTTATGGTTGTAACTTACCTAAATCCCTGAGCATAAGACTCCTTTACTGCTTGAGCTGCCGCACCTATGACAGGTAACGTGACGCCAGGCACTCGCTCGATTGCTGCTGTAGATCCGCTTAGAAGAGCCACAATCAAAGGCCCGAGGCTGCTTTTCGGAAGTCCAAGTGGAAGTACCGCAGCTGCAATTTTTCCAGGTAGGACTTCCTGGACCTTGTTGGTAAGGATTGTGCTGTACATGGCGGTTGCAATCGAACCACCGATAGAACGTGCGGAACCATTCAGACCAACTGCAACTCCAATGTCTTCGTCAGGGCAGTTAAGCATGATCATTACAATGCCCACAAGTTGAAGAAAGCCGATGGTGAGTCCGGTAAGTGTGGTAAGTGCAAGCGCTGCTCCAAGCGTTGAAGGTGCTGGATGGGATATCAGTAACAAGTTGTAGAAAATTCGTCTGCGTTTAAGGTACTCACTCATCGCTGCCATACATCCTATAAATATGGTGTTCAGACCGACAGAACCCACAAAGATCAGTCTAGCGTGGCCGATTCTCCCTAGAATACTCCCCATCAGGAGAACACCAACAAAAGTCCCCATTAGAAGAGTACAATCCTCCCACGCAGCAACAGCAGGGTTAGACTCGTATACAGTCGCGATTTGAACAGGATAAATGGAAATCATCGCGTAGAGTAACATGCCTCCAACGAACTCTGCTACTAGTACCATGGTAAAGCCGCGAACATTCTGAAAAAGTTTGTACGGCACGAGAGATTCGTTGAGGTTTCCAAAAACCTCCCAAAATCCAAATGCGACAAGAGCCAATGCACCGATAATTAGAGGGACAATAACTCCAGCACTCTTCCAAGGATAGGTGACACCTCCCCAAGAGATGCCTAGAAGCAAGACGGTAATGCCGCCTATAAATAGAGTTACACCAATAAAATCGAAATCTTTAAACTCTTGCCATTTTGTACGACGGTCCTTACTGTGGACCTCCTCAAAGGTTGGAGGAAAGTAGAGGCAAATCAATCCGACTACACTAATGCCAGCAGTTAAGAGGGTGATCCAAAAACCCCATCGCCAGGAAAGCTTAGTAGCAACATGGATAGCTTTTAAGTCAATTAGCGTAATTCATCAAGGGACTAATAGGTAAAGCAGAAAAATGGATGCATACCAATAGGGGTACCAAAGGCACCTCCAATTATTCCACTGCCTGCAACGGCAGATGCAGCTTGCGGTCGGTATTTCCTAGGGACAATCTCACCGACAGCAGCACTGGACGTTTGCTGGATAGCTGCGGCCGTACCATTGAGACCAGTGGCAAGGATAACTACGCCGATCGATTGCGCTGTCCCACCAATAATAGAGGCAACCACGCAGAGAATATTTCCGCCGATCATCAACCAGCGACGGCCAAAGAGATCGCCGAGACGTCCATCGATGGTAATAGTAGCAGCAAATGCAAGAGGCCAAACAATCTGTATCCACACGTAATAAGGCTTTGGTCCCAGATCCGCGTTGATATATGTGGCAATTGGTGCGCACAAGGTAAGCGAAAAGAAGGAGGCATTGTACTGGATCATCATGATCTAAATTATGTATGTGAGTACGCGTCGAACTCCATAGCTATCAAGGAGTCCTACGATGAATGTCAGAACAATCTTGTAATCAAGATGCCACTCTGGGTCCTCCAGATCCTGAGGGCCTTGGGTATCGGACTGATATGCGACAGGTACCGACGGTTGCTCTTCATGATGAAACGCCTGAGGCACCCCTTCCTTCGACAAGTTGATGTCCGACATTGCGCGCTTGGTACAGATTTCCCAAAAGCAATCAGCAGTAGAGTATCAATATGATAAATAGACCTGCCAACAGACGAATACCGTGAAAAATGGAGCCTGTGGGGAAGGACAAGGCCTATATAAAGCTTTTCCCAGCACCCCGGGTTCCAACAGCTTCCCCGCACCCAGGAGCTCATCCATTATGCATGAGACCAACCAGCATCCCGGAACACCCATGTCATATCCGTAGTCTTGGAAACGCCAGCTGGTATATTTCAACATAGTTTACCCGAGCGACATAGTTTACCCGAGTGATTTGCCTAACGAGCCTTATAAAGTAAGCCTGGGTTTTCAGGGTATTTTACTAGTAAATTGTAAGAGAAAGTAAACGGTAGGGAGCTTCAGATGGAATTGAGTGTATTCGGGCTAAATCAATAGAGAGACGAGTTCTTGGAGAACCCGGAGGATCGTAGGATCCAGGCTATTTAAGGCGAGCATCAAGCGACCACATGCCTCACGCAGGGGCCGAACAGTCTCAAGCGGGAGGCTAGGTCTCAGCCAGATATCTATACTGTATCTCGCGGCTGTAGATAGCTCCATCATAGTCATGTTAAACGACGTATATCCATCTATATCGACAACGAGGCAATCAGGGAGTAAAATCTTTGCTGCCCCAATGGCTGCGGGGGTAGACCATATCCCATTGTATCCAGGGACCAGGCCTCCGGAAGTGACCATAGTTCCGGGGTACCGCCATCGAAAGTACTGAGCTGCGAATATCTGGTGCTAGCAAACCCCCGTCGCGATGATCGTTTTTTCCTTAATGTGTGCTTTAAGATCACTGAGTTTTTCAACAACCCCTGCGCCATGACCGTTCCGGGCGTGCTATGCCTTTTCATAAGCTAAGAGAGGAGATCTTGACTTCCATCTGTTGATCTGGCCCAACCACTCCGGCCTGTCAAATATGCACTCGATTCGGGGGATGAGATATTTGAGGTTCTCCACTGTCACTTTAGCCACAGGGACGGATGGTCCGGAACATCATCTGCTAGAAGCCTGTCTCAACACCCAGGTTCAGCACTGGCACTACTACAGTGATGTGACACTGCTGCTACGTTGCTACTACGCTACTATAACTATATGAGCTACAGGTTACCTCGAGATGGGATAGCACAATCAAAGCACTCCGATATGAGACAGATGGCATGGCGATAGTGGGACGGGTCAGTGCTGGCTTTGCAGGGAGGATGTAGTAATCTGATTGCATACAGCCACTTCTAGATATCGACGTCGGTGTCACGGAACAAGGAGCTGTAGGCCGTGTACGTGATGTATTGGATGATGATGATAAAGAAAAGAGAGAGGTCTGAAGGAAGGTGAGGCTATATACAAGAGGTGCTGTGCACCTGCTGTAGCCCTCACCGCTACTCCCTGACAGTCGGCGACATTGAAGGGGGATAGACAGAAGAACATACTAAGTCAATAGACAGTGAGATCGAGGTGGAAATAGTTATCGCGGATGATTTGCAAGAAATGCGAGAGCCTGAATCAAGTCTATCTCAAGCCGCTAATGAGGAGAAATTCAGAGCATCATCTCCAGGTCCCCAAACATACAAGACATCCTCAAGAGCTCGTGTAGGCTCTATGACTCATGGCGTCCGGCACATGTTCAAAAGCGTTGGTCTCGAGGTCACCGATATACAAGGCACTGAAAGAGATGGGCGAATATCGAAAGAGGATATCCAGCGAGACATATCGGAGACTTCATCTCCATCGCCTCCTACCAGCAGTCCTAAGGTCACTACAATGCCGCAGATTAGCTCAGAAGATCGTCTGGTCTCCTTAACACTGACTGAGAATGCGATGTTCAAGACCATGACTCGATCTGTTACCATCTCACACTTTCTTTATACAGTTCCGTCGATGTAAGCACTCTCAATGCACTGCGCAGAAAAATCAACCTCGGCATGCACTCCATCCCCAGGTACTGCGCCTAGTATAATGTGGGCCTTGTCCGCAAAAGTCGTAGTCTCAGAAGCAATAACGATATCGCACAAGGTAGGAAGTTCCGAATGGATAAAGACAGGTCCACTGACAACTGCAATAACCGGCATCTCAATCTGAAGTAGGTTCTGTAGGAGGCTTTCCCCCTCCTTATAGATACGGTGTCACTCATTAGTCGAAAAATCCTTCTGGTCTGGAGCTGTGGTGTCCCAATCCACTAGGAACCTGTCGCCAGTACCCGTGAAAATCACGGCTTTATTCTCTGGATCGGAGGCAACTGCTTAAAATGCATCTCCAAGTTCAGTATGTAGTGCCCCATCAGTAGCGCTCCACGTCGCAGGACCGCCATTAGCATGGATTGTAATCTGTAGGATGCCCTCCTCTCGATTAAACTTAATGCAGCGAAAGCAGTCGCGATATTGATTGAATTGCATATTTTCAAGATAAAGTGTTAGATATTAAGGAATATTACGAGTTCTTTTCCGATCAGGCGACTAAGTATTATTCTATAATCTTCAAAGTTTGTGTTGGTGGTGATTTCACACAAACCTCCATAGCAATGAATGTATAATAATGAAGATGAGGTACAGGACGGAGAAGTATATAGAGTTTCTCCTGCACTCAGGTCTCGGGACACCTGCCTTGCGACCGGTTGAAACATGCTGTTTCCAGGTAGTTCGGATTCTAGCTAGATCTAATTGTCCCTGGCATCTGAGGGGTTAAATAGCCGGTCAGCCAGAGCTTCGCCGGCTAAATTACCTTCCGGACTGATGATATCGAAACAGCACAAAAGCCAGATAAAGACATATATTCAACATCTGCTTTACGAATCATCTCGACTCCCCTCATCTTTAGGTATGGTAGAGGGCATGCACAGTTCAATATCCGGCTACACGATCAAGTTCCAATAGAAAAAGAAGAATCACAAGATTCTTTTGTATTTAGGCTCGGGGCCGGCGACTTTCGAAGAGTCACTACTACATTTAAGACGTGCCGTATTAGACTAGCGAGCAAGGAACTACTGATAATGAAAAGGGTTGGGCGCAGGATTTTAGTTCCGGCACCATTCGGAAACTCATTTATGCGATGCGACACTTTATACCCCTGACTGATAGGTCGGTTCTAACTGGTGTAGAGTCCCTCATGCTAACAACTGCATGCACCGAACCTGTTCCCCCAGATTTCTCGGCTTTTTATACTCCAGTAAGCCCCGTGCGAACAGAGCGAGTGTCCATTCTGCATCCGTGGCTGACATTCATGGGAAGGGGGGAGTGTTGAAAGAGTTGGGGTGGAGCGTTGAAGTTGACGGGCACGCTGGGGGCGCGAATGGTAGTCCTCATATGATCGTTTTGGCACAGCACCTAAGGATTGAATACATCCTTGGGCTAATAGAGAGCGACGTCCACACGACGTCAAAAGCTTTATGGGCTCTATCAGAATAATTAACTCTACCTCGCACCACCGGACGACTTTGGACGAAATATCTTAAGCGCCGGTCGCACCACCAATCCCTTCGTTGCTGTCCCTAGAATCTTCGTGAGCTTGTCCGGCAGCGGCTGCAGACTCTCTCATGCCTCGCCTCTTGGATCCTAGTATGGAGCGTAGTCCTTTCTTGCAAAAGCTCTCGGATGCGCTGTACTTCGTGGAGCTCAGCATCAACTCGGCGTTCAGCTTCCTCGAGCTCGGAGAGATTGGTAGTTATACTGGAGATAGATCTAGGTGGAAGGGGCGACGTGGCTTCTCCAGGGCTGGGTGAGTGAGCATGTGGAGTGCTAGGCCGCGGCAGGGTTAGAACGCGAGGTGGGACATCCGGAGGGGGTTCGGCTTCAAAAACCGTGACTGAAGAGTTGGGTCCCGTTGTCCACCGAGTAGATTCTCTGTTCATACTCGTTGGTAGTTCCACGGGCGGAGGTGGGGCACTTTGGTCATGCAATTCATGCACATAGCTCACACAACCCCCATCTTCAGCGGTTCCTCCATTAGGCTTTTCTGTAATTAGGACGTCTGCTGAGTGGAGCTGATATCCGCCGATAACTTCGATTCCCTCGCCGTCTTCTGGTGGTGCATGTACTTGATTCCGTGACTTCTTCCTTCTGCGGCTCCATACGAGTAGTGTCACGATGATAACACAGGGCAAGATTGATCCGAGTACCCCCGCAATTATCGTAGTCGTGTCCCTCCTGTCACGCTTGTCACCATTTGTGTTTGAGTGGGGCTCGCCAGTCTGGGGACTTAAGAGAGAGGTAGGACTTGGAAGGCTCGTGCTGCCTCCATACATTGTGGAAGACGTGGCCGAAGTAAATCCACTTCTAGCTGCGCTGATCTGGCCCTCGGTCGTTGGGTTACTGTTCGAGAGTGTTGTAGTTTTGATCGAAAGAGTGGAAGTTTTCGTATCGGAGATCGAGGATGCGAGTACTTTGTCACGACGGCGGGAAGTCAATTGGACCTTGGCCGTACTGAATCACAGATGTTACACTTCGTTGACGCAATACCACCACATAGTTTAGGGCAGGTATCTTGCTGAGCTCTGCACCAAGTTTGTCTCAGCTGGACGTCGACGCTGCTTGGATCAACTGTACAATTTTGGCAGTACTCCGCGTTAACTTGATGAAGGAAAACATTAGACAGAAAAATAATGAGGGCAGCAATTGCAGCCTGCATGATTAAGAGACTTCTTAGGAAATCGTGAGATTCGAGGAGTTTTGCAAGAACGGCCAAATATGAAGGCCTCGCTCGCATATACCGAGTGTGATCCCCACGGAGGCGCAATACATACATTGTTGCTATGCCGTTCGAGTAGAGCTACGGTATCGTCAGTTTTCGACTGCACCGCCTCAACGAGATACCTGTGCCGCTTCCACGTGCAAGGGACCAGCTGCGGTCGCTCGCTGATCACGATTAGAATATAGAAAAGAAGCGCAGAAACCTTCAAGTGTTGCGCTTTGCAAGCGAGTGAGACGGCATTGTGATGTTTTTCGCAATCAAGGTCGAGGGGCAGAAATATAAACCCTTTGGAACACCCGCATGCGGCATACGGGTGGCACCGTTTGCACATAACGGCTGCATTGCAGGAGCCCGTATTGAAGAGGGGAATATGATGCATCGGACCTACGCAGTGCAGTGACTTGTATTGCCTTGAGGTACATAGGGAAGTCTCGAAGAATGAGGCTCCACGAATTCCTGATTTGATTTAGCCGCCAGGGATGGCTGAGTTTCCGACAGCGTTCGAACGCAGGCCACGCATGGATCATGATTGGTATTCGGTATGGAACCACAACTGTGCCGCAATTTGTCTATAAGCATCGTAGACTCGAATAAATACCGAACTCGAGAGTGGAAATCTCTAAGTAGCTTGCGGTGTTAGTATTCCGTAATGAAAGTACGGTACTAGAACAAAAGTTTGGGTGCTCCTTGCAACTGCATTGGGTACCCCATTACGCTTTGGAGACGCTAAATACGATGTAAAGGTCAGGGCAATGGATATTAGACTACGTTTTGACTAACTAAAAACATGTTAGTTGAGGCACTCCTTACAGTAATATTGAGAGAGCAATAGTGGAGCCAGAGCAGTGGCGTATTCATGTGCCTAGATTTATGACCTAGTCCTCCTGTACATACATTGAAGCAAGATGAAAAGATATGAGCCCATGATGGACGTGTGATCTGGGAAGACACATACCATAAATCATTCTCACCGCCGACTAACTTCTAGACCTTCAAGAAGAAGTGTTCGCCTTGCTCTAAGAGTTTTACTTCATCGCCGACACTGATTTCACCCGTCTCCTCAACCAGTGGTGTGACTTGCATACCAAGGCACGCACTACTACTACCCTTATCAACGACACGGTAGCTTCTCATCGTCTTTTCAGGCTCAACACGATCTCTGATAGCAGTTTCGGGGTCCACATTCGGCAGTTTGCAGCGGGTAGTTCTACAGGAGATGTGGTAATTACAATCCCCGATGCGGGCCTTAGCCCACGAATCCTCAGCGAACGCAGGCGGACCAGTTACTATAAGTAGTCACGTGAGTAAGAATACCAAGTTGCAAAGATCGCACGAAACTTACTGTAAACGTTGGCCCGATAGCGGAGGGGGTTGAACTCCTTGTAGTAGCCCTTCGGGATCTTGGAAGCAACGTCATGGACACTGGCTAGATTCATTATGTGTAACGGATACTCGTAAAAGTTAGGTAGATCCATCGTGATGGAAGCGAATGAAACATACTGAGTCAGCCATTCCTATGATGATTTGGTATCCCACATCCTGTTTTTTCGGAGCGCATTTGAAGACCTCGCGATACTTCTGAGTATCGATTCGAAATAGCGTAAGTGGGTTTGTAACCCCGAGAGAGTACTTTAACTTTGCCATAACGTCTTCGGGCATCTCAGCTCCCATGTTCAATGCTTCTGGTGCGTCCTTCCAGATCTTCATCTTCTCGCTCGTATAACCCTTTTCTTTGATTCGATCCAAGGAAGGGTTGAACGGGATACATTGTTCGACCATAGGTTCCGATTGACCATAAAGTTTGGCAGCAATTAAGCTAGCAAGCGCTTTGACTCCACTCCAGCTGAGATCCACATCCGGAGAGAAAGGAAATCTCATTACAATACAGCCGTCGCTCTTAACAAATTCTGCATTCGGAGAGTATGTCGGCGAACTTGGATCCGGGATCCACATCTCGGTTTCTACTTTTGCCATGCGTGCAAAGGTCCTCTGAGTGATGAAGTTCCATTCAGACTTGACCGTGTGTGAGCCGTCTTTGTTCTCTTCCGATGATGGCAGACTGGTAACTTGCTGGGCGAAGCAAAATTGCCTGTCATACTTCATTCCCGTTCTGATGATTTCTCCATGGTCCAGTTCGATGCGACGACAGCTTTTTATAGGATATATGAACAAGGCTTTGACCCTCCACAACGGCGTGCCATCTAGAGAGATACCAGGGTTACTTCCGCTGCTATATCTAAGATCTTGGTGGTCCGCAAGATTGCTTCGGCCTTGTAGACCTATTCTTCGGCAACCCTCTGGAGATACCTGTTTCGTGTAACTTTTATGAACCTGGAGGATCCCCAAAAGGATGACTGCGATCAGCAACGAGAGAAGAGTCAACCCGTAAGAGATGGGAGAGAATGAAGAAACTCTACGAATGAGATCCATGTTTAAGGTAGGTCAATTGAATGCAAAACCTCCATTAGAGAATGAAGGTGCAGATGAGTTCTTCTTGGAAGACTCTGCACTGAGTCATACAGGTGATTACCGCAATTATGTGATGATTAACTAACTAGCTCGCATCTAGTGGACAGACACGGGGTAGGGAATTCAAGGATCTCCGGAACTCCGAGGGCAATTCAGCAATCCTTCGCAACGTGGAAGATGCTGCTTGTCGTCCCTTATATAGACATCTAGTTGTGTTTCATTCGGGTGGCCCATACAGTCCTACGTAGTTTGAACTTGGAAGTTTGAGAGCTTACTCCCGCTGAAACTCAAGACATTGATGTTCGGGATGTTGCTACTTGGAAAGGCGTGATATTGAGGTGGTTGCGGTTGGGGATTTCAACACCAATGGAAGTTGGAGGTTTTCTCCCGCCAAGCCAAGCCAACTTCACGACATCACCTTACCACGCGTTCGCGCCCATACGCGACATGACAGTCCACGACCTCAGCGCGGTCTTCTCTGCGATTTCCGTGTTTTACTTGCAAACGTGACGCGCCAATTCACTGCCAATGGCCAGCCAGGAAAGCACTAAGCTGACCGCATCCTCTTCACGTTGGCAGCTCTCCCATCTACCTTCATCTCTGCATAAACGCTCACATATGTACAGATAGACTCCCAACTGTCTCCGCATCCCAGGCACTCCAGAAGCTTAAGTCGCGCTCTTACCTTGCTGTTTCGACCGGCATCGACCCGCTCAACAAGGTCCTGGCACCACATGGCATTAGAGGCACACCCGCAGGTCGCGTTGGAGGTGGCATGGGGCGAGGACAGTTGACGGAGGTGTATGGGCCTCCCGGAGTTGGGAAGACTGCATTTGCGTGAGTCGCTGGCTGGTACGACAAAGCGATACCGTGAATGGCGAGATCTAAACTTTGGACAGGATGCAAGCTACAATTAATGCTCTGAGAGCAGGAGGAAGAGTGGTATGGATTGGTAAGTCTACAATTCATAGCATGTCAATCGGATGAAATTTTGTCAACCGGATAGAGTCATGGAGCTAACCAAATCCAACAGATGGAGCTGCTCCGCTTGTTGCCCGCCGTCTCGAAGAGATGCTATCCGCTCCTCTAACAGAGGATACTCCAAGTCCAGCCCCTTCGACGGCTCCGAAGTTATCGCCAGCAGAACTTCGAAGTCGTTTCCACCATTACAAGCCATCGACGCTCGCCCACCTACTTGCGCTCATACTTCATCCTCCATCATCATTCCCACCCCCCGACACCAGTCTGATCGTAATCGACTCACTCTCCACCCTGTTCGACAATGCATACCCGCGCAATGCCGACGATAGGTCCACGCGCCACAAGAATGATGCCGCTCGTTGGGCCGCAGGGCGCAAGTTTGCCGTTCTGAACGACCTCTCCTCGGCGCTCAGAAAGACAGCCGCGTTGCACAACATCTCTGTGCTCCTCACATGTCAAACAATCACCCGCATGCGAAGTGGAGCCAGAGCACTGCTTCTCCCGGCTATATCCGGCGGAGACTGGGATAGCGGGATATCCACACGCCTGGTACTGTTCCGAGACTGGCTGCCTGCGGAAGGCCCATGGAGCGCTGAAGACGACGAGCGGGTGCGACGAGCTCGGTTCATTGGAGTTGTGAAAGCAAACGGCGTGAGCCTGGCAGGTGAAGGAGGCGTTGGCAGGGTCATCCCCTTCACGATCGAGACGGTATGCCAATATATCTTCCCTTGGCTTGCAGCATCTCTTCTTCGCGAGCCCGCTTCATACATTACGGAGCGCTCCGCATGCACGTCACAACGCAGATCACCCGCTGATAGGCAGGAACGCAGGGCGGTCTGCACGACCTCAATCTCACCACAGCTGATATCACACCGCAGCCTCAACCGCAGACTGTTGGGACATCGCCTGCACAGCTCGCTCGGCCACCGAAACGCGCGTTCGCAGAAATTGCTGACTCGGAGGATGAAGAGGATGGGCCTGACTCAGACCAGCTTTACGGTTGGGCGGATGATGACGACGTTGCGGCTGAAGGCCTCCTCATCATCGAACAGCATCCCAGCGCACCTGCTGTACCTCGCTCACACATAGCGCAGGGGGCCGACGTGGCTGCGGGACGGCGCGAGATGCCCGCAGGATGAGCATCAGATGCAGATTGCGGCGGCCCGCCGAAGTATTCGTTAAAAGAGGTAGAAAGACCTTTTAAGGAACGCTATAAGTCTAAAGTTCAACATCAGAAATTAGAATTTAGTGAGAACATTTTTGCCCTAAAAGTAGTTCACGTATGTTAAGAGAGCATACGGTATATTTCAGGTTATGCATCCTTCGTTGTGGCTGAATGCTTTAGAAAGTGTCGCAGTTACACAGTTGCACCAATTTTAGAGTGTCTCATTTCTTATCTACCTTTGTATGACCATATCCTGGCACGTCGGCACGTCGGGCAGTACTAAATTGAGATTACGTTAACATTTTCAAAACCCCGCTTCTAAGAACGCGGGGCCCACATGCAGGAGAAAAGCGACGCACATGCTGCACCTAGGATATAGGACTGCTTGAAATTTGCTTCTTGAGAATTCACTCTGGGTAAATTCAATTATAACTACTGGCAACACCGAGTGGTTATGTAAGCTTCTTACTATTCACTTCTAGTCGATCACTCCTAACATCCACAAGGGCGTGTGACTCAAAAGCGCAAGCTTGCCTCTACTAGAGGCAGTATTCTCATGGGCTTTGCCCGCGTGGGTTAGAATCCCACTGTTGTCAATTTTTTTTGGTTGCGTTTGGGCGTAGTACGGACAAAGCCGATGCCATGGCAGCAGCAACGCCAGCAACGCTTCGAACCCCGTCGTGCAGACAGCGAGAAAATGGGTTGATGCAGCCGATTCCAGGACCTGCGCTGCACACAAACAACCGACCCCAACCAACGACCCCTTCCCTCCATCGGCCCCTTCCCTCCATCGGCCTGTGAGACGTCTTCACGTGCAATGGGAGGAAAGGAAAGCACATCGACCCTGAAGCAACGCGCAAATCACCTACCTCATCACATCCTCACCAGTCCTTCCGTGACGTTGCCGTTGGCCAGCACCGAGGGAGTCATTGGCCAGCATCTCCCGAATTCTTACCTCACCCAACTCTCATCACAGCTCAACCCCATCACATCCCACCCACCCACTCACGCCAGGCGCGAAAAAAGTGGCACGCTCATCAAGTGCTCTGGCCCGTGTGTGCAAGCTGTCTGCCACTGCATCGAGTGCTTCAACAAATTTCCACATAACCCAAGGCGAAGAGCATCTGTCTGCTTTAGATCTCAGAAAATACCATTGAAGCAACCCAAGCAGTGGCAGACAGGTGTACACACGGCGCAAAAGCAACACGGACGGCGTTCGGGGAAGCGCTGGGTGGAGCCGCGACCCAGTCCCTCGGGGCTGCCGCTGCTGACCGGAGCGGCGAGAGGGCGCACGGGGAGGCCTTGGGTTGTGGGCTTGGGGAGATGCTTTTTGAGGGGGCGGGAAAGGGAGGCGTGTGGGGGGGGCTTGTCCGTTGTGTGAGGTCGCTTGGAGCAAAGACTGGGCTGCGGGTTGCACGAATTGGAATGCGAGGCGAGACGAGGCGAGTTGTTCCATGCGCATATGCGGATGCAAGGTGTTGGAGATAGGACGCCTAACTCTCCAGGCTGGCACAGCAGTTCGCATGCTTCGTTGGAGTTTGGTGCATGTTGCTTGCGTATGCTTTTTATTTTTTTTTATTTTTTTTTATTTGCTCGTGCTTCTTGCGTCGTCTGGACAAGCCTGTCTTCCAACAAGGTTTCGGATTCCGGGACGGTGGGGGATGGCTGCAGCGGGACGGGACGGGATATCGACACTCTGGTTAGGGGGGCCTAGCGCTTCCTGGCCACCAGAGCTCGTCACATGGGAAAAGCAAGGATGGGAAAGAGGAATTAGTCCGCTGTATTCCGTAGGCGAGACGGGGTGCTACGCGATGCTGCTCATGAAGAGGGGAGGTCTTGAGAAGGGAGGCTAGAGGTGCGTTGTGGCTTCCGAAATGGATTTGTCGAAAGGGGATATTGGGTGGACATTGGGAGTTGGGAGGACAGGGCGTTGGTATCCCGTAATTGGATGCAGCAAGGCAACGGCTTCCCTGCTTTCAAAGCCGCTGCGCGGGCGGACTTGGGGCCACACCACCGTCACACCATCCCGTTCCTCTTTCTCGGGCGTATGAGATGGGTTGGCGTCAGGTCTCACGTTCTTACACCCAACCAACGCGCACATCCACTTCATTCCTCTATCTGTGATGTCCTTCACCAACCAGGCGAGTGATGTCTCACCCGCCTGAACCATTCGTTCCCAGCAATTCCGTCGTATTTCCACAATCTGCTCATCAAACAACACTAAAAGCGAAAAGCAATTATGTGGAAGTGTGGAGGTGAGCCCGACGCCCCAGGCGGTGAGGTCCGATTCCCGGGAGTCTGGAGAGCGTGCTGATTGACGGGGCTGAAATTTCTTTTTCTATGCGGGGCGCGTGCTGGATGGGCTTGGCTGTGGCGGAGGGGGTGTGGGGATCTGGCGATGGTGGTGAGATATGGATGATGTGGAGTGGTCTCCGAGGGGCTTGCATAAAGCGGAGAGGAGGCGGTTTGAGGTGGGCACGTGATATAGATGTTGATGTGAGTGAGGGTTTGAATATCTCTACCGTTGGAGCCGTTGAAGAAGTGCGTGGTAGCAGAGTACCCCTTCTGTTACACCGCCATGAACTGAGATCGCACCGTCCTTTCGAGGCTCCCAGCTTCCGAGTCTAACTCCGGTTGTTTATAACTCGTTGCGAAAAGGGTTCGGGGCTTCGATAGACTGAGACTGCATGGTCGATTAAGACAACTTTGTGGTTCTGCATTCCTTGTTCATGTCTTCTAGTTCCACCGGATCTTCTCCACCAGCAGAGAAAAGTATGGAGATCAAGGAAGTTACTCCATCCAAAGCCCAAGGCCCCTCGTACCACAGACTCATATACCCAAACCCCGCCTCGCTTTAGCCTGACTTCTGCCTGAAGTACTATCTCATGCCTGATATCTGATTGTATGGTAGTTCTGATGTGCAAATAACAGATACAAGCCATCAACGACTTGCAATACGGTAGAAAACTTATAGATACAGGACCATGTCCAACTTGAATTAAAAACTCATGACGTCATACATCGTCAAAATCTAGTAACATGTGATGACGGCGTCACGGGAATTGCTTCCGGGTACCTAGGTCAATGGTGAACTGATTCCCAAATCATCAAACAATAGCTTCTAGTTCCACACGAGAACACCCACCGCAAGTCTAGCCGTTCCCCTGCCTCATCACTAAGCCCCACCACCTCCGCCATGATCAGTCTCAAGGAACATCCACCGAGACTCCAACCCCTCCCAACACCCCCCTCGCCACCAGCAAACCCTACCCAACCTCCCTGCCCCCAGCACCCTCCCCTCTGCCGGCAGATGCCGCGCCAACATCGCGACATACCTCCTATTGTGGCCAGATGATGCGGTTCCGAAGAAGGATGATGTTAGGCGGGTTGTTGATGGGAGCATTTTTTATCAGAAGGGTGAGAAGCATCGGGGTAAGAAACTCAAGGGGAGGTTAGTAAAGGGGTGTAGATCCAGTGACTGAGACCTCTTGATCAATATACCTTCGAGACAAGACTTCTATGAAGTAGTAATTGCCACTGGTCGTAAGATCGCAGGTGACGTCTCACCTGAACGGTGGCTGCTGATTGATGGTGTTCGGCTGTCAATCCGATTTCCGGTCTTTAAGACTTGACATCCAGTCCCATTTTCGCCAATACCTCGATGAACTCCAGATAGTGTCAAAGACGTGAACGATGTCAACTTCCAACCTGATGGAGATGGCGTGTGGAGAATTGCAAAGAGCTGGGTTTGCGGTTGTTGCAGGAAGGATCATGAGAAGATACTCCCGAGACTGCGGATGCCACGATATGTCCGCGCAATTTACATATATTGAACGCATGTTGGTGCCAATAAGCGAGGTAGATCATACCATATAGGGTATACCATAATCCCACATACATTCTCAATACTTCTGGGTACCGAGCATGAAGCTGGCCTGGTACTAATTAACCTATTATCCCATACCCGGCTTTATTGAGCGATCTATAGTGGAAATTTAGAACGGTGGTATCCGGAATCCGGGCGCCTGGTTGCGGATCTAGGACGGCGGTGGCGGCGTTTGGGATTGATGAAGGCGTGGGGAGAGACGCTAATTCACGCGGATGTGGCTTTTTTGAGACGGAATGCGTTGAGTGGTTGAAGTATGCTGGATGATGGAAGATGAAGTTCATGACATGTGAAAGGGGAAGCGCTGATTCAAGCTGATGTGGCTTTCTTTGAGGCGGAATGCGTGGAGCGGTTCAGGTTTGTTGAATGATGGAAGATGATATCCATAAAATGTGAGAGGGGGAGGCGGAACGGAGAGATAGGAATCCACGGGATGATTTCGTATGGCTGAATGGAAGAATAGGGCAATGGCTTTGCTGACCCACCGGGCTGTGGCTGTTACAAAGAAAGGGGTAACGGAAAGGAAAGCGGAGGGATGTTGTTGGTGGGAGACAGTCAGCCACAAGAACAACATCTCGGAGGTCGCTTATCGAGAGCCATGACGACTGAGGCTTCCATTGGAAACCATCAGTGTCCTTATCTGTCGAGATTGAGTATTGAGGGGGGAATGCTTCTCGCGAGAAATCTGCAAAGCGTCATCTGTCATTGATCTGTTATCTACTACCGCACCCGGCAAAAGACGTTGCAGATTGTGGGGAACCTCAAGGCTTGACGTGGGGTCTCCACACTTTTCCACCACATCACCATGAGAATGATGCACCCCACAAAGCTACTGATGATTAGGCCTGCGAGCTTGGCTGAGCAATCTTGACTGAGATCACGTCAGGGTGAATGATCGCGATGTCTAGACGAAGCTTGACCGGAAGCCGTCTGGCGTAGATGTAGTCTTACTCCGGGAATAATTTATCCACCACCCGTCAACCGCGTATATTCGCCATGGCAAGTAGCGGTGAGCTTATCGTGGTGGTGAGATCCAGCATCATGAACAAAGACGAAAATAAAAGCAGACCTCGGGAACTACCGGTAATTCTGAGCGAGATGGTGGGACGGTCTTACCCAACGTGCTGCGCTGTATGGATGAAAGACGGATAGAGTACGCGGGAGTGCTTTTTCGTGGCCGCACTAGCAGCTCGACGGGGCGGCCGTTATGCAGCGGAATCAAGAAAACTGGGGCGATCGCTCCGGCATTCGACCTCCGTGAATCCTTTGAGAAGTTGAGGAGTGTTACATTCCTGTTTCTGATCACAATCGACCGATACATCTTTCCGAACAGAATAGCCGAGAGTGTGATCGATAGCGAGACAAGACAGAGACAAAGGAAAGAAACATGATTTCTGGCACGAATCAACACAACTCCTCCCCTTTCCGATGCCAAGTTCCGAGACGTGACGGTGAATCCATGATAGGGGCGGAGGAGAGGCCACCATCACCACCCAACTCCCACAGTCTGACAATGGCAGCACATCCGCTCCGCACCAGTGCCACACGAGACAGACAGAACCAAGCGCCTCCGTCAAGCAGCCCAGCGCCCGTCCATACAGACGCAGGGGCGATCACTGCACTCGGTCTGCAGCAAGACCGCCCGCGCCGCGCGTGTGGGTGCAAGAAAGTGTGGAGATCTCTGGGGTACTCTCCCGGCCTTGCCCCACACTCTGGCCGCAACGGGCAATCCCCCAGCAGGCATGGAATTCCGGCGCGCCTCAGATAGAGATAAGCTCGCGGGAAAGACCTTCCATGGGATCCACAAGATTCCAGCCAGGGCCCATCCTATAGCGCGACACGGCTGGCGGGCTGAAGCGTGCGCTCGCCGAGTGCGGAAGGTCGTACTGCTGGCTCTGACTGACTGCGCTCCTTCTCAAGAGAGACTCGGGGGCGTGTGCGGAGACGGTGTAGAGGTGGTGGATAAAGGCGGTGGGCGGGAGTCACTGGAGTCGAGTCGAGTGGTGCAAAAGGGCCCAGAACACTTGCGGAGGTTGCACGGCGTGACGATGCAGCTGCCCAGGTAGCTGCAGCGGCCGGGAAAAGGGCGGATCAGTGGAATCGGGGCGCAAGGGGGAGGTCGTCGTGGTGTTGCGGTGTAGCACGTACGATGTTCTCATGATGTAAATTTGCTGTGGGGGACACTGGAGAGAACCGCATTTACCGCGCTGTCGGGAGGGCCCGAGTTGCGGAGGCGCTGGCATCCATCTCGTCGTCCATCGCATCACTTGGCAAGAAATCACGTCACTGCATTTGCTCTCGTAATTGTAAGATGTGCCAAAATGCAGCCTAATATTATTGCGTTTTTGATTACCGCGTGAGCTGAGCTGAGCTGGGTTGTCTAACAGAGCCAAGCAGGGCGTCCGTTATTCAGTGAGCCAACATGGTATCCAGCTCGTGACCTAAGCGTCCCAACAAACCGAAATTGGGGGAGGTGTGGAGTACGCGTGGAGTAGCAGACGGAGAAAAGGTGGTGTGTCTATGTAATACAGTGTGCGAATCACAGCGTGACCGCGGGGTATGTCGACTGAACCAGAACGAAGCAATCTCTATAGCGCACTTCGAAAACAAAGGAGACTCGTGATGCCTAACATTAGGGTGAAGTGAGAAAAACCGAGCCCTCACGGACCGACACCGTGTGGCTTTGGGGGAAATGTTCCTATCCTTCCGTCTATAATCCCAAACCGGTCAACGCGCGCTACGCTTGAATACAGCAATCCGACAAATTACGTCCCATAAACTCCAGATGCAGGGCCAGGCTAGAAACGATCTACCAGGTCGTTGCCAGCTAACGAGCCGGTCGCGGAGGAATTTCCGGAGGAGAATCCACTCCCGCCATTCAAGAGGTCTTGAACTGCAACTTTAGGTGCTGCTGGAACGGGCAACTTGCGTTGCGCGCCGTCTGAGCGTCCAATGATGTCGCCTATCCTGAGACCGGAGGACTGGGTGGGAACGTACGGCTGCTCGCTTGCTGTCGAGGGCTCCATAGGCGCGAGCGCTGGGGTGTGCTGGAGTGACAGGTGTCGGATGTGAGGGAGCTGCACGTCAGTGAATCCGTGCGGCCTGAGACGTGGCGAGTGCGCTGGCGTTGCTAGCGGAGTGTGGTCCGGCGTTGGAGAGCATGAGTCATGCGAGAACGTCGGCGACGGCGGAGCAGTGGACATGGGGGATCCAGGTCTCGACTTCTTCGTCATCCGGTGCGAGTACTGGTCGTCGTCCTCGTGCGAATGCGATCTCGACATGGGCTGCGAGTACGCATACGCCGAGAGACTGGGCAAACGTCCGCTGTTGTGATGGCTGTACGGGTGGTGCAGATGCGGGTGCTGGCCAGCGTGATAGTGTCGGTTCGCGAGCGGGTTGTGCTGCATCGTCTGCGTTTGAAGACGCTGGCCCTCGAGCCGAGACGCGGCGTCGGCCAGCAGGTCGATGCGCGCCAGGCCGTTGGGACTGCTGCTGTTGCTGCTGCCAGTGCGGTACGAAGCCAGGTCTGACGGGAAGTTGCTGGAGTAGTTGGAGAAGGAGTGAGGCGGCGAGACGTTGGGCGAGCCGAGGTTGGAGCTGGGAGCCGAGCGAGAGATCGGTTTCGAGGGCGGTGGCATCATGTGCGCCATGGACGATCCCTCGAGCACGCCGCCGCCGACCGCTGCAGCGGCTGCAGCCGCAGCTGCAGATTGCTTGTTTCCTCTGCGCGAGTTGGGGTTGTTGTGGATGCGCGAATGCCTCGTGAGTTCGTCCGACCGGCTGAAGCGTTTCGAGCAGCCGGGGAACGAGCAGGCGTGCGGCTTCTCGCCCGTGTGCGTGCGGATGTGTCGCGTCTGGTGCTCGAGGCGGTGGAAGGCCTTGTCGCAGAGGGGGCATTTGTACGGGCGGGGGAGGTCCTGGCGCATATCGTCTTGGTTGGGTGCGTTCTGGAGGAGCGAGCCCATGAGGCTCACCGTGGCGGCGGCCATGCCACTCTGGTGGGCAGGCGTCGAGGCACCAGAGACGGGCGGGCTGGCGCTCTGTGGGCTATTGCTAGGGCGTTGGCGACTGTGCTGGAGTTCGGCGGGCGTCTCTGGGTTCAGCAGATTCTGGAAACCCGCCGACGACGATGAGGATTGCATGTGATCGGCCACCGGTGGTTTGGCGGCGACAAGAGACTTGTGGAGGGGTAGTGGCTGGTTGGGGGGCGTAGGCGAGCAAGAGTCGGAGGGATGAGGGGGGGTGCAAAATCTTTATATACGGCACGCCGGACTAAGGGCGAGGGTAGAAACGTGGGGAATGTGAGCCGAAACAGGCGTGCAGGCGTCCCCAGAACCAAGCTTTGTCTCGAGGATCAGCCGGAGCCAAAAAGGAGGCGCCAAGCCCGAACAGGAGACACAGGCTGGGGCTTTTCTTTTGCCCTGGTGGGTGGGGCGGAGGGCGAGATACGGGGCAGAGAGCAGGCGGCAAAGGCGTGCTTCAGCGCCCGACGTGGTGCCTGTGGGGGAGCCGCCCTGCGTGCCTGCGCCGCGCTGGCTGGAAGAGCCCAGAGCAGCAGGCCACGAGTGGCGGGGCGCAGTGAGCGGCAGGGCTGTCGGCGCCTCCAGGTCTGGCGGTGCGTGGGCGGAATGCAAGCCCGCGATGCGACTGCGGCGGAGAGACGGGGATCTGAGACTGCGAGGCGGGAGCGGTGGTGGTCTGGCGTGACGGCAGGCCGAGGGAGCCAGGCCGAGGGAGTCAGGCCTTCTGCCGCTGCAAACGACTGTGCTCGAGTCTGCCGCGGCGAGATATCGCCGGTGTCGGTCGATGCGCTCAGCGTGTCGTGGTCGACAGCGTGCTATCTCTCGGCGGAACTTGAGCCCCAAAAAATCCAGGAATTGTGGAGAAGGGTCGGGAAGCGCCCACGGTACGGAGTAAAGCCGACGTAAGACGTCGCTGGCTCCAGCTGACAGCAACACCCGCCGGCCGCCCGCTTGGTCGTCGGCTGCTGCGCGAAGCCGTGTGAGAGCACCCGTGGGTGAGGGCGGCACTGTTTGGGGACCCCAGCAGGCGAGGTCGGTGAAGCAGATGCTGCTTTCGGTTGCCTTGCGACTCTGTTTGGACGTTGCCCACGCTGGTGGCCGCACTGGCGACGGGGTACTTGTACTGTCTAGGCAGGACGCCGCGGTGGTGAGGCGGCGTGGGAGCTTATCGTGACTGCGTCAAGAGGGCGGGTCACGAGAGGCTGGTCGATGAGTGGTGGTGTGGAATGGATGCGTGTCTGAGTGCTGATGCTGCGTCAGGCGGCAGTGTTGTAGGCAGCAGATCGATAAGACCAGCGCAGGAGACTGCGAGGCAAGGAGAAGCAGTCGGTATGGGCAAGGGCGGAGGACAGATCTCGACTACTGAGGCGGCAAGAGCGATGCAAATCCGGGGTCACAGTAGATGCTGCTTGACGTCTCCTCGCGGCGATGGGGGCGTGGAGGTGATATATCGCTCCACCACCGCTTCCGCTCAATCAGGTCACTTTTTCACAATTCGTCGCCCTGCCGCATGTGCGCGCGCGGTTTCAGTCCTTGGCTCCATTGGCCAAGCGACAGGTGAGACGGACGGTGACACGATGACTGAGCGGCCGACGCAGACAGGTCGCAAGCAGAGCAATCAACCACGCAGCAAGGATCGATGGCCCATTCACTCGCAGCACCCCATACCGCCCCCCTCACTGGAGCAACTCCGAGCCCTCCCTGCCGCGCCTGGAGTCCAGCAGCCAGGCAGCGGGCCCCCGTGGGCAAGGACAGGCCTCTGCTGTCACTTCACCTCGTCGCCAATCTCCAGAACGGGCTGAATGGACAAAATGGAATGGGCCTCGATCTTTGTCACCTCCTGTGCTGCGCGCGCTGTCCCAGGCCACAGGCCTCCTCCCTGCCTGGATCGCACATGTCAAGATTATGGGGATGACGAGGCGTGCAGCATCGCAGCCAATGGCCACGGCATACCGGAATGCTGGGCCCTTTATCCAGTGGCTGCGTCGAGATGTGGACGTGCCACCGCAGCAGGATGGCTGACGGGCGGAGTGGAGTGGGGGTCACCCTTCTGGGGCTGAAAGAACAAATCTGGATCCTGGGGTAAAGCCGTCCGTCAGACCCTCGTCTCGGGGTTGACGCTTGCGGCTTGAGAGCGCGGACTCCAGACTTTCAGTGGCGCCTAAACCACCTCTGCTGATCTTTCTGGCCATAAGAAAGGAGCAAAAAGGCCCCAGAAAGGGGCAGTCGGTGTGGAGAAGGCGTGTTGGACAAGGAGTGGTGAACGATGGGGCGCCCAGCAGCTCGAACAAGTCGGAGCCTGCCCACCGACCTCAGGCAGAATCCACAGCCCAGCCAGGTGGATCACGACATGTGAATGTATGTACAAAAAGTGACATTTGGGGCAGCGGGTAGGCGATGTCCGGCGAGACAGGACCGATCTCCCCAGGCGTGCCAGATTCCAGCGTCCCCAGCAGAGCAGTCCCCAGACGCCCAGGCGAGGCGTCGCGACCCTGTCCTCAAACCACAGCCCTCAGCATCGCGGATCGGTGGGGGTGAGCCCCCATGCGACTGGCTTCGCGATCACAGTTTAACGAACCGACTGCCCCGGACTGCGCAGTCGAGTGGAGACATCGAATAGGGGATACATGTGATATGTATCCTTATCTCAAGCCAACGCGACTCACGATCGCGATGCCATGCAGTCCTGCAGCCATGATGCATCACAGCATCTCCCGTAATCCGCCAAGCTGTCGTCAGTTCGTCGTCATGGGCAGAACGACGCTGAGATGTGTTAGTCCGGGGTGTGGGGGTACAATTTTACTCCCACTGGAAGTCTCTGCTGCGAGGGAAAACTTTCCCTGTCGGCGTGTGCAGATGCTTGAGGTTAGGCCCCGGATTCCTCCAGTTCGCGAGGGGCTAGTACCTTCTGCATCCAGGCGCAATGGCGAATTGCTCCGTTATCACGGAAATTTGCGCCTGCGGAGGCCCAGATGTCGTGCACGTGGGTCGGGGAGAGCCGGAATGGCCGCTCGAGTAAGCCCACGGCCGCGGCGTCGACGCCATGAGTCGATGCCTTGAGTCTCCGCGCCCCTCCCTCCAAACCTCCACTGTTTCCCCCGGAGTCGCCGCATCGAGCATCCCGACGCCTGCTCGCCAGCTGCAAGGTACCGTGCTGATAAACAACTCGTGCCCCTCGCTGCCCAGCGGCTGTGCCATTATATCCCCAGCAGTGGAGCTGAGAGTCAACTAGCCCGACATCGCGGCATCCTCCACACCCAGCCAGCGGACAGGCAGACCCTCCGCCGAGTCTGCGCCGAGTTGATATCGGCGTCTGATTACCGATGATGCCCCGGGCAGGAGCCGGCCACTTGTCCGGCCCCAAATTCTTGGAGTTGTGCCGAGTTAGCATCCTGAAGTCCCTTTCACCCATGCCGCCGTCTTGGAATCACGCCGTCCCCTCCACGTCGCCTGTCGGCCGCGAGCAACAGTGGCAGTCGATCCTAGATTAAGCTTCTCTCCCCCGCCCTCGTGCCCTTGATCCGATGGCCAACCCCTCTGGAGATCTCCCTTCGTGCAGCTTCCAGGGCCGGCTGCCCAAGCGATTGGCCGGAATCGACGACTCTAGTTCAGCCTCCCGCATACTTGATGATCCAGGATGTACATGCGGGCAACCTTGATCTCATCATCCGGACGGCGTGATGTTGGCCTGCCTCATTGTCGTCGACGTCCAGGACGTCCCCGGATTCTTGGCATCTTTCGGAAGCCGGAACGCGTCTACCCCACATCACGCGATAGTGATGAGACCTCTACATAATAGAGGACGTGGAGGCTCCACTCTGTTGGGCTTTCTCGGGAATCGATGCTGCGCAGCTTCGATCACATTCCAAAGGCAAGAATATCTGGTGATACGTCTCTCCAGGCGGACTTACGGCATTTCTCGCGATTCTCACGGCATTTACACCGAGTGCTCCTGACTGTACTGTTTCTCCGAGACCTTTCAGCACGCTACTTGTACGAGCAGCTGGCAATCACATTGGCCAGCCTAGTGGACTGATAGATCGTCTGACGAGACTGGTGAAGCGGAATACTGCAGCAACGCACATCGACTTCCGCGGCAATCATCTTCCACGCGATTCGATTATAGATGATCACCTTGTTGATCACGTTCGGCCTCGAATAGGATGTGGAGTACCCCAGGATTTTAGCTGTCCTCCACAACGTCGCTTCAAACCCGAAAGTGTTCGAGTCAGATTGAACCGTGGTCTAGACATCGCTCTCACCCCGGACTACCCGGCGGTAAAGCCAGCACCCCATGCTTGGCAGGAAATAGGTAGGCCGACTCCAGCCCGATCTAGTGTTGCAGATGATCTCGGCGACTCTTGCATGAGCGACAGTTTGCCCAGACTACCGTGTCGATTTTGATAGCGTTGTGGATAGCCGAGAGTGGGGAGGTATGTAGGTCTTCCTTTCTTTGATTTGCATTTAATTATTTTCGCCATGTCGATAGTCTTGGCTCTCTGCGTCTTAATACGATGTCGCGTCTCCGTGTGATTTGCGTCTCTAGTATGCTTGAAACTACTTCTTAGTATGTCCGTTTTTGGACATCCTCAAAATCATTAGAAAGCTAAGCTCGATGTTTGAGAACGTCAAGCTATCGCTGATGCCGTGAATCTCCTGACCTCCATGGAAAAGACTTTTTAGAACAGCAATGCGATCTGGACGTTGCTTCGAGGATGAAACGCGAAGTCACATTCGACGTTTCAATTGGCGCTGTCCAAATGTTTAGATCACGTTAGGACGATGTTGAAGTATTCTCGAGATGTCGCATTGACGTCGATACGCAATATGAAATTCAAATGTCCAATCCGCGGCGTTCAGGAACTTGCTCTAAGTTCAAATTTTGAGCAACCTACTGGGGAACCCCTGGAGGCTGCAGCGAGATCAGGTACGAGATCATACTCGTCGCTTCAAACTGCGCGATCGAGGAATCAACATAGCGCTCATATTTCGAGAAACCTACTTGATCAACCCCCTAACGTCGCGATGAGATCTAATGCAAAGTTGAAAGTCATCATTCCAATCTACAGCGTCTACGACTTCACATTGCGTTCTGATATGGAAGAACCTCTTCGGGTAGCCCAGAAAGCACAGGGAGGTCGATACACGTATTCAATTTCTTTACATTCATCTACCCACCTCCTGCGTTATCTTTACCACATCACTCCCATCACCAGCATCAAAGCACTCTTTCTCGTATCGCCATAATTTTCCCAAGTCTCAAGACCAAAGCGTCCGCAGTCTTCCAATCCTTCTAACTCATAACCAGCCTATCGTTCAACACAAGTTCCAAGACTTCTCCCAATCTCCTTGGACACCTGTCATCCTTCTTCATCTCTTGTTCATACCTCTCCATAGTCTCCTTCGCCGCGACACCCGTTACTAAACCACGCTCATACCGCACCAGCATGAAGTGATCATCCCTCATAGGGACCCCCGACCTGGCGTCGCCATGATCCGCTCCGCGCGAAACCGCGCCACGACCAGATCAAGCACTCAAAGACAGCGGACCCAACAAGCAGACATCGCTCTCGACACCAACCTGTTCTTACGTCTCCGCCTCCAGCACCCCATACGTGTGCGTGTGACTAGGAACGGCGGATCGCGCCTCCACACATGACCCCCGAAGTCGTTTCACCACGAGCCTTTTATCCGACATTACCAGCATATTCCGCGGTTGGACATCCCCCGTATAACATCCCCTCCCTCGCTCCTCCAGACGTCTCTACTATCCCACGCATCCCGCTCAACGCCCCCATAAGATCCACCATTTCGCGCAAGAAGCAGCCCGCCTAGCCTGAGAAACCAGCAGCTGCGTTCGTCTGTACCTAGCACTCAGCAAGGTCACGCCGTCCGGGCCGGGGGGGATGAAGATCTCGCCGCGGTGTGTGTAGGTCGCGAGTAGCCTGATGGTGTTCTAGTGGCGTGGTTGAGAGAGGGAGGGGTGGGTGGTGCGCGTGTGGTGGAAGGTCGAGGCTGCGGGGTGGAGGAACACTTCATTGCTGCGTCTGGCTCTGGTTCGCGGTTTGGGTGGTAGATCTTGTGGCGCCAGCCGTGGATGCGCGCGTCGTAGATCAGGTATTCGGCTTTGATGTCTTTGAGCGCGCGGTGGTGTGTGTGGGGAAGAGTGCAGAGGGCGTGGAGGATAGGTGTTGGCGGGCGTTACGAAATCGAGGAGAAGGAAGGGCCATTTGCTGCTGCGTTCAAGGTTGTGAGGACGGCCGAGAGGGTGCTTGTTTCTTCTGGACTCTCGTATCCGACTAGGACGGGGAGGTGGACGTCGGACCAGCCTTCTGGGAGAGAACTGCTTAAGGTGATTGGAGCATGTTTGTTATAGTGAGTCAAATGCTGATTCTAAGTCTTCAAGAACCCGGCGGACAGAGATCCTATTGACTTTGCAAGCTCGTCGACAACATATGTAGCTAGCGGTGGTGGATCATTTGCTAGGAGAGAGAACGTGATGGTTAGTGATGGATGGTCACGTGAAAAGGTACAGGGGGAGCTAAAATAAAATAAAAATGTTGTGAAGATTTGTGTGTAACTAGGCGAAGTTAGAGCGGGAATTTGACCCAGGCTAAGCCTAGACGCTCATGAAGGAGAGAAGTCAGAGCGGATGTTGAACCCAGGCTAAGCCTGGACGCTCATAAAGGTGAATTGAGAGGTGTCTTTATTTTTTAAAAAAGAAAATAAAAAGAAAAAAAGAAAATATGTGCTAGCAAGGTCGGAGCGGGAATCGAACCCAGGCTTAGCCTAGACGCTCTTGACCGAGTATAAGATAAAGTAAGAGCAGTGTTTCATTCACCAGAGCCACCAGAACTTTGCCGCCCTCCCGAATCCCAACAAGGCAAGCCAAGTGGGCAAATGGAGTAACATAGGTATGCAGCAATGCTCGATGGTTAGTGGCCGAATGCTAGAGTTTAACTAAACATATAGGTAGGTCATAGATCACGCAAATCCCCGACCTCCTTCTACGTTCACTGAAGTCACTTCACCTTTCATAATTTTATAATAGTACCGCGCATATCTACTATTCGGACGCAGAATTATATGCGAATTCACCTTCGCTTTAGAAGTACGGGAACAGTGTCCCTTGCCTAAAATTGAAGTATCTATATTGCTTTCTCTAGTAGGACCCTCCACCGAAGAACACCGGTCTAAATAGCGTACCGGCTAAGGTCAAGTTCCTGCAAGATCTAAGTTGGCGCTGTAGAGCACTTAATTGCCGGCCAAAATATAGCCGTATAAGTCAAGAGCTGCGAAAAAGTATGGGGAAACCTTGAGCTTTCGAAAGTGAGGTGCGTTCATGGATAAGGCGGAACTGAGAGCTTGTCGGAACTCTTGCACGTTGACCAGCGAATGTTGTTTTCTCTCGGACTAGCTATTGGCATTCAGCGAACCATCGGTACGTGCTCACCTCCAAATCAATCGTTTTCTACAGTACCAGGACATACGTTTGGGAACTCATTACGACTGGCTGTGGTACCCCCACAGGCTTTGTCAACTCCTATTACTATGTGAAGGCCAACACAGTGGAAATTAGACTACCTTTTGGCTAATTGGAGTCATCTTACCTAGGGCACTCCTTACAGTGATATTAAGAGACCGACAGCGAAGCCAGAGCAAGCGTATATCTGTGCCCAAACATATGACCTAGTACTGTACGTTCATTCACTACAAGGTCGCAGTGGGCTTGAGAGGGGAGGAGTGGCTTGGGCCGGCGGCGGTTAGGCACACACATTCACCATCTACTGCACTTTAGTCATGTGCAGCCTCTGCTTTTGAGCGGCTGTTGAATACCTTAAAAGCCTGCCGCTGGCTTGCCCTTCTTCTTCCCCCCCACTCACACCCCACAACCTCGTCCCACAACCCACTCTTACTCCATCGCGATGGCGGCCGGCCAGCCAGCGCGCTGAGCCTAGCAAGGCAGTCAAACACCAAGCCATTTCTCTCGGCTCCACCACGGAGAAGGCTTCGTCCACTCCCCCAACGCCAACCGACGCTCCCATGAAGACATACAGGGATCTCTTGGAGGACACGGGCAGGCTAAAAGCTAGTGTCCGCAAGCGGCGCACAGCCCTCGATGACGAGCTGCACAGTCTCGGACAGACTTTGCGATTGAATGTGCAGGGAAAGTTCGCGGGCGAGGTCGAACGCAATGACAGAAAGCGCCGCACCGAGCTTATGAAGCGGCGCCATGGCATGAGTAACACTCTAAAGACAATCGATGCTATTGAAGTGGTAAGCAATCCAAGAAATCAGTCCAAACCGTTTGCATAATGATAGATCATTACTCTGTGTGTACGAGTTCACCTCTGCTTTCACGCTGCTCTTGTCCCTGAAGGACCATTGGAGTGCGTCAAGCAGCGGTGAATGAGTGCACATAGGCTGAGGTCTTTTCGCTGCATCTTTAAACACAGCGAACTTATTGCTAACACTTTTAGATCTTGCGTAAGCAAAAGGCAGCCGATCGTCACAAGGGCAACGACAACAACGCCCTCCACGGAGCTCGCAGTGCCTCTCCGGTCCGAGACGATATCGACAACTCTTGCCCTCGCCGCAAGCAGGCCGAAGCACAGCATCCAAAGCTGGATGAGGAGAGGACCGCTAAGATTAGGAAGACAATGAGCCTCCGCAAGGCAACCTATGCAGACCCGTTTCTGGCACCACCTAAAGCCCCCGAGAACATCATCAATCAGCACGGCATGCTGACATGCGACGTCCCTTGACGAGTACGGGTACCCAACCGTCATCTGCTACCACAATATGTGGATCGAGCTTCGCTGTCCTCAGTGATTCGGCAACTGTGGGAAGCCTGCTAGGGAGGACGCCCTCGTCGAGAAGTGCTTCCTTGATGGCTTGAAGGGGTTCCAACTTCATCTACTTCAGGCTCATGGCACCAAGCTACGCTACGACCACGTCGCTATGGAGTGCGACGCTCGCGAGCTCACTCCCGAGCAGGTTCGAAAGCTGAAGGCGGGAGCGTTGGACGCCCCGACCATCACGCCGGATTGGTGCATCGGATCTACCTAGATCGAGAACAAGTCGGACGAAGTGGACGACGAGTCGTCGGGCTTGTTGGTGGAGTCGGACGTGTATGGCTCGAAAAGGGTGTCTTTGCTACACTAAGTTAGCGCCTTCTTGTATCGACCGAATGGACTCGGTAGGACTGAGCTCTGTTGGCACTGGCTAGTTCAAAGTTCTTGATTCTCTGGGGTCTGGAAGCGTCTATGGTGATTGACCTGTAGTTATAACGACTTGACATCAACCTTGTGCATTGCAGTCCTCAGGTGAACAGTTTGACGCAGCACTGGAAGGTTGAATACACCCCTGGGCTAATCGAAAGCGACGCTTTCACGATGTCAAAAGCTCGAGAGGCTAAATTAGAACCTTGGAATTATTGACTCACATTGCCATGTAAATGACTAAAGGGTCTAAATCATAATCCTCACGTGAAATATTTTAACACAACAACGGGTGATTGAATATGCCCCTGGGCTAACTAAAAGCAGCACCTACATGATATTGAAAGCTTAAGGGCCTGAATTGGAACTCTTGGGCTACGGAGTTGTATTACCATGCAAACGACTAAAGGGCCTAAATTGCAGTTATAATATAAGCGTTTTGACACGGCACTAGAAGATTAAAAACACCCCTGGACTAATTAGAAGGGACGCCTACACAATGTCAAAAGCTCGAGAGACTGAATTAGAACCTTGGATCTGCCAAGTCACATTGCCATGTAAACGTTTGAAGGGTCTAAATCGCAGTCCTCCCGTAAACGTCTTGATATAGCACTAAGCATTTGCATACGCCCCTGGGCTAACTATAAGCGCCGCCTACATGATGTCAAAACCTCAAGGCGCTAGATCCGAACGTCCAATCCTACAAAGCACGGTCTCCAATTTCCGAATCCTCATCCTGTTGTGTACCTCGAATTGGTAGCTCTATAGGCTGTGCTGAGGGACAGGTAAGCAGAGTGGTCTGATGCTTGAGGTAAAGGGAGTTATTACGGAGGGCAATACTAGTGGCGGTACCCTGTAGCGAGAGCAGCGACTCTATGCCTGCAGATTGCTTTGAGATGTTTGTGCCATTTTCGGTTACTTCGACGAACCAGGCGGGGTAGTTGCGGTTCGGTGGATGAGTTGCACTGGCAAGATCCTGAAGGAAGGATTGAGGGACTGGGTTACTTAGTATTCGATAGTGTGTTATGCAGTCCAGCGTGTATGGTGCCGCTTAATAGGAGGGATAACCTACGTTCCAGGCAAACAGAGACTGAGTGGCAACCACTGAGTAGGATCATGCGGTACTCTTGTGAAAGCGTGTTGAAAACGAGACTAAGATGCGCCTTTGTGAGGTAGCAGTGTCGCACCATGAGATCACCGGCCGCGTGTTGGTAAACGACTTGTTCACCGAAGCGGGGATATTGTAGGTAGAGGATGGACAGTTCGCGTTGCATGGCGTGGAGGCTGGTCGTGAAAGACTCTACTGCTGTTCATGGCATTAGACAGCTGTCGGGATAGGTCCTTCGGCAAGAGATCAACAGAAATACATACCAGACGTGGAAGGGAGTTGAAAGTCGATGGTTGAACATTTGATTTGAAACGGGGTAAACTCATCGTTGGCGTCACCTTCTGATATGCAAAAGACGTTTTCTAGGCATACAATAGTCGGGCTTGGCCTTGCTGTTATCTTTGTATGATGGTCAACTGCAAGAAGTCAGTCCAGGCAAGAAGAGAGCGATGCGGAGGATTTATACTTTGAATGATATAGCGTGTCTCATTTCCCACGCCAGATTCCGGATTGGTGCATTGAAGAATGAGCTCCGCATGTGGATGACGTTGCATAGCTTGTGCGGAGTCTAACCCTAATGATAGGCCTGATGACGATGTTTCTGGTAGCATGCCGTAACTTAGGAGTTGGATAGACTCAACCTGGCCAGGACTGAAGCGATATCCATTCGACGTGAAAGTTGAGGAGACTGGTGAGTCCATATTTGATGTTGGTCTAATCGTAAGATCAGCTTGGAAAGCCCGCCAATGACTTAGGGACTCCTCACACTTTCGCCACGAGAACGGAGACATTTTTTGCCTGACTATTACTAGCTGAATGAGATATCAGCATCGAGCTCAATCCTTGCCTGGCATAAAGAGCGGCCTGAGAAACGGCAAGTTCAACAATATAGGCCTCGAACTTTGCGAGGTCTAGTAGCCACATCAGCCGTTGTATGATCGGTAGTCTCAAATGATAGATTCACGTACGCTTAGGCGGCACGTCGGTCAGAAATAGCGATACCGGCATGTTCGATCGCGGTGAGCCCGCGTACATTTGCCAGCTTCTTCTTGACAGTGGTTCGACATTTTGAACAAGAAAACTGACGGGTAGCACTAGAGATTCTCAGTATCATATTTGCACTATAGCGACGCTCACTAGAGTAAATTACCATGAAAGGGTAGCGAATGTGGACTTTGGGTAATTGAGGACGATCGATCCGAGTGGCAGTGGCATTGGAAAATACTCCGAGTACCGTCAGCTTCTGCATCCGACAGCCACTGATCAGAAAAAGATGCAATTGGACATATAAGTTCTTGACTAGGACTTTGCGTCGACGCTTTGGAAACACAGAACGCCAGAAAAGGCGGCCTTTCATGTGACGGTAGTGATTTTTGCTGTCGACTCTCTGCTCTGACCCTTCGAGGAGCCTCAGACTCTCTTGCTTGCAAATTTACGGCAAACCATTGGTGTATTTCGTCAAGCTTGCTGTGGATGGTGTTGATTCTTTCTTGTGAGACTGCTCCTTGGTGCCTGCGATTCTATTAGTTCGAAATCAAGTGTGGTCCTGCAAATGTTCCTCCTATGTGTGACAACCTCAAGTAGGTTTCCATGGATCAATCCTGGATACTTTTTGCCGGCCGTTCCCATCAATGCCAAGCAGACGCCGGGAACTCTCCAAAGACAGTCACTAACGAGAGCTGACATACCTAGTAGCTGCTGATACTGCCAATGTTAGACAGTTTGTGTGCGCCGTTAGATTTCCTTTGAGTTTCATCAAATCTCCCCCTTCTTTCGTCCAAACGACCTTTTTCCAATTCCTGCGGACGTCCTCTGACCAACTTTTCAAGCGTGTTCTTTGGGGTTGAATCGAATCGATCTCCAATATAGCATACTTGGCAACAACAGATTCGAGATGAGTGAGCGTGCTTCGGCAGTTCTGGACGATATGAAACAGCACGTTGTCTTCAGCGTTAACAGAACTTGAGGAAGAACCATCAGGCAAGTCTCGACTCAGCAGCTCCAGCGCTCTACTCAGGCTACAAAGAAGGTTTTGGACATCTTCAAACTCTGCTGGAGCTGATTTACGGCCGGTTGTGAAGGCCTGACCTAGTCGGTAGGCCAATTTAGATAGCATAAGTGCGTCTCCGATCGATACTGGCAGAGCCATGATTTCTGCTGACGTCCGACAAGTATTGATTCAACGTAAAGTTCCCCTGTCCAGACCTATTAGCTGTCGCTTGACTATTCAATAGTGATCCGAAAAAAGGATTGACGTCGTGTTAAGTGAGGGGAGCGTACATGCAAGCTCGCCTTCGTGATCGGCTTGATAACCATGTGAACCACCCAAGCCCGTCTATCGTCCGTTGGGAAATTCTGATACATACCAGAAGATCGTTGAGTCTATGCTGATGTACCCTAAGTAGCCGTTGTGAATACAACTAAGCAGAATGGTGTCTAGTACTGTGTGTTGGATGAGGGGCCTTCAGCTGCTTAGAGGCGCAGCATCGTTGATTTACGGCCGCACAGGCCATCGAGGCTACAAGGCTACAAGACTACAAGGCTACAAGGCTACAAGACTACAAGGCTGAATTTCCTGTTGCCCTTGACAGCCAGTAGATGCGAAGAGGCTGCATTGCGGCGGTAAGGCACGAGGCTGAGGCGGAGCAAGAAAATGACGGAAGTCAGAACCTTGGAAACACATCACCTTCCATCACCATGGCCTACTATCCAAACCCGTTCGGCGTCCCGTATATGAACCAGTTCCACCGAGAGCACGCTGCGTTGGAGCGTCTTGCCTCGGGGGTTGTTTTTGATCCCGCTCATGTGGCTGCCGCCAACGTGCCGCATCCGCCGAAGCGTCGACGCCAATACGATGTCGAGAGGGACACTGAATTCCCCGTTTTCCGCGCATCTGCAAGCACGAACAACGTGAACACGCCTGAGTTGCGTTGTTTGCCGTTGCTCGATGTGTCGGTCGATGTCGAAGTCACGTCGACCATCTCCCGGACGACCCTGACTCAAACCTTCTCCAACTTCTCCGCTAGCCTCATCACCGAAGCCAACTACACCTTTCCGCTATATGATGGCGCTGCAATCACGTCCTTCAGATTCTCCGTCGGCCATGAGAAGATACTCGAGGGAAGAATCAAGCCGAAGCGTGAGGCTCGGGCGGAATACAAGCAAGCAGTAGCAGAGCAACGCGTCGCTGCGTTGCTGGAAGAGCACACCCCTGAAGTTTTCGAGACTCAATTGGGCAATGTTCCTGCAAAATCCACTGTCAAAGTCGAGATACAGTATGTCAACGAGCTCAAGGCCGATATTGGAGGAGAGGGAGTGCTAGTAACGATCCCAACCTCGGTTGCACCACGATACGGGTCACCACCGTCGGGGTTTCCTTCGTCCACCACAGCGTTAGGCAATGCGTCAAATCATGGCCTCTCAATCGCAGTCAACGTTACGAGCTTGGCTCCTATTCGCAAATTAGAGAGCCGCACCCATCCGATATCCGTCGAGATGGGTGCTTCAGCGACTCACAACAACCCAATACCAACGCCAACCTTTAGTAACTTTGTGAAAGCTGCTTCTAGTGTCGAATGCCCCCAGACGCCTATTTTCGACCCTAATAGAGCTATAGCATTGCTTTCTGACTCATCAGCTACTCTTGGCAAAGACTTTGTCCTCCTGATTCTATCCTCAGGGTCGACCCTGATCAAATCCCGCGCTGTGAAAGAGGCTCCGATAGACGACACTAATGAATCGGCTATAATGGTCACATTACGTCCGCAGGATTTGTTCGTCTCAAAGTTTACCTCCGAGACGTCTAATCGCTTTGAGGGAGAAATTATCTTCGTGGCCGATCGTTCAGGCTCGATGATGGGCGAAAAGATCAACACGCTTCGGGAAGCTTTAGGCGTTTTTCTGAAGAGTCTTCCAGAGAAGGCTTTCTTCAACATCTACTCCTTTGGTGACAGCTTTTCGTCGCTCTGGGACTCTTCCCAAGAATACACCCAGCAGAGTCTAGATGCAGCTATGCACCATATATCCAACGGCTTCGACGCAAATATGGGTGGTACTGAGATGTTTTCGGCTATCGTGAGAGCTTTCCAAAGACGAATTGTGCAAAAGAACTTTACAACTCAGATCATCATCCTCACCGACGGAGAAGTTTGGGGTACAGAGCAGCTGCTTGACTTCGTTGCCGGATCCAGGCAAAGGTCTAAAGGCGCGGTGCGCTTTTTCTCCCTTGGCATTGGAGACTCAGTATCACATCAGCTGATTGAAGGCATTAGCCGTCAAGGTGGAGGGTACGCTGAGGTTGTAGCCGCTGATGGAAAAGGCAAATGGGCAGCAAGAGTCATCCACATGTTGAAGGGGGCTCTCATGCCAGCGACCTGGGATTGCGAGATTGAGATCGATGGCTTGGCAGCAACTTCACCACAGCAACAGAACTTCTCACTCTCACCCCAAAGACCTAGGTACATCCAAGCACCATATCACATTCCTTCTTTGCATACATTTGCTCGCCAATCAGTTTTCGTGCTTTATCCCCAACAGGCCATAGGTGATCCGCGGACGGTCATCATAAGGGCAACGGCCGCGTCTGGCGAGATCATCACTACGCACCTCGATATCGAGCAGATACCTATCGGCACCAATGCCATTCATCATCTTGCCGCCAAAGCTTCAATCTCGGACCTGGAGGCTGGTAAGAGTTGGATGCATCGGACTTCGTCAAAACTCGCCACAGACGATGTTCATGCTCCCTCGGATGACAAGATACGAAGGGAAGCTGAACGACTTGGAACATTGTACAAAATAACCGGAAAATGGACAAGCTTTGTTGCTGTCGATAACAACAACGGTCAAGAGAGTCTATCAAGACTATACAAAGCTCAACGTTCCGAATTATCTATACTCACGCAGCCACGTTCCCACTACCTCTCAATGCCAAACACGGCCGTAGCTACGACGATGGACCAAAATTTTCAAGATCCCAGGACTTCCTATTTACCGCTTGCTAGTGCGAATAGCCCCAATAGCACAATTAACCCAGCTAGCATGAACATTCCATATCCTTTTAGTCGACTGCGAGAGGTACCGGAGGGTTTAAGTATGTATGACGCCAGCACATCTCATGCGATAGCCCTCCAGCCAAGTCAAAGTCGCCAGGACATCAGCGCCCATGATTATTTCGAAGCCGAGGAGAACAACAACGGCAGCGGCAGCAGCGGCAGCATAAGCAGAATCAGAAGCAGCATCATGGACCACATCCCCCGAGAACTGTCTCCATATAACGCGCCCCATACGCCAAATAATGCCAGCATTCCAATCAGCTTGAGCGGAGAACAATCGCCTGTTCTGTATCACTCTCGAAGACCGTCAAATGCGCAATTACATAGCTCGTATAGTCAGCAGACAGACTCTGAAGAGGGCTCGCAAACCCCAGATGTCGTCGAATCGACTGGTTTGCCACGCCGCGGTCATGCCTTCAAGCGCACCGAGGAACCACCCCGGAATGCTGCCAATAAGATCATCTGTTGCCATAAAGAATGCATAAATCTAAGCCTCACTTTTGATCGGAAATGTGAATGGAGGTATGCAACATTCATCCTAAGCACTTAATAATTCGCGCTAATTCAACTATGTAGTAAGCATATGGATAAGCATGACCGGCCATACAAGTGCACCATCGCTGGATGTGAGAAACTGCAGGGCTATACCTATAGCGGCGGTCTTCTTCGCCACGAGCGTGAGGTGCACAAGATGTATGGAGGGGTCAAGAAGTCTCTATTCTGCCCCTTCCCCGACTGCAAGCGCTCCTCCGGCCAGGGCTTCACACGGAAGGAAAACCTCGCTGAGCACATCCGTCGTGTTCATCACACCACTGATGAGGAGAGAGAGGTCAGCCTCCAGGATCTAGTTGCTATCCAGACTGCGACGGGCTCTTTCCCGTTGGAACGCGAAAATCGTGAATGTATTCTAAACAAGATGGACCCGCGACATCGCTGCCGGTATGAGAAATTCTGCCAGGCAATTCGTTCACCCTCAGATCTCCAAAAAGAAGCTTTGGATACGCTGCTCGTGATACGGTTTATCTACGTCACATTTCCTGAGGAGAAGCAACTTTGGGAGCTGATGGTCCAAAAGGCTGAACGTTGGGTCAAGTCGCAACTCCCGGAGAGTGTGATTTCATGGGAGTTAGAAGGCTTACACGACGTCCAACCCGAAGAGCCAGACGACGAGGACAATGCGAAAATGGAATGGGTCAAAGATGTATGAAAGAAGAGAGCACGAGAAGACAGCATTGAACAGACAGCGAATACACTAGGTAGTAGAAGAAAGAGCTCTGGACCAAGTAGCGGACACATCTCCTAAGGGACATATCAAGGACGCCAGAAGAGGTATTGTTTCTTTCTTGACACTTAGTTACCGAAATATATGTGTATTTCAGTGGTTAAACTTTTGCTCAGCACGTCTCTTGAATCAAAATCTACTAATAACTATATTCTACTAGTATGTGCTATCTTGCGCTTCCCTAGACTCGTGCGAAAATATAGATATACGACCATAAGCCTGCTCTCAGGTTCAAACGCAGGAGCCGACAGTGGTGAATCGTTCGCTGGGGAAGAGGAAAGGTAAAAAAGGGATTTGTGCAGGCGAGGTCAGAGCGGGAATCGAATGTAGGAGACGCTCTGGAAGGGGAAATAGGTGGAAGTAAGAGGGAAGTTTTACCAGGGGTAACAGACGTAATCGCCCCTCTTCAATCCCAATTGGGCAAATAGAGGTATACTATGCAACAGTGGCCGCTACTTAGTAGTCGAAGAGCAGAATTAAATTGATCATATCTTAGTTAGGTCACATTTCATCGAACGCATTACCAACTATAATAGTTAGTAAATCCCCGCCTCCTACGTTCACTACAGCCACTTCATTTTTCTCATTAAGACTACACGCATGCTGCGCTAGGCGTAATTCTATATACTCGAACTTTATGTGGTACTATGCCTTTGCTATTTACTCAAAGTTGATCCATATCGCTCTGCCTCAGGCTTTCGCGGGCGACTGAAAAGGGGGGGAGAGGACATATAAGGCTTAACTATAGCTTCATCAAAGCTCTAAAATTAGGTATTCAAGGAGTTCAAGGAGACTTTGGCGTTCCACTCCGGCTTATTTGCTATAGACGTTCACTAATTATGAATACCTAGTGAGCTGAAAAAGGGGAGGAATGGGTTAGAGCCGCCAGGCACGTACATTTACCTTCAACTGCAGCTCTATCATATACAGTCAATGCTTTTTATCGGCTGCCGGATCTCTTACAACCGGCTTACTGTAGTACCCGGGGTATATTTTGTGCACAACATTCACCTTGCATTTTAGAGGCACTAAGCATAGCCTTTGTTTGTTTTGCCCGAGCATTTTAATACATGGAAACAGGAACCGTGATTGGTGTCTTTAGATTACAGGGTGAATGTTGTGCGCGGCCCACGCACAAAATATACCCCGGGTACCACAGTACTCGCAGGTCATGGTGAATCGGGATATGTGATAAGTGTGTGTACGTCTGTTTACCTGCTTCGGGTACCTCAGTGGACTTTCAAGACTCTAGGGGCAATGTCAAGTTCCATGCAGCGGAATCTGAGCTGCCTCTTGACTGGCCGGCTTCCTGGTAACGGAGCTACTCTTGACAGTGGTAATTGTCCCCCAAAAAGCGAGCTTCGTGCAGGATAATTGGGAGGGCTGTGCCGATGGAAACGATTCGACTCATTAAGAAGGCAATTTCATTCACTCCTTCGACTCTCGCGCATCAACGCCGCGACCTTCTTTCCCCCGCTCCTGTCAAGTACCTAAACCTCCTCCTCTCACACCCACGCTCTCCTAAACCACTGCTGTTCCAAAAGCTACAATCCACCACAACCTATCACCACCCACAAGCTGTGTTATCCTTCAAAACCAGCAATGGCGCCTGCCAGAGACCAGCGCAAGGTATTGCGGGCCAGGCTTCGTTCTCTTAGGGAAGAGTATGAAAAGGCTCGCACAGCCATGAGAACTATCGGAAAGGAGATCAAGGAGATGGAGGCGGAGCTCGAAGTAAGCGTTCCAAGTCACTGCATTGGACGAACATCACGAACATCACGAACTAACACAACCCCTTTATCTAGAAGCTGAATATTCAGGAGCCGGACCCAGCAAAGGCTTCTACCAGCAACAGCGAGCGTAGCCTCAAACGCGGGCTGTCTGCTCCCAAGAAGCCAGACCCAGCGAAGCCTGCTACCAACAACAGCGAGCATAGCCTTAAGCACGGCCGGTCTGCTCCCAAGAAGCTGGACGCAGCAAAGCCTCCCACCAGCAACAGCAAGCGTACTCAGCACCCACATTCCACCTCCACGAACCGCCCAGTCATCACCGGTCTTCGCCGAGCTCGTAGCGCATCACCACTCCGTGAGAAGGCCGATAAACTCGAAGAGCTCCTTTCGAAGGCCGATGAGCTCGAAAAGCGCCGTTGGAGGGAAGAAGTAGACGACGACACGCTGGCGAAGCTAGAAGAAGCTAGACGCGAGAAGTACAAAAAGAGACCCACCCTTCGCAATCTCAATCGACCCTCAATGTTCCTTGCTACGCCCAAAACTCCAGCTCAAGTCCTGAACAACCACGGCGTCTACACCTATGCCGTCCCTCAGGCTCTGCAAGAGGAGGAGATGCACGGTTACCCCACCGTCATCTACCACGAGGATAAGTGGATGGAGCTCTGTTGCTCGGCGTGTGGTGGCAACGCAATCAAGCCGACAACGCGTATGCCGGTTGAGGAGCTAGATTGGGTGAAAGGCATCGTTGGCTTCCACCGCCATCTGCACTACGGCCATGGTATCGACATCCACAAGAGACAGGTGGCCTCTGCGTGCAAGGTACGCGAATTCAACGCCGAAGAGGTTCGCAAGATGAGGGCTCGAGCCCTAGATGCGCCCAAGATCACACAGAAGTGGTGCGTAGATGGAAAGGTTCCCGCCAGCAAGGGCAATTCAGGAGGTGCCGGAGAGGGTCTGAAGGTCGGACAAGGCGAGAAGTTGTAGGCATGGGTGTGTACGATGACAAGCTATGGTAGCGGGTATTGGGGCTTCTCAAAGAGCTAGTATTGACGGAAAGTGGTTTCTGTCTTTCATACTGACTAGAGCATCTGCGGGTTTTCCGAGTTGTTCTGGACGATTTTTATAAAGCCCGGGCAGATGAAGCAAATCATAAGCCAGTAAATGGTGTAATATCTACAAAAGACTGGACTATGTTCCTACCCACTATACGAACGTTGTATCATGATGACCTGCACACCCGGTCCTGAATCTATGACTTTAGATCCGTTGCTCGCGCCTACTAGATTGACTTATTTAGGCGTGCGTTTTGGGGATGTACATGGCTGTCGAAGACACCCCTGGGGGCTGGAGGATTGTAGGGGGTGAATGTAAAGCTCGTGACATCATAATCTAGACCTCTAATTATACGACTAGTATTACTACATCTGATTTCTCGCGCATGCTAAATCACAACATATAGGCGTGTGCTTTTGCCACGCAGACAGCTATCTAAGACACCCCAGGAGGGTGGAGACTTAAAGAGCGAGATTGCAAAGGCGCTTGTAGCGCAACCCAGACGCTCTACTATGCACTTGATATCTATGTACTAATTCACTATGCGGGCTACATTACGTTATAAGGGCGTGCGTTTCTAGGGTGTGAATGGGTTGCTGTATGGGTCAGACATCGAGCCAGCAGCTTCTACATTCACTGAACTGCCTATGCTTATCTAACCACTAGCTCTCTGTCACGGACGTGACGGACGCGTGAGCGTTAGGAGGCAGGCACGTGGGCGGAACCGTATATAGTTTAATATTGTCGAGCCTTACGCTCGACAACTCAATACTCAATACAAACTTATTTGCAATCGCAACACGACGATTTTAACGTGCGCGTGCGCGCGTGAATGCACGCATACGTCCCTCGCCCTCTCTTTTAACCCCTACGTCAAGCTCCACTCCGTCTTTAATCCACCACACTCTACAATACCACTATCATAGCCCACCTCCCATCCACCGCAATGGACTCCGTCACCAACAACACTATGCCCACTAGCGAAGCTCCGGTTGATTGGCTTGATGACACCACTCACCGCCGAAACTCGAGCGCGCTGGCTTGAAGAACTAGCAAAACGCAAGGCCACACTTCTGAAGAAAATGGAGCACCAAGAGCTTGCGGGTCCACTTCCCAGCTACAACACCTCAACGTCCGCAGAGCAACTAGAGCAGCAGCTAGCAGAGATAGACAAACAGAAAGTGGAGCATCTCGAGCAGCTAGAAGAAAATCTGAAGGAGGACGCGGAGCTCGAGAATCAGCTCAAAGCCATCATCGACAAGGAGGAAGCGGAGCGTCTCGAGCGGATAGAGAAGCTTCTGAAAGAGGGTGCGGAACTTGACGAGCAACTCGAAGCGCTCGATGGAAAGGAGCAGGTAAGTACACTCCATCGAATAGAGCGGAATCGTGATGCGCGCACATGCTCAAAGCTCTGCGATACGTTTGTGTCTTGGCTAATACCTTTTTCAGGAAATTCTAGCTGCGATGGCGGCCGACGCAGTCAGTCAACTCTCTCTCGATACTTCCGATGCCGAAGGCCAAGTCTGAAATGACATCAAACAAAGCCGTGCAGATTTAATGACTTATAAGGAGTCTCGAGCGGCCACGACAGCTTCTGGCTAGGTATATGCTCATTTTGGAAGGCTAAGGCTGGTAGAGAGGGACCCGGGTTCCTAGTCTAGCGTTTAATAGGAGAAGGTCAGAGCAAACCTAGCAAGGTTTATGGATAAGAAACGTCAAACAGGCCATGGAAGTTAATTGGAATCTCTCTCATACCGAACTAGGGGGCTGTTGTTATACTAAGACGAAGCTACGTTACCTGTGTTTCTCTATATCTTAAGGCACCACTAGCGACGATAAAGACGTGTACACGGACGGCTATATAAACACTCTATCATGAGCCGAAAATTATGCAGGATTTTGTTTTGAAGGGAGTGACTACAAGACTATTCTTTTCCAATGCAGAGTTGAAATAAAGTTATAAGAGCGTTCTCAACATCCTTGAAGAGACTCGCATTGACGCCCAATACCACAAGCCCAAACCGCTTGAAATCATGGACATGTATATCGTTCAGCTACTTCGGGACAAGCGAGTAGACCTGCTCATTAAAACTCTAGCCCTGGGAGAAAAAACAAAAGCCCCTGGTTCTTCTGCAACGCTTGAATCTCCCGAATTCCGAGAGTCCACATACCACTTGTCATCCTTCTTTCCTGTGAAATGCTCTTTACCCTGCTTGCTGTGAGTATCATGCAGCAGGCTGTATGCGATCGCCGAAAGTGGAAATAGTTTCTCCTTGTACTTGCACACGCCTAGGTATCAGCCTTACCCCGCTTTTCGAGAGCGTCGCCTGGGCATGCGGCAGGCATACGATGGGCCGATGTTTAGCTTATAAAGACAGCTAGGAGCCCGCTAGTTCATAGCATCACGCTCATCAGTTGCTCCCACTCCGCACGAAGTTTACCTCCAGAAGCTTCCAATACTGCTTCATCATTCTAACGCTCCCCCTTCCAACACCATGGCAAAGAAATGTCGCGTCACCAACTGTGCATGCCAGGATTATGTCGAAGATCCTAACAAACCGGATACCTGCAAGACCTGTAGTGATGTGAAAGGAAACCACGGGGGACCAGGGTTCAGCGATAACTAAGATAGTAAGGACTTTGAGAAAGTATGAGCGGCTCACTGAACGCTAACCAAACATCTTCTAAGGTTGGCGTGAATAGGCTCGCTGCGGCAACTGGAATTGCAATGTTATACACCTAAGGGGTTTCGTGATGAGCTACGGCTTACGCTCTTCTTCATGCGCAAATCAATGCTCGAGGTCGGACGTGGTCCCCAATCGTTATCATCTGATAGCAGCCATATTTTTTATTCAAGGATGCAACTACATTCTATCGGCCAGGCTGAAGGGCAGGAGGTCTGACGACAACTCTGAAGTAGTGGTGAATTCTTTTATGTAACTGCATGGCCTATTAGCACCTACGTGTGCAAGTAAAGAAAAGGAGATAAGGTGTCCCTAGGTAGTGAATATCGTAGCTCATTAACCAGCTAAGAACTAGCACTAGCAAAGCGTTAGTGACCCTATATAATAAGTATAATATTCGTCAGTTAACCGTTAAGCGCCCCTGGCCTCCCGCTGTCGCTCCTGCGCTTGCCCACTGGGATCATGCAGCGCGGGAGAATCCCGGGCGATCTTGACAACACTCCTATTTCACTATATCGCCTTCTATGAGCGCCTAAGCGTTAGCTTGGGTTCGAATCGCGCTCGAGTCGGCCTGCCCAAAACATTATTTCCACTGCACTATACTTCCTTCCCCTCATGAGCGCCTAAGCATAGCTTGGATTCATTCACGCTCTAGTCGCCTGCACCAAAAAGCTCTTTCACTATACTTCCGCTTATGAGAGCCTGCCTAAGCTTAGCTTGGGGTTATAACACGCTCATACACCTCATCCTTTCTTTTTTCTTTTGCTCTTTTTTTTTTATTCCACGTGACCATTGAATGATGCATTCACCATGAAAGCACGAAGAGACGCGTTAGATTACGGAAAGCAAGGTTCTCTTACAGAAAAGCAGTGGAAGAGCTCTGGGTAACACCATCATCTCACCTCACAAATATCGTTGCAGAGCGTAGTCCTCGCTAACCCAACCCAATCCACCCAACGCCCAGGCAATCTCTCCGCAACATCAACGATTACCCCCGTGCCCCCACACCATTCCCCTATTGATAACCCCGCGACGGAAGCTCATGCATGCCGTGATACGCCTCAGGCTGAGAGTATATCTCGTGGACGGATTCTGGCTGCGGAAGCTGCTGGTTGCTGTAGTACTGTGCCTGAGCTGCCGGAGTGTTGGCCTTCCTGGTATGCACGTTTTCCGAAGTCCCCTTTCCTCGCCGCCTACGGAAGAGAAAATAACCCAATGCTAATCCGGCTATGGTGGCCATAGGTATGCCGACGCCGATGCCTGCTTTTGCGCCGGTGGAGAGACCACCGCTTGATGATGGTGATGTTGACGTGGGTGAGGTTTGTATTGTAGGTGATGCTGAGATCTGGAACGTCGAGGTAGTCGACAATGCCTCAGAGGTAGTCGCAGAGATAGTAGATGCCGTGGTGGACGCAATAAGGCTCGACGAATCCGGCGTTGTGGTAGATGATAGTGTTAAACTCGTCGAACTCGCTTCAACTGATGCCAAAACCCACTCATGATCGCTGCCATTCCCCTCTATGACCGATGCTGTTTCGCCCATAGCCGCCAGCGTCAAGCCATCGCCACAGCAGTCCTGCCAGATCCTGGCAGACCCATCAGGCCACGTATCGACGTGCCAAATTTGACCATTGCATAAAGTAGCGTTCGAGGCAAGATACGGGACCTTTGACAGATGGCCGTCTAGACGGTAGCCCGGGAATGCTTGGTTCGTAATGAGGTACGCGAGTCCGGGCGTGTTGATGGTGCCCGAGTATATCGTGAAGTACCAGTTGGCTCCGTTACCGGCAGAGCTGATGTCAGTCACCACTACGTCTGCCTCACCGGAGGTGGTTGGCGCGTATAAAACGGTGTTTGTGGAGTCGGCATTCGAGATCGTGTAGGCGAGAAGGGTGTCAATACGGAGACCTTGAGCAAGCGTTGCGAGAGTGATGTACACTAGTACAGCGAAAAGGGTACGCATTATGGGGTTACACACTGGTAGCTGGCGTCTTGACGATAGCTTGATCTCGGCGAATTACTGCTGGGGCCTGGGTTTCATGGCAGCGAGGCTGGAAACGACGTAACGTGGGAGGGTCGGCGCTTAAAAGAAAACATACAGTGCCAAGATCCAATACGATATCGTGCCTTGAAAGGCACTATCGACTTACCTACCCATGGCTAACCCCACAAGTCTGATGTGAAGAAAGCTGTCCAACGCATGGTCGTGATTTCTTGGCTGCATGGAATCATGTGGAGGCGTCGAGTGGCGTTGAGGACCGACGAATCTCGGTCACCTTTGGGCAGACGTAGCGGCCTGGTATTCATATGAACGGGCGCGGAATAATGCCTTCCGGAACGCCTGCCAAGATAAAACTTAGCTTTGAGGCTTGCGAGTGGACAGATTCAGAATCCGCACGACCTTCATGCATTAGCGTGGTTCAGCCTTGCGTATGCGGCGAGAACGCAGCCCTTCTCAAGAGAATGAGGAAGTTATGTATGGGGTCAACCTACTAGAAAGCAGTCTTAAAGCTCAGAAACTAGAGATTAAGTGGTAATGATAGGGAAGCACGAACACGGTGAGAAGAAAGAGTTTGTCTGAAACTTGAAGATATCGAGAACATTTCAAGAATCACAGAGGAACAAAACTATTCTAGGATGATCATTTGCAAATACTTTCATGTCGGATCATGGACCAAATAGTGCCAGAACCGTGATCGCAGTGCTCCATGAGACCAGCCAGGAGTCCCGAAATCAGCATCCCCAAAGGGTATCTATGACTGAAGCAAGAAGAAAAGAAGGACGCCGTACTTATGATGCGCCCAAACGCCACCGGTGTCGACTAAAAGGCATGACACCGTACACCAATGCCAGATCAATGCATAAAACTCACTGATCACGTGCCGCGTCGATCTCTGAATACTCCAGCCACTGGTTGGTAACAGACTTTTTCCAGGATCGTACGGTGCCATCGTCGCCGGTTGACAGCAGTAACTCACCTAAAACAATATGAGCCATTGTTGGCAAGTCACACGAGGGCATAACTTACCCATGGGAGAGAATGCCACTCTCCACACTGCGCCGTGATGTTGGGTTAACTCCGCAGCTTTCTTGACCACATGCCTCACGCGGCCTGGGTGACCCTCATTGTCTTGAGCACTATCAGCAACACTCGACGTCCCCGCGAGTCCAGCTCCGATCCCGGACGGAGTATTCTTTCGAGGTCCAACGGGTCGTGGAGCAGCGGGATTTTCGACCATGGTCGAGGCGGACGAGGCATTTCCCTTCGAAGAGGATGTGTTCGCAATAGGGGTACTTAAATCGTAGATACGGATGGCGCCATCCTTGCTCGCAGTAGCGATGACATCGTAGCCTCTCTGCGAACCATTGGCCCAGGCAACGTCCCGAATGATCTGCCGGGACCCTTTGAGCTCTGCCGCTTGGTAGAAGCGCTTTGCTTTATCAGTCCTAAAGATCTTCACTGTCTGCATGGCCACGACGGCGAGCGAGAGCGCTTTCCGGTCCAGTCCAGCCTGGACGGCGGTCCAGCATGGAAGTTTCTCCTTGTGGAAGCATACCTTGAAGCCGACTTCCTCCTGCCGATCCGGAGTCTTATCACAGACCCAATTCTGGGCAATGAGATTCCACTCAGCCAGAGTGCTCTGATCGACGGGCTCATAAACGGTGAGGCGTCCGTCTCGTGTGATTAGAGCAAGCCAAGTGTCTTGCATGATGTTTTTGAAGTCCAGCGACATGAAAGGCGCGCCTGTCTCTGATTTGATATTGTATATCAGCTGGAATCGCTTGCCTGACATGGGAACTTCGGTCACGTCTTCCTGCCAGAGCTTGCATCGGCCGTCTTCGCCAATGCTACCAATGACCTCGCCCATAAATGGGCCATTCCATTTGGCCTAGGGCCGGTTAGTGCTTAAGCATAGAGGGCATATGCAAATAAATGTCCTCATTTTGACTCGAAGACTCTTTATCAGATAGAAAGCGTCTAGGGGGGAATATGTAGGAAGGACTGGGCACTCACATCAACTATTTCGGCATCGTGAGCCCTCCAGCTATCGACCAGATTCCAGGAGTCGTCTTTCTTGTCATGAACCTTGAGTTTGTGGTCCGACGACGCGGTGACCATGCGAGTACCAAAGTAGTTGAAGTCCACAGCCAAAACAAGGTCCTGATGGCCATGCGAAAAGGTCTGAAAGCTGCGCTCGGCCATGGTGGCGTAAGACTTCCGGGCAAGCACAAAGAGGGATTCGAGTTTTTCGCTGACGCGTGAGTCTATCTCCGGAACGCTGCCATTACAATCACGTTCAAGAGTCAGCAGAGAAGTGTAGTCAACTTCGTCAAATGAGTCCTTGTTGACAATGGCGGTCAGGTTGAGATGGCTATGGCGATGATGGGAGCCGGGAAAAGAGCGTGCGTCCTGTGGGGGCTCCCCGGGCGAGAGAGAGGTGTCGGAGGCGGCCTGCGAGGGCAGCCGGCTGGGCGAGAGGTTCTTCAAAAAGCCCGGGCGATAGAGCAGACTGGTAGCCGCGTTGAGATTCTCCTGGATCGGGTCCTGGGCGTCCTTCTGCGAATGGTGTCGGTTGTTGCGGTCCATCGCCAATACCTTGCGGAAAAGCGCCTCTGCCGATTCGCGTTAGGGTGGGCTTCACGATGCGGGCGGTGAGGGTGGCAGTAGTCGGGGCAGCTAACGGTCTGATCGCCAGGCCACCTTTCAACTCCAGACTCGCGACGAACTTGATGTGCCCCGTTCACTTTTCGCACTTCCACGATGGCCGCCAAGCTGGGCAGGACCGAAGTGCTGTCGCTCCTTTCTTTGTCATGTGCGTGCGTGGGCGTGCTGGCAAACACCTTCCAGGGCGACGGCGAGCCTCTAATCGCTTCTGTTGCATTTAGCGGCCTAGCGTTTTCTTTCACCTACGCCCTTATACGATGGCTAGGGCCTGCATTCAAGCGCGCTGGCTTCAAGGGGAAGGATCTGTCGAAGCTGCGTCAGCCCGAAATGTGCGTAGACACCAGCAAGCGCTGTTGGTTGAATGATACTGAGCCATGTGACAGACCAGAGACGATGGGCGCCGTCTGCGCCATTGTATACCTGTTCATTATAATCGTGTTCGTGCCGTGGCCCTTCTACAAGGACATCGTGGCGGCCACGTCTGGCGGCGGGAATCGCGATGTAGTCTTCGAGCTCCAGCAGGTGGAGACTGGCCGACTACTGCACAAATTTCCCCACAGCAAAGTTTGTACTCCCTTTAGTCCCAAATGGACCTTTGCTGAATATATCTATCAGCTTGCATCATATCTGTCTGCCATTCTCTCTCTTCAGTCCGTCGTCCTATTGGGCATCGGCGACGATCTGTTTGATATCAGATGGCGCCACAAGGTGCTCATCCCGGCATTCGCCTCTATTCCTATTCTGATTGTCTACTTTGTCGACTTCGGCGTGACCAAGATGGTCGTCCCAACGTTCCTACGACCCTACCTTGGCGAGCTGTTTGATCTCGGTAAGGAGAGCCCTCGTTCCGAACAAGTACCAGACTGACTTGACCCTGCAGGGTGGTTGTACTACGTCTACATGGCCATGGTGTCTATCTTCTGTACCAACAGCATCAACATCCTGGCCGGCGTCAACGGGATCGAGGTGGGACAGTCGCTGGTGATTGCATTCCTCATCGTCTTCAACGACGCCCTGTACCTGTCGCCGTTCACGCCGTATCCGCATCCGGCCACAGACTCCCATCTGTTCTCCTTGTACCTCCTTCTGCCATTCATCGGTGTTTCAGTGGCGCTACTAATGCACAACTGGTTCCCTGCCAAGGTCTTTGTGGGCGACACGTACTGCTACTTTGCCGGCATGGTGTTCGCCGTCGACGGCATCCTAGGACACTTTAGCAAGACGCTGATCCTGCTTCTCCTGCCGCAGGGCTTCAACTTTTTGTATTCAGCGCCGCAGCTGTTCCATATCATACCATGCCCCCGACATCGGCTCCCGCACTTCAACCCCCGGACCGGGCTCATGGAGTGCTCCATAGTGGAGTTCAAGAAGCCTCTTGCGCGGCCGATCGCGGAGGTGCTGAAGCTGCTGCATCGCTTACGGCTGCTCCGGATAGAGACCAATGAGAAGGGAGAAGTTGTCTCATCTACTAATTTCACAATCATCAACCTCTGGTTGGTTTGGTTCGGGCCCCTGCGAGAAGATCGACTCGCAATGGGGCTGTTAGCATTTCAAACGGGGTGCGGGCTGGCGGGGTTGTTTGTCAGGCATCGAATGGCACTATGGGTCTTCACTCAGGATAATCTGTGAACAGGTGTCCTTCGCAAATGTCCTTTTCCAACGTGCCATCACACGAGAGCGGACTGTAAGATACGAGGTCTAGGAAGGCCGGTAGGTAGGAATCGACACAGCCGCTAGTAAGCGGCAGTTGAGTCCCGATAGCGGCGTGGGGTATATCGTCTCACCGTTCAGGAAATCTACCTAGGTACTTGCAGAGACACCATGCTGGAGCGGTAGCTTACTTCTCAGCGTCATTAGACTATACAAAGATCCGCATCGAGCACCAGATTGCAGCCTTGAGCGTCTACACCAGCCTTGTTTTTTCTCTCAGCCTTTTATGACGACCATGACGTCCAATAGCACCAGCACCATTTGAAGCTCGGCCTCAGCGAAATTCGGAACGTGCGATCCATGCGGCCTAGTGCGGACCCACCCGCCTATGGGGGGCTGCTGATTCTTGTGGCGGGCTTACCCCACAACATTCGCACGGTCCGAAGTCGGCGAGCGAGGTGCTCTGCTCGCGGTATAATTGTGCCACCCAGCTGCCTCGACGCTTTCCTGTCCATCTGTTGCACTGCACTGCTTCTCTCAGCTGCTCTCTCGCGCTTTGCATTATACCTCCCCATCCTCTGCATTATACCAGCCCAATTGCTTGTTGTACCACGCCCGGCATCATGCCGTCTGCTGTGAAACCTCCACAGACCCTGTACGACAAGGTCTTTGCGGACCACATCGTCGAGGAGAAAGACGACGGCACCATCCTGTTGTATATTGGTGCGATTGCGCCTCCCGCAGCTTCACCGCATCGAGATGGAAATCTAACCCTCCTGCAGACCGACATCTGGTCCATGAAGTCACATCACCTGTAGGCACCCGCAGCGGACGCATCTCCGCAAGCCACGCAAGCTTCCACCACTGACACGGGACCCAGCAAGCATTCGAAGGCCTCCGGAATGCCAGCCGCAAGGTCCGCAGACCCGACTGCACTCTAGCTACCGTTGACCACGTACGTTTCCTTCAGCTGTCTGCCAACGTGGGCGTGGCGACTGACTTGCCACTAGAACATCCCCACCACCTCTCGAAAGAACCTCACTACCACCGCAAAGTTCATCGAAGAAGCCGAATCTCGAACGCAATGCACCACCCTAGAAGACAACGTAAAGGCGTTCGGCCTCACATACTTCGGACTCGGGGACAAGCGCCAGGGCATCGTGCACATCATCGGCCCTGAACAAGGCTTCACCCTGCCAGGCACGACGGTGGTTTGCGGCGACAGCCACACTTCTACACATGGCGCCTTCGGAGCCCTGGCGTTTGGTATCGGCACCAGCGAAGTGGAACATGTGCTGGCCACCCAGACCGTCATCACACGACGGAGCAAGAACATGAGGGTACAGGTCGACGGAGACCTCCCTGCTGGCGTAAGCAGCAAGGACATCATTCTCCATGTCATTGGCGTAATCGGAACTGCTGGTGGCACTGGTGCTGTGATTGAGTTCTGCGGGTCTGCCATCCGAGGCCTGAGCATGGAGGCGCGTATGTCGATATGTAACATGTCGATTGAAGCTGGTGCACGAGCTGGCATGATTTCTCCCGACGAGACTACCTTCAATTACCTCAAGGGCAGGCCGCTGGCTCCCAAGCCTGACAGCGCAGAGTGGAAAAAGGCCGTGGCGTACTGGTCTACCCTAAATTCGGACGCAGACGCAAAGTTCGACATCGACGTATTCATCAACACCAAAGATATCGCTCCAACGGTATCCTGGGGTACATCTCCGCAAGATGTCATTCCGATCACTGGTGCTGTCCCGGGCCCCGATGATTTCCAGGACGAGGACAAGAGGAAAGCTTGTATTCGAGCTCTGGAATACATGGGCCTGACTGCAGGTACCCCCATGCAAGAGATCGAAGTCGACAAAGTCTTCATCGGGTCGTGCACGAACGCTCGCATTGAGGATCTCCGTGCTGCTGCCAAGGTCGTGGAGGGAAAGAAGGTTGCTCCCAACCTAAAGAGGGCCATGATCGTACCCGGATCCGGTCTTGTCAAGCGTCAAGCTGAGTCCGAAGGCCTCGATAAGATATTCACAGAAGCCGGTTTCGAGTGGCGGGAAGCTGGCTGCTCAATGTGCTTAGGCATGAACCCCGATATTCTCTCCCCAGGCGAACGATGTGCCAGCACATCAAACCGTAATTTCGAAGGCCGACAGGGAGCTGGAGGCAGGACACATCTCATGTCTCCAGTCATGGCTGCTGCAGCTGCGATTGTTGGCAAGCTGGCCGATGTCAGGAAACTCGCGCCTCCAACGACCACCGCCAAATCATCACCCAAGATCGAGCTCAATGCTCACGTCGCCGACCTCGAGAGCGACGATGACCTCGACCGCCTCCTAGACGAGCCAGCTGACCCCCAATCAACCCCCTCGCCCTTCGCTGCACCCGACGCCTCCAAGGGCGCCATGGCCAGCTTCACCATCCTCCGCGGCATCGCCGCGCCAATGGACATCGCCAACATCGACACCGACGCCATCATCCCCAAGCAGTTCCTAAAAACCATCAAGCGCTCCGGTCTCGGCTCCGCCCTCTTCCACGCCTGGCGCTACGAAGCCGGCACCGACAACGAAAAGCCCGACTTCGTCCTCAACAAGGAGCCCTACCGCAAATCCAAGATCCTCGTCTGTACGGGGCCTAACTTTGGCTGCGGCAGCAGCAGAGAACACGCCCCGTGGGCTCTGCTGGACTTTGGCATCACTTGCGTAATTGCGCCGAGCTACGGCGATATCTTCTTCAACAACACCTTCAAGAACGGCATGCTGCCCCTCGTCATCCCGCCCGGTGCGGAACTCGACGCCATCGCGGCGGAAGCGAAGGCCGGGAAGGAGATTGAGGTCGACCTCCCCTCGCAGACCATCCGCGACGCAAACGGCAAGGAGTTGGCGAAGTTTGAGGTTGAGGAGTTCCGGAAACATTGTCTCATCAACGGCTTCGATGATATCGGGCTCACGATGGCGAGCGAGGAAAAGATCCTCAAGTTCGAGGGCAAGCGCACGCGGGAGTGGCCGTGGCTGGATGGGAGCGGGTATCTGGCAAAGCATGGCCGGGGGCCCGTGAAGGTAGAGGCGGTGCCGGTGCCGAAGACGAATAGGGGAGAGGTACTGAAGGAGCCGTTGGAGTGGTAGGGGGCGCATAATATGCGGTAGGGAAGGGAAAGGAATGGAAAAAATAAGGCTGGGTGGGGTTAGGATAATGACTGTGCTATGAATCATGAGGGGATATATGGGAACCTCTCTTTTGGATTGGGCGGAATGATGCCGGTTCTTCTGCTGGCCTACTGCTACTTATAGCTGCCTCTAATATCAACGACTTCATGAACGGCGAACTGTGTACACCTTTTCCTTACTGTGTACACTCTTTCCTTACTGTGATGGGAGCATTGATGCACTTTCAGGAGGCTAAACAAAATGGGAGTAAGCTAATCCGAACAATCACTATCGATTCTGTCTGCCAAGACTGGCGCATATCCATACATACTTAGTAGTAGAAGAAGCCAAGATGATCAAAAGGCTTCATATGCTGAATTTTGTGTGCCAGATAAAAAGCTAAAGTACGGAGTCTTTCCAGCTCCTGTAGCCAGACGCCTTAGCTATGCAAATCGGCCCCATTCCAGTGCGCCAGTGCACCGCTTGCCGCCAAAAAAAAAGACAAGATATGATAGACTCAGGAGAGTTGTAGTCGCGCCATAGCTCAGGAAGACCTCCCATTACCAATCCACTCCATCACCGCGCCTCTGACCTCGTACTCACCTCGCACTCGGCCCATCCTTCCCCCATCCCTTCGCGCGCATACTCTCCTCAATCGCGTTCCAAATCTCCTCCACCACCTGTCTATCCCGCCACCTGTCTTTGGCCCCTTGCGCCGAACTCCACTTGTCCACGCCGACACACTTAACACCCCGTCCCCACCCTTTCACAACATCGGGCGTCTCCTCCCCGTTCCACCCGACGTGGATCCCCAGCGCGTGGCTGAACAGCTCCGCGGGCTGCGTCCACTTGTAGCTCTTGAACTGCCACGTCTGGCCCGTCGTAAAGACGGCGACGACGCGCGACCAGTAGTCCGGCTTGAACATGTCGGGGGTGTCGACGAGCACGAAGCGGAGGCGGTGGGCGGGGTCGATGCTGGGGAGCAGGCGGGTGAGGTGGAGGAGATTGAGGGTGTTTGAGCTGACGGAGGGGTCGTTGGCGGGGATGTAGATGCCGTTGTCGAGGAAGGATTTGATGTTGGACATGCGCAGGAGGGAGGAGGCGGAGGGCGAGAGCAGGACAATGGGCTCGATGCGGCGCGCGGGCTTTTTGAGGTTCGAGACGAGGGGCTGAGGGATGCTGGCGGGTGCGGCCGTGGGGCGGCCGTGCTTGAGGTAGATGGAGGCGGTTTTGCGGATGTGGGAGAAGTCCTGGAGAGGATTACTATAACTGTAGATATAAGAGAAAACGGTGAAGCATACGGTTGGTTTGATGCCTCTTAGCACGCTATTCCGATCACCCGTCTTGCGCTCGCCTTCGTATATCTCGGCCAACCGCTGGTCCACCGTCTTTCCCATCTTTCCTGGCGCAGCGGCACTTGAGACTGTCGCGATGCCGCCTGCAGCTCCCGACGCGACTTCGGCTGAGGTCGCTGCTTGGGTGGTTGCGGCATCCGAGTCCAACCCTTTGATGTACTCGCTCGACTCTGCTTCGCCTTTCAGCCAGGCATTAAGGTCGAGCTTCTGCACAAAGACTAAGTTCTGCACGCTTCCACCAGCGCCACCAGGCGCGGAGAGCTCTTGGTTCAGCGCCTGTGTTGCGCTGATGTAGGTGGGGACAGGGTCCTCGCGCCGTAGCCAGGCGAAGTAGATGCTGCGGAGGTCGAACGGGGCTCCCGAGGGCGCGAAGCGGGTCGGTGTGGAGAGGGGAAATGTGCGGTGGGTGTCATCGTGGTTGAACGAGAGGTGGGTTGCGACGGCGATGTTGTCTACAGCGTCGCTGGCGGAAGTTGGATCGGCGGTCGTGGTGAGGATTGGGAGGGTATTGCTGGCGATAGCGGCGCGGAGGTTGAGGAGGGGATCATCGAGCTGGGCGGTCGTCGCCATGACGGGTTCTGTGGATGTTATATGGGCTAGCCGTGGCTGTTTAAGAGACGCGATCGAAGCTACGCGGAAAGATTTGGATTTGAGGTCGCGCCAAGACTCCAGCTTCAACTTCAGCCTCGCCTTCATTTCAGCATTCCACTTTCTTCCGTCTGGTTGGTCTTACGATGCTGCAAAATTCGAGTACAATACACCGACTATTTCAATCATATGAACGGCAGGAAAGAGGTTCATGCCCAGCTAAAATGGACGTGGACACTCACTGAATGCTAGCTGCACCATTCTTCGCTGAGAGCAGTTCCAATTTTCGACCCCCTCAAATTTGCGCAATCAAATGATAAGTGAGTGGCCTCAAGCCTAGATACCCTCTCCGTCTGGCCTGCTTCTCTTTCCTTTGTTGTCGCTCCATTCCATTGTGGCAGCTTCACGTCCCTGACCCTAGCCGCTGCCAATACTCCGTCCACCATCCTCTAAGTCCGCCAATCTAAGATATACAACCTCAGGCAGATCCGCCAGCCAAATTTGGGCAACGAGATCTCTTGTTACCTCGCACTGAGGGTTTCCGTGTCGCGTGGAGAGCATGAGGAAGGGGTTGTCTAGTTACACAACTAGAGCTATTGCAACACCAGTGCAAGCTTCTATCCTCATCTAGTTGACGCTCATCTTGCAGTGGCGATCGCGTGAGTCAGGTGGTACGAAGATTCCGTCTCGAGTCACTTCGGATACCTACATGGTGGTGGATCTGCTTTTGTCATCTTGTCCTGCTTCATTTCAATGTTTCAATACTTCAAGCTTCAAGCGCACTTACTATTATATTCCATGGCTACACTTCTGTGACTAATTGGAACTCGCTCAAATAGAATCCGTTCACCGACCAACTGCATCTAGATCATTCGTGGGGACCTTCGTATTCTCTTCTGCCCAACCGCGAGCGGCAGAATCTATTGAAATTACTATTTCCTCTTACCAGGATATGTTAAGATTCATTGCAACACAGTAGAGGCTTGCTTCATTTCAGAATTCTGCAAAAGTTTACGCTCCAGTTGCTCAAGCCCACCAACGTTCATCGACGTTTCGTCACACGAATGGGCTTGTGCAATACCCGCATTGGGCCCATACGGACTGGTCTGCCAAGCTGCGTTCTCGCCATGAAGAATCAGCGTGGCTCCAGTTACCCCGCCTCACATGTTGAGGCTTTTCGTGTTGACTAGTTTTGCAGGCTTCTGCCTTGATTTCTGGTGCGGCTGAAGTCTTGAACACGAAGCACGCAGCAAGTCAACTCCAGCTCTTAAAATTCTACGCGCCCTGTGTGTGACTCGGCCACCACAACCCGTGGCTTCATGCAGGTACGTACAATAGCTCTTTCGGACCGTGGGACATGCCGTCGCCGGTGATTCGCTGGCGTACTTTGACAGCACAAGCCAAAGCGAAAGTCCCGTAAGGCTGAGCAACAAGCTGAACTGACACCCGTAATCTCCACCACACTAATATTAAGCATACGGGCGAGATTCTTCCCCATTGGCGCTGCTATCGCTAGAGAGGGACTCAACAGTCGGCAGCGTCCGAGTTCCCCCTGCCAAGACGTAAGCATCAAGAGGATGGCAACGAAGCAACCGCACAAGCCCCGATCCTTTCGGGTCAAGGCGGCATTTCGTTAACTCAGCTTCTGTTGTAAGTTGCCGCCTGCAGCACAGCACTGGTTGGAGACTAGCTCCTCTCTCATGTCCACCAGTTTGACCATATTCTAGTACCACGTTGGGCACTCTCTGGGCCAGCAGTGGCGGAGTACGTCCAGAAGAATTCAACCCAGCATCCCTGAGTCCTGAGTGTATATATTGCCCCTACAGCTGCTCTGCTGTGGGCGTCCTTAATCACAAATCGTCTCTCACTCTCGATCTTTTAGATCATTTCACTCTTTTGCAACGCTCGTTCAACCTTTATATTAGTCTTTCTCTACTATTCCCAGCCTCCACCATGAAGGTATCATCTCTTGGTCTCGCGGCTAGTCTCTTAGCGACGGTGCTAGGGGACCTCCTTTTCCATGAGTCTCTTACTTTCAAGGAGTATGATGAAGCAGTGGCTCTCGGATACACGGTGAAGACAGTGACAGATGCAGAGTGGGCGGCATTGACAACAGCGGACTTTGCCAAATATGAAGCTGTTGTCATCGCAGACCCCAGCTGCGGTGATGTTAGCCAGATCAAGTTCTTCGAAGATTCCAAAGCTGCGTGGTCACCAGCTATTACCGGAAACATAATTCTGATCGGTACGAAAACCTAAGATCCGTTCTAACAAAGCTCCGCTACAGAAAAGCTAAATCTTTGAAGGAACCGATCCAACTTTCCACTTTGCCCGACCTGGTGCGCAGACCTTGATCGACAACAGCATTAAATTCGCGGCAGCTGGGAAGTCCACATCGGGTGCCACACAAACGGGCCTCTACTTTGCTCTCTCATGTTACTATCAGTCCGTCGATTCGGCAAAGGTCGATGCTCTTACTGTCTTAGGTGATTTCACAGTTCGAGGCAATCTTGCTTGCTACAATGATGCTCACCTTGAGGCTCACTCGGACGCAATGAGCACCCTCGATGATGCAGCTCTTTCCGACTGGAGCTGCAGTGTTCATGAGGCATTCTCTTCGTAAGAGCAAATCGGAGCCTTCATACGTCGTCATCATCTGACTCTTTTTCTAGATATCCTTCGGTTGGTAAATTTGGTTTCCAGGCCCTCGCGATTGCTGATGGCATCTTGGGTAAGGCTTTGATCTATATCGCAAGCATCCGATCTCAGAGACTAACTTCTTTGAAGGCGTCGGAAGCCAGCACTTCGGTGACGATCACGATGGTCTTCCATACATCATTAGCAGAGGTGCTACTCCGTCCAAATGCGGCGATGGTATTTGGGATCCGGAGCTCGGGGAAGAGTGCGACGATGGCAATACGGTCAATGGAGATGGATGCTCCTTGAGCTGCAAGTGTGAGAGCGGCAAGGCCCTTGGTAATGGACATTGCGCTCCTCTCAATGGCACAACTAGCAGCAGTTCCACCTTCGTTCCTAGCTCTACTGGCACCATCCCCACATCGTCGGAGTCTCCAGTCTACAGGTATGATCTTTTTATGTGAAAGGCTGGCACCTAGCTAACAACCACTTCAGCAACTCTTCATCGTCTATCGTGCATCCGTCATCCTCATACTCGAGCGGCGTACATTCATCCTCGAGCAGCGGCTCATATCCGAGCTATAGTCCACCTACGTACCCGAGTTCTACGCCACCTGCCTACACTGCTCCCCATCATACCCCACCCGCCTACTCAACGTCCTACGCTCCTCCAGCCTACATTACTCCTTCTTGCCCCACAGGCCCGAAGATCATCGGCGTGGAGATCATAATTGAGGTCACTATCACGGAGATCTGCAAGACTTTGAACCCTACTTCCACAGGTGTGCACCCAATCTCTAAGATGGAACTATCATTCGCGTACTAATTATGTCTACTAGTCACCGAAACCTCCACCGTGCCATGCGCCACCAAGGAACGGCCCATATACGACGTCGAGGAGTCCGGCCTGCCATGCTACGCCTGTGCCATGAAATCTGCAAGTCTTAGCTGCCCAAGCGGCGAATTCGTCACCGTGTCTACCGTAAGCCCTATCCCCACTCTCCCACTACCCCATCCTACCTCTATTGCAACCCTCTAACCTATATACCACCAGACTGCCTGCTCCGCCTGCTCCACCTACGTCCCTCCAGTCCTCTACACCGAGGAGTCCTGCTCAGGGTACACCATCACCGAGACTGATGTCATCGTCCCCTATGCCACGTACTCCTACCCGCTGAGGGAGTACCCGTCCGAGGTCCCGCACTCGCACCAGCCGAAGACTACAGAGTATTCCACGGTTAGTGTTGGATACCCGGCTAACACTAGCTTGACTCCCTATGTTCCTACGGGCGCCTATACGCCTCAGCCGAGCTCTAGCATTGTGCTGTTCGAGGGCGCTGCTGCGAATGTTGGTGTTACGGTGTCAGCGGTTGTAGGTGCAGTTGTGTTAGCGTTGGCTGTGGTGTTATAAGTAAGTATATGGTGATGGAAGGGAAGGGAAAGTGTAACGATGGTATGGCTCGATGTATACTAGTGGTTTGGGTAGGGATCGGATTCTAGTCTTTTGCTTTTGTATTTTTCTTCTTCTTGTGCTGAGCGATTCAGATGGATGGTTGTAAGTTGTTCGATGGACGTTGAAGGCAGAGAAGGCACGGGATAATTATAATTCAATGATTTGCTTTGGGGAATTTTTTGCTTGAACGCGGATATCTATTGCACTCCTACTTCACGCTTTCAACCCACACGAACGACTTGCTCCATAAATCCTATCTCTAATACTCAGAGAGCAAAAAGATAGAGTCCTAGCATGCTAGCTAGGAGGGCAAAAACTAATGGGGCTGACCGGGATCGAACCGGTGACCTTTAGCTTGCAGGTCTACTATCCAGGACCTTCAGGCTAACGCGCTCCCAACTGCGCTACAGCCCCAGATGAGGCGGTGGCAGAAAATTAAGATATACTCATATGTTAGTATTTTGGTAGAGTTGGATATTTCTGTGTGGTTAACAAGGGTAGTGTGGAGACCAATGGTCTCGCTTCGGGCATATGTGGACTAGACCGGACTACAGACTTACGACAATCACCCACTAGGAACCTAAGCTTAGCTTAGACGCTTATAGAAGTGTAGTATAGATAAGAGGAGTGAATGTTGCTAGAGCATTCCGACTTTGCCGTTCCACATAATCCTAATTGGGCAAGCGCGGGTTTTCAACAACAGGGGCCGGAAGATATTCTAGCATAGGACTGGCGAAAATTAAACAGAACATATCCCTACACATCCCCAAGTGCTTAGCTTCTTCACCGAGCGCCCAGCTCCAACATTCACCATACAGGGAGACTTCATGTCGCTCACTATACAGTACGGGCTTAGGAAGTTGTTTAAAAGCATTCATCATAGCTTTGCACTCAATATAGATTGCTAGACTCAACCTTGCTATCTACCGACCATCGCTTTCTCAATGGCGACAATATTTTAATCGCGTGGCTGGAGAAGTGTCTCCCAGTCTCCGCAGAGAAAAGGGCCAAGGGAAACGTAATCAAGTAGACATCTTCCGTACTAAATTTCATCATGTAAGGGTCAACACTAAAAGATAGTGGCGTCGGAATCGTGGACGCTATCGAGAAAATGCTCATGGTCTCTCACCTCGTCTCGAGTTGAGGAATGCCGAACATCCACAGTCTGCACATTACAGTGCAACAGGGGTCTCCTTGGTGTTTGCCGCGGCCTAAAACTCTATGCGTTATCATGGTTAAATACGCGATGGAGGTTGAGCATGAAAAGAACGATATCAATTAGCTAATCAGGCCCTAAAGGGCGCACGCTCCAGAAACGAATCAAAGACGCCGAAATCGTGCCCTGTCTGTTACCCACCCCATCATATCCTCCTCTTCCCCACCTCACTCTCACCAACCCCATTACGCTATCCCATCCCATCTCTCCATTTTCCCTCTACCCACTCCTCCATCCTCCCCTTCCATCCTGCTCTTCCATCCACCTCTTCCCTCTCCGCCGTCCCCCTCAACCTCACCCTTCCCTAAAACCTCCTCCCCCCATACGCACTCAACCTCCTCCACCCCTCCGCCCCCAATCTCCCCACCTCCCACAGCACCCTTCCTAACACTCCAAACACCAACCCCACCGCCTGCACCGGCCACGTAACCACCCACATCGCCTCCCTCACCGCATCAAGCACAAACCACGCCCCGACCGCCACATACAGCACCAAACACACCTTCAGCAGCAGCAACACCGCACGCTGCAACTGTGCGAAGCCATTCTGCGCACGCGCAGCGGGGGTGGCGGCGAGGTGGGCAGGGACGCCGTTGAGTTTGTGCAGGCGGGGGGTTTGGGTGGTGGTGAAGGGGGAAGAGTAGGGTGCCGGAGTGGGCGTTGGGGTGGGTGGGCGAGGTCCGGCAGGTTTGAGCCAGGAGAGGTAGAAGCCGAGACCGCGGGTGCGGGGGGTTTGCGGTTTGGGATGAGTAGCGGGGTCGGTTGTTGCGTTGGTGGTGATCGGAGCGGTGTGCCAGGCGCCGGGGGTCTCTTTGAGGGTGTATGCGACAGCGGGTGGGGCGACGACTCGGTTTTTGGTGGGAGAAGGGGTGCGGGAGGTTGTGTGTGCTGAGGAAGATGAGGAGCCGGAAGAAGAAGACGAGGTGTGGGAGCGGGTCGTGGCGGTGATGGTAGGTGCCGAGCGGGCGTAGAGGGACCACCAGGACACCTTTTGTGGTTTCTCGGGTTCGGTTTTTGCTTTGGCTTTTACGCGAATCTTGACTTTGTCTTTGGCTATGGAAGGGGAGAGAGGTGGAGAATGCTCAGCGCCGCCTAAAGTGTCGCGAGGGAGTGTATGGTCTTGCTGGCGAGAGGAAGATTCTGCAGCGACTGGCTTGCGGGCGACGGAGTGGGCTGGCGTTGAGATCGATCGTGGGTGGCGGGTATGGTGCGGTGGGACTAGAGGGGAAAGCGGTGGTGAAGCGGGAAACGTGCCTGGAGAGTCGGTGGGAGGAGACATTGGAGGCGTAAGACGTTGTTCCATGACGACTTCAGGAGCGGAGTGTGGGTCAGGATAAGCGTAGTCCCAAGATGCGATACGGTTAGGTACAGGCTCCTTCTTGTATTCTTGAGACGCGTTTCTGCGAGTCTTCTCCGCGTAATGCTGATATGCTGCTACTTGGGCCAGGGAAGGGGAAGGTAACTTGGCGCGGAACTCGCATTTAGGACGCTCAGCAGGGGGCTCGATAGGCTCACGCGTGGTTGGCATGAGAATTGCGAAGGCGTCCGATTCGAAGGCTGGTTCCTCGCCTTCGCCGTCTGTCAAGATCGTCGCGTTTGAGGTCTTGCGGGATCGTTGCGTTCCTTTGGTAGCTGGGCTGGATTTGATTTCCATCCACCAGTCCTTCGAATTGGACCGCCAACCACCCTTTCTCTCGCTATGAGGGCGTACGCTTCCGTTAGTGGACAATGCATTGGGAATTGCTGATCGTTTCAGTGCTTCCTCCAGAGTCTCCGGCGTGTGATGGGTGGTCAAGGTGCTGACGTTGCTAGGACTGATCCGACCGGTCTTGGGGTTTGGAAATCTAGCCGTAATAAAATCTGTATTCTGTCGTACTCGCGTTTTCTGCGTTCCGGAAAGCGGATGAGTAAAGGTGTCCATTGAGGTCATGGTATGAGAATGCAAGCGAGCTCCTTCACGCCTATGGCGCTTAGAGTCGCGGGATTTTGCTTCAGGTACTTAAATTACTGTAACTGTGTGATGGACAGTCTTTTTTAAAGGATGTTGACAATTAATAGAGTTGCACTGATTATGACATGTTGCCGTTGTTGGGTGGCGCGGAGGAATGTGTGTGGCTGGCAAGGAGACGAGGAATTCGATAAAGTCCGCACTGGCGAGACAAGAGATGAAAGCGGAAATACTCTTGACGGACCCTTCTCCGGCTATCATTTGATGTTCATTCGCTACAATATGGACATGACCTGCGTGGTCCGCTTGTGCATTGCTTCAATTGGATAGTACCAGACTAATCAACAACTTCCTCCAAGAAACTGCAAAACTTCGAAATGAGTTTTCTTTTACCGTCTGACTAGTGATAGAGGCTTCTATGATGGGCTAGACGTTGTAAAAACACTTTTGATCTCTTAGTTGTTTTAATTCATATGCATCACATATTGCTTAAGTATTTCTTCTAGAATGTGTCCTGATTCAAGAACAGTGCGAAGGTTCTAAAAATCCGTTTCTATACATACGTACGGGGTTTCGAGGGTATCCAAGCATATTCTGTCGTGATTTCGTAATTCAGATAGATGCCAGTCAAGCGCCAGATGCAGTAAAGCTAGCTCAAAGACTAGCCAAATGAACCAATCACAACAGCTTTGCCAGATGAGTTATCTCGTTGGAGGAGAGACTTCTCGAACATCAAGAGCAGGTGAGACGTCCGAATGAGAAGCTCTGTGTTGAGGGTTAGCCTGCGGACACTTCAAGTAATTACAGTGATGAGTGAACTCACCGTCGTACTCAACCTCATAGCTCACAGGCAAGTCCTCTTCAACGTGCAGGAGAATGGGCACTTCGCGCCTCAATTTCCGGTCCCGGATATTGAAGCGTATACCAGTATTCTTCGCAGGGCTGACCCAAAGGAGGTTCTCTTCATCTAGTCCCGGGGCTGTGACAGTATAATTCTGTCCCGCGTCCCCCTCTTCGGCAGCAGCAAGTCTGCCAGCTGCGTTTTCACCCTTTCCCCTCTTTGACATCTTCCCTAGCCACTCCCGCCATACCCTCACAACTCCCTCCTCCACCTCGGTATATGCCATAAAGATGCCTGGTCTTGGCCCATTTCTGACTATATAGCCCACTGCGCACAATTGCGTGAATAGCTCATGGCTTTCCAGACCCAATATCTGCTTGACCATGTCATCCTTATCGGCCCTCCTCGCGGCACCTGTTGAACTAGACTCCGAGTGCGTCCGACTCCCCGGAACGTCCCCGGCTGGATGCCGATTTACACGTCGTCGGGCGGGCTCGATCTCGCGCCTATGCGGCCGGAAGTGCGAGTACAGGTTCTTCAGCTCGCCGAGACGCGCAGGAAGGTCCACGTCGGTTTCGCTCGGGCAATAGTAGAGAGAGAGCCCTTCAGTGCCGTGATAGGTGCAGAAGTAGGGAGGCTCGGTGAGCTTCGCGGATGGGTGGTAGCATTCTAGCATGAGGGTATGGTCATGGAGTTGCGAGGCAAGATATAGGCGGTTGTGTAGAATGCGGAGAATCAGGGCATAGATACGATGAGATATGAGAGTCAGTGGAAGGAGCTCGAGAGTGGGTAGCGGCGTCAGAATGTGCAGGATGATCTGTGAGAGTTAGATGAGAGAACAAAGGAAGGTGGTGGGGTGGGAGTTGAGTACCTCATTGGGGAGATTATATAAGTAGCATTGGTCTGGGATTACTTCAGAGGATTGACCAGGGGCCATTTTGTATGTACGAGAGAGTCTTGAGGCAAGAAGATGTATGGAGTTGTGGGGCGATAGCGGTGAAAGGACCGAGCGAGAGAGTGAATGGAGTTAAGGGCTTAGCGCCGTACGTCATTTTAGCGCGCTTTCAATATTCTACGGCGGACGACAGCAAACGTCTCGCAAACGCGACTCAACACCACGCCAGCATCACCAACTTCATCACATTGCCTCGCGTGATCCGAGGACGCCCGCAGCTGGACGGGCAGGTTTCCTACGTCCTACAGCATCTTCTCGGACTTGACCTGAACATTGTTTGTCAATCGTCCTCATGTCCACGGGCATGCAGCACTTCGTCCGTGGAGAAGGCAGACTTGCCTTTCCCGCTCAGCAAGCCTCTCAGCCTGCCAACGACCGTCGTCGACTAGCTAGCAATGCCAAAATTCCTGTTCCGGGTACTCCACGTAAAGGACCTACTGCTCCAGCACCTCCAAGCAATCCAGCGTTTGGTGCTCCGCCAGCATTCACGTTCGCGAAACCCATCAGGCCGACGTCTGCTCTGGCCCAAGCCCGCAATTCCATTGGCCAAAATGAGAAAGGAAAGCACACCGTTCGCCCAGGACGGGATGCCTACGAGACGGATGCTGAGAGCTTGGACACGACTGTCCACGACGCTCGAAGCGCTGCTCAAAGCGTTGTGCAGGTGAAAGACAGTCAAGCCCCGGAGTACACTCAACAATACAGCGACGACCCTGAAGAGCCTGAAAGCGACGACGAGGGCGAGCACCAAGGCAACCAAGAGGGCAATGTCGAAGACAGTCAAGACCGCATTACTCGTCATGAACCTGTTCCCTCCAAAACGCTTCATTTCCTAGATAGGCGTCTCCTCGATAATACGGAGCTGGACTCTTACCCAACCACCACTTCAGGTAGGATGGAAGACGAGGATGCTCATGGAGGTGATGCAAGCTCAGAACCTGAGCTAGACCAAGTCCCGTCTCCGAGTCCAAAGAAGCAACGCCGACGCTTCGCCCGCTCTCAAGTAGAAGAGGGTCATAACGCCCAACAAGCTCGTCAGCCCATCAATCTACCAGTACACCCTGCAGTTTCGGCTAGCCAGCTTCCTGAAGTCGGCGCCTCGAGGTCGAGGTCTTTCCCGACTCTTGCTACGCAGGGTTCTGACAGGCCTCGGACTCAAGCGTCAACTCAAGCTCAGCTCCAAGTCTCGGATCAATCTCGCCAACAAGCGGCTGCTCTTCGTGCTAATAATAAACCTCAGCATCAGCATCCTACTCAACCGGTAGCCCGTCCAAAGAGCGCCGGTGGCCGATCCAATCACCAAGCGTTACAGGCGACTCCGCAATCCGAAATGCCCCCGCCTCCCATCTACGGCCTCAATTCAACTCAGCCTCCAGCTTACAGTCATACCCCCAAGGCCGGCCAAGGACTGGATCTGGACACGCCGGCTCAGGAACTGTTCACACACGCAACTCACGCTCACCAGCCAAAGGCCCAGTTCGCGAAGCCGACTGTTACTGCTCAGTCGCAAGGCCAGCGCGAGTCAACGCCCGCTGAGGAGACCAACTATGAAGACTACGACCGTCCCGCCTTGTTTGAGATGGAATACAAGAAGCTAAAGAACGAGTCCTTCGACACCATACCACGTGGAATTCCATTGCCTCTCTCCGATGAGATGAAGAACGCTTCACTTGAAGAACGTCTCGACTTTGTCCAGCAAAGGCTTTCGACAGAAGACCAGAACAAGTTCTTCGGCTCAATTTCCACGCGTGAATGGGAGGAGGCTGGCGATTGGTTCCTCGGACGTTTCGGAAACATCGTAAAGAGAATGACCGAAGTGAGGAAGGAGAAGCGAAAGCGAGCTATGGAGTTCGAGAATGAGATCGAAAAGCGACACGAGCACGTAGCGAAGATGCACAAGACGGTTGAGGATGCTATGGAAAAGATGAGGAACAAAGGACAGACGTTGCTTCCTCGCTCTCCCCGACGGGACTAGTGATCTTGATCTGGATCGATGTGTGGAGAACCTACAGATGAGTTGTGAGTTATGAGTTATGGTTACATGCATTAGGCGGTCGAAAAGGAAAAGTTAGGCATCTTTACCAGGACGTTGTCGATTTCTTTTTTCCACTTCACGGTTCCGCATCTTCGGAGTCTGCATGGGGTGGAGTCGATATTTTGAGCCAAGTCGAGAACATCCAGAGAGATTGTACAGTATGGTCTCCACATTGCGCGGCGCTGTATACCCTTCAAGATATATTTCAAATTCGTACTGTTATAGAGTTTTGCTCAAGGGCAGACATGTTCGTATTCCAACATAGTTTCTACCCTGATAAGATCAGATTCAAACCCACAAGTCACCAGGCATTTCCTTAACTCAACTACTAGATGCAAAGGCTATGCTAAGGGAGTATGCGCAGCAAAAATAAGACCGCTCTTAGTGTTTTATTCGTGGGTTAGACAGGGGTTGGGCATTCCCGCAGGCCTCCACCCCCGCAAATGCATTCGGAAATAGCCCTCGATATCTCCAAGGCCTGTAGCCGCATAAAGTCTACTACGGGCCCTCCGCGTTTCAACCTCTTTTTTCTTTTGCCGCGTCATTCATTCTGACTCGCACTCTCAGAGACTCACCTCGTGTCAACAAAATGCCCAATAACTCCAGCCCCAAAGACCAATATGACAAAGCTACCTCAAAAGGCAGGAAGAAGGCGCTTGCAGAATCGAATATCCCAGCAATACACCAGACGGAAACAAATGGCTCATGCAAGGACATTAGAAAACAGGTAGTTTGATATCCCAATGTGCACCCAAGCAATTTCCTTTCCCGTTCAGGGAACTGAGCTGCTCACGCTTCAGCCTGAGCTGTGGCTGTGCTGGGGTGAGCGCATCCTAAGCCAAGACTGAGCAGCTCGTTGGAACCCAGTTTTGGGCCCTGTATTCGACAGGGAGGATTGAGACTGGGGCCCTCACCCTGCCTCGGAAGGCCCATTTCTGGGCCCGTGGGCCTGCCTGGTTCCAGTTTCAAGGCCCCAATTCTCAAGTAAATTTACCCTCCTATGGAAAATAGCCTAAGCCTGATCTGCGCCACTTTATCATCCACGCAAGGGCAAAGCCACGAGTGGCTGATACGTTCTATCAGTAAGATGGGTCTATCTTAAGAGCATGCCTGTCTAGAGAATGCCCTTGTCTTGAGATGCTACCCTTTTAAAACCACGGCTGTCTTAAGACCATAGCCGTCTTAAGAACATGCCGTCTTAAGAACATGCCTTTTTAGGAACGTGCCGTCTTAGGAACATGCTGTCTTAGGAATGTGACTGTCTGAAGATGTGGGGTGTCACGTGACATGAATCAGAAGGCCAAACCCTGAGGAACGGGGAACCTTGAGTCGCCGATGAAACTGTAGCAGCATGGAGCAGGACCTAAGAACCTAATTCACATCTACAGCCTTGCCTAATTCCTTCTACCGCAAGCAAAAGCTTCTTTGCACCAACCCTTGATCGCGAGTAAGTTCTCCGACTCTAGCTCAGACCCGCGCAAACTAGTTCATAGGAGGATCCACTAGTTATAGCGAGTTCCGTGGTATCCTTTTTGTCCAGCGAGACATCATAGACCCATGCAAAAGCGACCAGGCGGAAGGACCCGTCGGCTTCCAGTCTGAGCACTGCTGGCGAAGTACTCCTATCAAGAAAGCAGAGGACGTCCCCTAGCTCAACATGCGGATCTGCGTTTGCAATGAATCCGAGGTCTATCAGCAGTAGAGCCTTTTCGTTCATCACGTAGCCCATCAAGTTTTGCATAGACGTGACCCAGAGAGACTCGGGTGTAGCCAGTTCATCCGCAAATATCAATTGCAGCACCCAGTGCTTAAAGAGTGCGAAGTTGGAAATGAAGTTTGGGTTGTTGGGGTCAGACAGGTCGCGCCGTCGCGTGGTTAGTTTCTGTTCACAGGACTCCAGTTCCAGCCCCTCGGCCTCAATAAAAGGGAGCCTTGTAAGAATAGTTTTCCAAAGACCTCCTTTTCTCACATGTCCCTGCTGCTTTGGACCTGCCTAGGCGGAGAGAAAGGGCGATGATAGCATCGCGCTCGAAGGAAAGCATGTCTTGCAGGAACTCTATTGCTTCCTCGATCATGTATAGGGTAGTGCAATTATCACTACGTGTGATACGGCCTAAGAGTGTTCTAGGTACCCTCAAAGTTCCCTTTTGAGCACCATGAACAGCCTCTGGGAGTACATTGTCGATAATGGGCTGGTCGAAGTTCGCCCTCAATATTTCTGGCCTCTCGGGTATCGCTAGTGATGCTGCTGAGAAGTCAGTACACTAGGGAGGAATAGGCCTCAGCATTCGCATTGTTGGAGCGCTATTAGTTCGCCTACTATGGCCGAAACTGCTGGAAACATTATCTGTAGAAGTCAGCTAAACGTCTCTTTCAGCTTTCATGGTCCACGCTACTGGACAGCGTTGAGTGGTGTCAAAGCCCCTAGGGGGTGGTCCCTTCTATATATACAGCTCGATAGTCATCTAGGAAAATCTGAGCTAATTCAACCTGAGAAGCGCTGATAAGCTGTAAGCTTATGGGAAGCTTATAGGGGCACATGATGTGAGGGAGTGGTAATTTGTGTGTGTATTGTGGAGGTGTGCGTACCTAGGCACGTATATATAGATGTGCGGGACGCCAAGTCCTGCGTTGATTGGTGCCTTTAGGCTTACACCCCCTCAGATTTGAATGTAATGTAGAAGCTGTAGTAGCTGTTGACGTGGTATGGTGCTCATGACAGCTTTGTGAGGCTTTTCGCATCATTTGTTTGTGTGAAGCTTTTCGCTTCTTTGTGTTGTGAGCTTTCGCTCGTCCATTGTTGCCAATGGTTTGTGTTGATGAAACTTTCGCTTCTCTGGTTGCACAAGTAAACTATGCATTTTATTGGCTTTTGAAGTGGCTTAAGGAGGAGCCTGAGGAGCGTTTTGAGTGCTTGGAAACTCATCGAAGTGAAGTTGTGAGACCCAGTTCTCATGTCGCTATCGAGGTAATAGCTTTGCCAGGCCATCGGCAGGCTGGGCTTTGGTTTGGATGTATGTCAAATCGATTCGCTTTGCTTGAACCTCTTGTCGTAGCCAGTGATAGTGAATGTCGACATGTTGAAGTGTGGTTTTGAGCTTTGGTGTAGCTGCTTGAACAAATCGAATCGTCTGCTGATTGTCGCAATATAGCACTTGGTCGTTGTGTGGCTCGAAATTGATGGATTTGAAGATTCTCCACCACCCAAACTTTCATTCCTCGCTCCCTTTCCACTGTCATTGGAGGAATCTCTTTCGATGATGGAGTGGACGGAGGCATGGATTTCTCGAAGAACTTTTCAACATCCACCGTTAAGGTCCTGGTTGCTGGAGGGAGCCGGCGGATCACGTCCATCCAGGGTTGAAAATACTCCTTGAAAGTGAAACATGTTTTCTCTTCGCTTGTTTTGATGTGAAAATGACGTGGGCATCTTGGGAGCAATTGGATGCCTCCTTTCTCGTGAGGTGAAAGTAGTAGAGAGATCGGTTCTGGGGTGTCGGCGAAAACGGGGATTTCGTCGCAGAGAAGTTGTATAGTCTCGTGTCGGAGCTAGCGAGAAACTTGAAGAAGAGGAAGCGTACACCAGTTTTAGTTAAGAGCAAGTAAACCTCGTGGCAGAGACTCATTGTAGCAGCGATTGTTGTAGATGGAGCCCCATTCCACCTCGAATGTGTCCGGAAGGGCTAGGAAGAGGATCCGGTCGCGTAGTTCCCTGGGAAGCTGACCCAATCGGTCTGGTAGCATGCTGTGAGGATTGCTTATAGCGTCGAGAAAGTGATTGTAGACAGCCGCGAGACAGGCGGATGGGGATTCTTTAAGAAGGCGAAGATGTAAGGATTCTCCAGGGCTGGATGCTGCCTTGGAGGCATCCATCCCTTTACTGATGACACCCTTGACCAAAGCTCTTGAAAGGGAGATATAAAGTGGGATAGCAGTGGATGAAATGATGTGAGATTTTGGTGCAGACTGATGCGAGAGGGAAAAGGTGGGCTCGGCAATGACTCGGATATTTAGGCCGGAATACCGTCACGTGACTCTATTCATACGTCCCGAGGCCCAAGCTCATCCATGGATTGCATAGGCAACTTGGCAGCCTCTGAAATTCTCAAACGAACCTCACAATCGACACGGACGATTGCATTCGGTATGATTTCAGGGCAAACAGTGAGAAGGTTGTAGGCATTGACTACATCAACGATCGGACACACATACACAAACCAGCGAAACTCGACGAAGCAAGACATTCCCTGTATCACACACGTCGGCTGATCCAAAAAGGATGGAAGGCGCTGTGGCATACCATGATCGATTTTTGTTCTCGTCAATATGTACAAGATCTGGTAGCTTGTGACCAACAACCTAATCCCCTCTTCACTCCTAAGACACGACTGCGTGACTTCAGCCACCAGCTCATTGATGGCCTTTTAAAAAAATTGAGCGTCGGCGCAAATCTGGTAGAAATGGTCGGGCGTCGAGTACTGAAACTGGCACGAGACAAACCGGCGCCATCGATTCATTCGAATTAGATGCTGCGGAAAACGAAGAGACAGGGAGTGCGATCGAGTTCGTTGAACCGATGGCAATCGAAAATGGACCTGACACCGTATTGTCACCTCAACCAATGGTCGGTAGAGCGTTTGAATCTCCTTCTGCTATCATGACTCAGTCCTCGTCGGTTCACCCAGACCAGCAAGTTTTGACACATGAGTTAGAGTCTACTCTCAATGTTCAACGCGTCTACTGTCCACATCCCTTTCCAATAACTCGGCGATTTCACCTTCTTCTAGATACCCTAAACCACCCGGTCTGTGCCGGCAAGTTTTCATTCGCGAAACGTCCACAGGAAGTGCCCCGCCTGGATTAGTAACCCTTCGTAACGGAGGACAACCAGGGGAAGGACAGGCGTCGAATAGTGCTTTCTTGCATTCGATTGCGGGCTAGAAGCGAAAATCTTATCTTGCTAGACTAGATCCAGACCTTAGCCCGGGAAAGAATCAAAAGATTCCTAGAGGAATATCGTAATGCATAGACCTATGAGCAGTTTTTTCAATGCAATCGTCGATGACACGAGTATAACATTGGTCTAGCCTCTATTCTTCTTGGCAGCTATGTCATCGAGTAAAAAATTACGATATATGATAGTGTAAGTGAAGTCGGCGTGATTGACTCTTACGGGTTTCTGATTCCTGACCAGTGCTGCCAGAGGGTCTTTCCATTGAAAAATCTGCGAAACTTGAAAGTCGCGTTGCAGGGTGCCTTTGGGTGTTGATGTGCTGTGGCTGGTTCAACGATGTAATCTCCAAATTCCTGAGTTTGCGGGGGAGAAAGTTTAGCAAGTCTATGATTGCGGAATTGTGCGCTTTGCTGGTAAACTTATGTTGTATGGACTAATCGGTAAAATGGGACATTCAGCGGTATGCTAGTTGTGTTGGCTCGACTCTGAGGAACTAATCCCTTCTCCAACTAAAGACAGCCATTCAGGGGGGGGGGACCAAGATCAGAAGCGATAGACGTCTAATTACGAGGAATGGGAGGTGGTGTTCGAGGATTCTCGAAGGAATCATCATCGCTACGAGGGAATCGAGGACTAGCTGGAGGACTGAGCATAGGCTGCAGTGCGCTGGAACTTAAGAAAACAGGGTTGGGGTGGTATGGGTATCCAGCCAAAGAGGAGAATGCTCTCTCGTCACCACCGACGAATGAGTTAGGCTCTGACATAATCCGCCGACGCGCTACAGTGGTGTTTGGCGAGGGACTTGGTGTTGCGTTCGAAGCATGTTGAGCTGCGCTTGTATTGTTGCGATCGGATGGCTGGTTAAAGTCGTCGCATCGACAAGGCTTGAGATGCGTCGGGACATTGCGCATTACTCCGCGGGCATCTGGGCGATCCTCTCTCTTTAGGCGAATCATTGGCTCAATAAATTGAACGAAATTATGAGACATCCCGATGCCTTGAGAAAACCAAGGAGCCATGCGGTCCGTGACGCGGCTGTAGAGCAGTATCCTACGAGCAGCAGCAGCACCGGGGCCGGAGTTCTTTTCGGCTTCTACGTGTGGTCGTGCCAGTAGGAATTCATGGAACTGGTTAACGGAGTACCCATAGATGACCGAAAGCATCTCCGAGAAGACGCAGCCTAGAGAGAAGATGTCGGTCCCACGACCATGCTTGCTGATACTTCCGTCGACTTGGAGGTAATCTAACGCTTCTGGTGCGGCGTACATTGCTGATGTTCTTGCTGGATTCTCAGTCGACGTGGTTTGGCCGATTGTAAAGCGCGATGAGGAACTGAAGTCGGTGAACAGGATTTGCGATCTACGATGGACTATGTTCGATGGCTTAATATCTTGATGTCGTATCCCTTGTCCGTGCATGTACACTAAGGCTGATGTCAGGCAGGTGTACCAGTTCCGAAGCCATATCGCTTCATTCCGTTTTATTTACCGCTCCCCAACCTCTTCTAAAAAGGTCTGGAGGTCACTTTCTCCTACAGGCGACATCAGCAGGCAGTAAAATTCCTTCTTCCGCTGCGTATGGTCTTCGTACGACCCTAGAATTTGTATAATATGGGGATGACACAGATCTTCTAGGACTTTGGCCTCTTCCTGGATAATCTGAAGTCGTTTCTTTCTTTGGTAGTAAGGGAGCTGGACACGTTTTCGGACGAAGCTTTCAAAACCGGGTTCTGCCACTCGAACTTCTTCGACCACACCAAGCGATCCATGCCCGAGGTGGCCGCATACAACTAGAGGCTCCTGGGAGCCTAGGCTGAGGACTCGGTGGCCAACGGTAATGCCACATTTTGTGGCGACGGCAAGGCGGAGTTCCTCGCGTGTATCGCGTAAGACTGGCATCGGAGAGCGCGATTTTGCAGAATCTGTGGGGGCTTCCACTGCCCAGCATTAGGATTAAAAGCATCAGAGTATCATCTGAAAGACTCACTGTGCTTGAGGGGCTGCTCAGGTGACGGCCGATTTTCAGGATCTAAAGGCGCATCGTGAACCCCACTCATTCGGAATTGCCCGTATCCGCCAAATGTAGTGCTCGGAGAGCTCTCAGAGCTCACGCTACTAGTGCTAAGCCCTCGTTGCTCATTCTCCTCCTTCTTCATAAAACCTTCCGGGACAGGCGATATGGCCGTGCGGGCAGGCGGCTCGGGGAGCAATGGGAACCTGCGGTCTTCAAGGGATGGCGTGGGGGCACTAGGAGTTCTGCTATTGCTAGGTTTTCGGAAACTGTCTCTGATCTTTGACCACGTGTTGTTCTTTTCCTTCGGACGTTCACCTGTGAAACTCGAGTAGTGTAGATGGGCTCTTGACATCTTGCAAAGCAACGAGATATTACCCGGCTAAATATCAGCTTCTTCGGTCCTCTAAATAACCGACGTACTGGACTAAGGCTCAATTTTGCTTCCTCTAACATGGAATGGCCCCCGTAGCCTAGCGATCGGGCGGCGCTATCTGACGCACTGCTGCAAAGCCTGCTTAAGACTTCAGAGTAGCGGGTAATCAGAGAAGATGTGCCTTATCGCTACTAAAGGAAATGAATGCTTGCGAGGATGGTCGTCATTGTCGAAAAGAAGGGAGGAGGCTGAGGAAGGAAAAGGGTTCGAAGCGGCGCCAAGGTTCTCAACTCCAGCCGCGATCTAAGCCACTGCCGCTGCAGCCTTCCCGGGTCAATCACGCTCTGGGCGCATCTGATATTCATGCCGAAGTTTGTTCTTGTGTGCGGTACTTCCGAGTTCTCTGGCTGACGAAAAGAACACAATATCGTCGGATTTATCAAAGAGATGCTGGGGGATGTCTGATCCCCACAATCATTTCCCACCTCGAGAGGATCTGCTGGGACGGGTCGTCGCTTGTTTGGCCAATCAGTCATAGAAGTTCAGCTCCACTCGCCGTTCTGTAGTCTGCAAGGGAACCTCCGGCTTCCGACGTCTGTCAAGCCATTTAGGCTGTTAGATATTAATTACTGCTGTTTTGCGGGATCAGAGTCTATCAACCCGGGGTAGATCGGCGACAACGCATGGAGAGCATGAGGTAGAAAGCAATGCAATATACAGTGACTGGACATCCATGTCTACTGTTTGGAGCGCGTCGAAAGATTTTCGAAATCTGATGAACTGCTACAGATTGCTGCCTTGCGCTGCACTTTTCCGGCTAAAGGCACATCTCGTGATGCTCGTAAGCATTCTGATGTTTTGAAGAAAACCAAACAGCCGTAGATGGAAGTCCAGATATCTTTAGGTGTCCAGACGTGGATATTCAGGCAACCATTATTCCAGGTCACTCAAATCCCTCCTCAGAACCACCTTCTCATGTGCACCCCAGCCTTCGGGCTTCTCTACCTTCCAAGCCCACCTTCTATCCTTCTCTTCACCATTGCCGACACCGTTCAAGACGTTAACCACATACTCTCCTATTATGGGGAGAAACTTCCAGCTTTGAAAGCTCCCTCCAACGGCGAGATACAGGTTTTGCAGCCGCGAGTAAGGATATTTCGTGACGAGTTGGTCTTGCGCAGGCATGACGGAATCCCAACACATGCGCCAGTATTCCGGCGTTCGTTGGACATAGTTTAGAAACAGCTTTGCGACGATAGCATCCAGGGTCTCCTGTTGCAGCTTTTCCGGCACCATTCTGATTGCGGTCCGGTGGAACTGATATTCGATGGCCAAATGAAGTCAGCTTAGTATTAGTGACAGATTTCGCGTTAGTAAACTTTAGAAGGTGGCTCCGTGAAGGTAGCGGTATAGCTTCTCCTGCGTCTCTATATATCAGCACCGGCATGTCCTTCAGCGCCCCAAACTCCCCATCATCGAGCTTGTAATGCATCACACATACCCCCGCAGCGGTGATCTGTCGCTCGACCCTCTCTTCCTCCTTTACATTTAGCCCATCCTCCATGGCGGACAGTATCTCGCTGGTCCATGCACCCGTTGCTAACAGCACCGTATCCACCTTATATACGCTCCCATCCTTCATCTTGACCCCTTTAACCCCATTCTCTCTAAGAACAAGCCTACCCACATTACCGCACTTATAGCTAACCCCTATCCCTACCGCCTCCGCCATCATTTTCTCTACTGCAGCTCCCGCATCAGCCCACACAGCATCCGGATTCTAATATGCCTTATCCCCTAGCCCTTCAAACGTCGCGTCCCGCAACACACCACCCCAGCGTTCTCTTATGCCCTCATCCAACACCACATCCTCGTGATTATACCATGCAACGCTCCCGCCGATTATGGTATCGTCCTTTCCCTGGAGACAGCATTTCGGGTATGGCAAGGGCTGAACTCCTTCTGATCATGTGTTCGCTATATATGCCTCATACACAAGGTTGTACAATTTGTGGAAATGACTTACGATGACGGCGGCGTCGCAGCCAACTCGGTCGTGCGCGTGGGAACAGTTCTTATTCGAGTTGAGGCATTTTCTATTGCGGCACGAGGAAGGGGAGACGTGGAAACATGGACTGATCGAGCTCCTTTGGTGCTGACTTTATTTCGCGGAGAGAAGCGCTGATAAGTGATACGTTTGGATCAAAGCCGCTGGAAGAAGTAAAATCGTGCAACTCCTCCCATATCGCGGGTTTTTCGAGAAAGTCGATGACTGACTTGTGCAGAAAGTGCACCTCCGGATTGACAAAGCTGTTTATCACGTACGGATATTTTCGTGAACGAGTAGCTTGAGGTATGTCACTCTTTGCAGTTTCGAGGTGGCTTAGGTTTGGCCTGTATATCTCAAGAAGCCCACAACAGCGACTTCGTATCTTTTCTTCGATTTCATCACGTCTTTGGACCTGCTCTTCTAAACTGATCTCCGCGATTTCTGCGTTAATACTAGCGTCCGGGTTGTCTTCGAGTGCAAATGATAACCTTAACGCAGTCATGGGATTGTCGGCTGGGACTTGGCTGCTTTGGTACATGATTTGGAGCAGCATAGATGCTTGTCGTCTATACGTCGGATCCATCTGGTTGAGTATCTTTTGTTACAGCTTGTCCAGGTCAGATGGTAACTCGTTGAGCCGGACTTGGAGATCTTCTATTCCGTCATGGTTATAGAGACCGTTCCGTAGAGCTTTAACTACAATAACAACCCAAAGAAACACACCCGAAGCCTTAGAGACTATTTGACCAATGAGCTCATTAACCGCATGCCTATTGATGCGGACTAATTCTCTCATACGCACATGAGTGTCAAGGTTTTCGGTCACATAAATGAGGATGTCTGATCGGGTGAAATCTTGCAGCCTGAGGGTAGGGCAACTTGCAAAAGCTACCGAGCAGGCGGATGTTGGCCGGCTAGACAAGAGGAGTTTCAAGTTCGGCGAGCAGACTGACCGCAGGTACTCCACAAGCTCGATGTGGTCATCATCGTACTCATCCACTCCATCAATGTGGAGACAGATCTTTAGTGGCGTGACCGTCTGTGTTGTCAAGAGTTTAAAGGCCTCCTTTAACTCCACAAGAGAAGGATCATTGACCAAGTTGCTTCTCGCGATGCTCCGGCAGTGAATCGGGAAAACAATGGGGACCAGCCCAGAAAATTGGCTAAGAGTATCGTGCAGAATTGTGCGCAAGAGACCGTGTTGAGACTTCTGCAGTATCGTTCCAGTATTCCAAAAGTAAAATGAGAGGACAATAAAGGCTCCCCGTCAGCCCATGTTGCGAGGAGTTTCTGCATGCGTGGCTCATTGCCGATGAACTTCATGAGCGTAGACTTGCCTGAGCCAGCTTTGCCGCTGATCCAGAAGCAGCCTTCGCCATGTTGAAGCCACTGTGACAGACTGTCCAAGGCCCAACCGAATGGTACCCGGCCGTTGAACACCCACTCGAATGTCTTCCTATACGCATCTGAGACCTCCGCACGTCTATCCCCCATAAACCTGAACCACAAGAAGTTCAATATGTCTTCCTGAATTTTCCCTAAATGTTGTAGCGAATCCTGATAAAGTGTGGTTGATATGTCCCTAGCTGTAACGTGTCCTTGGAGGGTGGCAATAGCCGCAATGGTCTCTTCATATCTGACTCTGTCAAGTTCGCTTTCTTCGTTCTGACGTTGTAAGAGGTTATCGCGTCCTGTCGTGAAAAATTTCCTGTTATCAAGCAGGACATCTGCAATCCTTTTGTGTTCCTCTTTCAGTTGATCGAATCGCTCATCTCGTCGAGCTGATTGAATCGAATTTTCTGAGTTAGGGTTCATCTTGAGAGAAACAACAACCCGGAGGATGAGCTCATTTTGCAGTAGATCAAGCTTATCGCTCATTTCGGTAAGCTTTCTCTTGTTAAAGACAGCATCTAGGGCTTGCCGAAAGCTCTTCAATGGGCTGTGCTTCCCATGATGGCAGGACACGAAGTCAACTAGCTGGATGAGCTCGTCTGCCACCTTAGCCGTTTCTGATGCCAGATTTTTCAGTTTCTTTCTTGATCAGCAAGGCTCGCATGGTATCACGACGGTAAGGCTTACTGTTTCGTCGGCCGATAGAGTGGATTCCGATTCTCCCGAAGTTGAGACTGACTCTAAGACGCTTTCAAGACTTCGAGTCAAATCCTTCAGATCACCTGCAACGGATTTTGCTTCGTCGAAGCTGGCTATGGAGCCTTTTTTGTAGATTTCGCGGCCCCTGCCCACGAGTCTGGAGCCGAAATCGACGATTTGAACGATAGAAGTTGCCAAGCTCAGGGCTGTGAAAGGGTCCATCTGGAATTGTAAATGGGTTAGGGGAAAAGGTGAGTCAACTTGGTAGGTAGAGGGATCTTGATTTCGAGAGCTATTCTGTTTACTGCTCTCCTCGCATTAAGTGCGACGAATTTTCAGCCTTGCACTGCCACATCTCAGCTCTGCCCCTTGCACTGCAAAGGGTGCCGCTGAGTGCATATTCACGACCCCAGCAGCTACCCTGCTACCTACGAGTAGGCTAGATGGCCTAGGGTAGACCAAATTCAGCTAGACGCAACATTGGGGCTGCCGCTAGTTATTTACGTTAACTCTCTGCCTAAGCGGCGACGTAGTAGTTAGCAGTGCTAGCTATTATAATCAACTCTTCTAGGACAGCAACATAGTAGTTAGTAGTAGTAGGTAGGATATAATATAGGTAGCCTATAAAGCCTACCTAATAGATATACTAGGACAAGCTAGGAAATTATAATAGGCTGCATATAGTATACATAAGGGAGGGAGGAAAGGAAATGGCAAGCAGAAAAGACACGGGTAAGAACACTGGCTAGGCACTCTTTCTCCTTTTCCCCCATCAGGTTTGGAGGTTTTATTGAGGCCAAATGGATGTATTTGTGTACACTGTATATTAGCGGTTAGGACTCGGCATCGTGCCTCCTGAGGCCCCAGCATATGCCTAATAAAACCACTACCGCCACCATCGAAAATATGGACACGGGTCGCGGTGAAGAACTCCTCCCTCACAGCTGCATACTACGGCACATAGACTGTCCTCTTTATCCAAAAACCTAACATTCAATATACCGAAACCTAGGCAACGCAATAGGTAGTGGTTGGTTCTAGAGTAACCTCCCCGCAGACGCCCTGCTGGATCGCCATCCGTTGCAACCCCGCCTACACCAAATCAAACGACTCATCCGTCGGCTTCATCAGACGCTCCCAGCATCAAGCACCAAATGATGTAACATGTAACAGGCTTTCATGTAAACCCCGTAAAGGGCCTACGTCCTGAACCATGAAAAAGAAGGATATCCCTTCTTCCCCCACTTTTGACTGAGCGCAGCAGGGTTGATATATCAATGCCCGTACCACAATCTCTCATCCCCTGGACCATCGAACCTTGAGAACTGTCCGGTGTCCGATTTGGATAGCGTTCTACCATGCAGGACCTCCAGTGAAGATGGCTACAGCCTCCCGGTTGTTTATAGTGTGGTAGTGTCCCCAGACGAAGCACGTAACGATGGCGAAATTCTGGAAACTCGGCTTGAGTAAAATCGGAGCGCAATCAAAAGATATCGAGGGCATCTTGCTCATTCTTAGCGAAAGCTCCATCCACCGCACCCTTGGAGTAGCTGCGTTTACCTAGAGGGAGCTGACGCGAGTAGAGTGCGGTCCTTGGGAAGCACAGCTCGGGCTGAACGGGTGTCAAGTCAGGAAGTAATCTAGATTCCTTGGGCTCTAAATACTGGCCACTCCGTTCAGGTATACTCAAGAAGACGCCAACTGGATAGACTGTGGCAGGATACGAACTAAAACCATATAGGGAAGAGTACACTTTGACAACACATTAAGTTCTAATTACATAGTAACCTTCCGGGAAAGCCCTATTCCTAACTTCTCACTATACATTACTAAATAAGTAGAGGCTATTCAGTGGCAACATCTACATTACGCATCTCTGTAAACTTTGCTACCAATTAAGCGAAAAGTGGGGAAAAGATCTATGATCTAGACGGTCATACTCTTGCAGACGTTCTAGATTAACTGATGGAAGTAGCTTAAAACATCGACAGAAGAAAAACGTTTCTCTCCTCAGTAGTTCAAACAACGCCATGGCTGACTACTTCTCCGTGACTACCAGTATTTTGTTCACTGGGGCCATCTACGTCTGATGATTCCGGCAGGTCTTCCTCTCTTAATTGAATATTTGCTCGAAGCGATTGCCAGCTAGGATATCTCCAAAAATTCCAAAACGTGACAGCTGGGTTCTGAGGGAATGTGAGCATCCACCCACGCTTGTGCTGCAAAATGCCCCCACTTCGTTCGCCTGAGTCGAATCGTAGCCTGGTGCCAATCGAAAGAATGTATACTGCCGCCAATGCTCCCGCAAGCCATGATATCCATACCATGGTCGCCAAAATCCAAGGTGTTACTGCCAATGGGAGGCTATTTGGTTGCTGGAAGAGGGGTATAGCAATTATGAAGAGGTTTCCCAAGAAGAAGATTACCCCCAAAGCATATCGGGAAATCTTCAAGAATGCTCTTCGAGATGCTCCGGTGAACCGACGGAGGGGCAAAGACTGTGTAGATCGCGCTGGGGATGCGTTTGACGCCGAGGAGTTAGGACGCATTAGCGGTGACCGAGAAGATGATCGCGGGATTGACCTCGTTGGGGAAGGCGAGTCGAATTGCGGCGAGCGTGGGTCTCCATTTTCTGGATGAGTTGCGCCCCGTTCCATGCATCTGCGGTTTGTGCTAATCTTATCCCCGTCAATTATATATCCAATCCCTAGAATAACTGCAAAAGTCAGCGTCAAGCTTATAGCAGCCGGATGACAACAATTGAGGGTATACAATGCTTACGTCCGACAATAGATTGGCTATATACAACCATACTAGTGATATAAAGCGGTATGTTTTCGGTGTCATTGGGAAGCAATATGGTCATTGTGCTAACATATGTAGTCAAAGCTACGAGAAGGAGAGCTCCTCTTGGAGTCCCTATATCGTCCCATTTAGAGAGACCGTAGGATGAGCTTGCTTGGAAGGTTAGGTAGTGCGGAATCAACCTCTTCCACGCGATCTTTCTGATTACTGGAAGTAATCAGCGCTTGTGGGAGGCAGGCAAGAAGCCAGTTTCGTTGGACTAACCTCTACTATTCGTATACACGACACTGACCACGTTTCCTAATGTAGATAATGCAACAAGGAGGGAGAATATATACTCTAAATCGGCACTTCTTTGTATGCCAAAGATCTGTAGAGATGGTTAGCCCGCCGATGAGCTCACGAATTGGCATGAAACATCACCTTTCTTGCCAGGAGGAGCAAAACGTATCGCTTTTCTTGGTCTATCGTTTCCAAATCGAAGAGCCGCAGCTGTATTTGTTAGCCTCTTTCCAAGTGGTGTACGGAAGCATTGACTGACCAGTAGCAGATTATACAGGGAGTAAATGATAGTAACGGTAATGACGGCTACATATGTGCCAAGCTTCAGTGTCTTGACGCGCGTCTGGGAGCACTCGTTGGTGTGCTCCTCTTCTCCTCCGTGGATTTCCGACGAAACATAATCTATTGTGGAAATGGTCAGGCTTCATATTATGGAACAAGGGCTTCCAGCTGGACGCACTAGCACTTTGCCACCCATCATAGCTATAGAGGACAAGGACCAGGGCCTCCAGCTGCTTGAATGACGTCGATGGCTCTCTAGGCAAGTGTGCTTCATCCTGGAACCATGCACCGGGAGCAGGTTCCAATAGGATGCGGAGGAATCCAACGAGGACCAATACCAGCAAGAACACCACCTTGATTAAAGCTAATGCACGGTTTGCAAACAGCGCAAATCTCGGGGCCCTGTAGTGCAACCAACAGATGAACAGGGCCAGCAAACTTGCTAAGTGCGTTGTACGCCATGCGTTCGGCTCGGCAACAAGACCTCCAAAAATTTGTCGGGCGAAGACCAATGAGCTGGCTGCAGGTGTCGAAAATGCTATGAAGGACCACGCAAATGAGCACATGAATAGGAGAGGAGGTCGTGGAAGTATCCTAGATATCTTGCTTTGTTGTCAGCGGTGAGAGTAACTTGCCGACATGGATTAACGCTGACATAGATGAACTCGCCGCCATTGAATGGCCACGCTGACCCGTACTCGAGGTTGATGTATGCGCTATGAACTATGATTGGCTTATTCTCAACCAAGCAGATTGAGACACGAGGGCATACCATAGAAGAGTGTATATTCCAACAAGCGGCCAAACCAATATCGCCATGATTCCCCCACCGAAGTGAGTTGCCACAAAGCCTGGCAGGAGAAATATTTTCCAGTCGATTAGTTGATTGAGAACAAGGCAAATGACATCCGCGGTGTAAAGCACATGTAACATTATGGATCGTTGTCACACCCAGGGTCCGTTCGTGGTCACACGACGAGCCCAATAATCCGCAAAACCTCAGTGACCTCGGTCTTCATTGGACCAGTAGGCATATATTCTCAAAAATGGCGGGCACACAAAGAGACTAGGACCTCAGGGTTCATTGGAGCTGAGCGCGAGATCGGAGAGAGAATCGTAGCTTCATCGCTAAGAATATCAAGTAGGGAGAGCTACACAAGAAGGCAACGGACTGTCGACAGGGACAGGTGGCATAACGCCCATGTTGCGGCTCTGGGAGATTGCCTTGCTTTGGTCACATGGATTGTCCAGACCGGAGGCATAAATGAAAGTTAAGTCCTCAGGCTTGATGGCCTGCACGCGTGCACTATCAATTGCGCCTTATCACAACCCTCTCGAAGACATAAACCCTGCCGAAGACGATACACCGTTTCGGAGCGGCTGATAAGAATTACACCCACCCCGCCCTACCTACCGGAAAATGGGTCCTACGGAGGAGCAGATAATTGACGGCAAATACATGACAGAGCGAAATGTGGTATGGGCGTACCTTATTGAGCGATACGGGGAGGGTAATTTTAACGTGGAAGTGCGTTCTCTAGCCTCTACTGCAGAAGTATCTGATCTGACGGAATATAAGTAGGTAGACGGCGGAGAGAGATTGAAACTCCAGGTGCCAATTGGTAAAAAGCTGAACGGTGTAAGAGATCAATTCTTCTCTATGTCGGAAATAACATTGCTGACTTCTGACTCCAGATTGAAAAGCAGGAGATACAGGATCGTTCACAGAAGGCTATTGAAAAGGCGCAAGAGGAGGAAAAGAAATAGAGATCAAAAGAAGCAGAGACAATAAGGAGCAATAGGAGTACAGCGTAACGCCAGTTGATGCGAGCATGAGAAAGCGGGTGTCAGGAATTCGCCTTTTTTTTTCCTTTTTGCAGTGGCTTTTCTGTCCGGTCAGACGGTCGTGTCTCACAGACACAAGGCGTGCGATGTTGGCATTCGGATTGGGGAGCAGCTACGGGGCGAGTTCTCGTTCAACCGACAGACTCAGGTTGCAGCACTACAACCTAGGATCAACAACTCATATGCCAGAAAGCTACTCTCCGAACATCAGCTGTAGAGAACCCAGCTGAAATCTCAGCTGTAGAGAATCGAGCTGAAGCCTCAGCTGTGCAGGGCTCATCTGAACTTACTAGCGCGCCACCCTGGGGGTGGCCCCCTTCCTTCCCCTAGTATATATACAACTAGCTAGACGTCTATAGAAATCAGAGTTCACATCAATTTAACCTGAGTGACAGGGAGGGAGGGGTGCGGCTGCCATTCGATGATGGGACCAGCCGTCCCGTGCCATTGGCAGGGACGTGGCTTGCATACTTATCATGCGGGGATTCCCTAGATATGAATCGCCGATTGCCAACTCAACTCGAGCATGATGTAATGGAATTCAAGAGAAGTTCAAGATGCGGTGGAAATCCATGTCCGGTGCGTTTCTTTAAGGTGTTGCTCAGATCGCTATTTTAGCAGCCGCTCTGCCACGTTAGGAATAGCTTCTTTCCTTCTTTGGCTATATATCTCACGTGAAAGGCTTATCGCGTTTCGCAAGCAGCTGCAATCGCTTACTCGCATAAGATAGAAAAGGGAGACTTGGTCGCGGAAGTCCTTGACGCGCGTATCGTGTTGCAGTGCCCGGGCGCAGTCACTTTTTCCAGCCATGAAGACACCTACACGTATTTAGCTTTTGATCTGTCCCGTTGCCTGCTTTCATCCCAAGCCTACCGGTGTCTAGATGTAGTCGTTCCTTGGTTGCCCGCTTCTGCCTTGCTGCCCGAGGCTGATGAAGTAGAATTCTAAAGTACGGCCACTGAGCCCTCCTTCTAGCTAAAGATTTCTGGGGACAAGATGCTAATTGAAAACAGGATGTTGGAGCGCAACTGGGATGGCGACCCTTTCTCCGGATGGCAGCAGTATCCTATGAATTTATCTATACCTCTACTCTACGTGGACTCGAAACACTGTTGCGAACAGCTGTCCAAACACTCGAAAACTTTATTCTGCGCAGACGAACATTGCAAACTGCAAGCACTCCTGCTTGGAGATGATCCCAACAAAAGAGGTTTGCATTCTTCATGCACTATTTTCTGTGCCATCTCACCTTGCATTGCACGAGGGTAATTCGCTTACGAATTTGCTACTCCTAATTAGGTAGCGGGAGAGTTACAGAGCTTGTTATCATCACTGACAGCTCGGATCTCGCTGAATTTCTCGAAAGCTCTGACTCCTCGACCAAGGCATTGTGAGCACAACAAATCCCCAGATAGCATGGGCCTTTGGTGGCCAGCATACGGAGCTGATACCATCTAGTTTTATGCGCCAGAACTATTCTTGGGGTAGACTTCGCATTTCAGAGGAAATAGGACGGAAACTGTTCACGTCTTTGATGGTACATCCAAGCTTTTTAGCTGTTGTCCATCTTTTTGGAGAGAAAACAGAGCCAGTCGAGGAAAGTTTGTCGGTATATTTTTGTCACCCTTTATCGCAATATCGACCGAAGAGCCAGGAAATTCCACCTTTTATGAACGGTGGATATGGTAGGTCGTAGCCATGTACATGCCCAGGACTTTGAAATGGCTATGCTAAGAGAATACAGTCGTTGGTTACAACTTGAAATATGCAGCAAGACACGGTAGATCATTTCTCGAAGATCCGTTCTCGGTCAGGGACGCCGGCTTATTTCAATTCTACGCCAAAGGATCGCATACAGTTGAACGGTGCAATTGGATCTTCATCAATCTTCCTGAGACTCTGGAGCAACGTTTGGCGGAGGTTCTCAAAGATGCGGAAGGAATCGAGTGCGACCTTCAGTTTCAGATAAACGCGATGGTGCTTTTGGATGCAACTAAAGATTGGAAAATATATGTTAACTTCTTGGAAGAGTTCTTTCGCAGATTGGTAAGTAGTATACAGCACGACGTAACTGGTCACAACTTCAATTAACGACTCAACTATTTGACAGCTGGAGGTTGGCTTCTACACGAAAGTTGACGGCCCTACAAATTCTGGAGACATCAACGCAGACTTTTCAGACATTCGCAAGCTGCAGCTGTTCACGGATAAGCTCCGTGGACTTCATCAATCTATACGACTCAACTTGGATTTGGGTGCAGGCTTGCAACAGTCTATGAATGACATGGGCAAGACATCTGATATGACCTCATCCGCACGCTCATCCGCTTTGGAATCGTTCAATTCTCAAATGAATATGTTCATTTGGCAACATCGAACCCATCTTGGCAGAATTGAATCGCTAATTGCGCGAGCACAAGGCGTCTCCTCGTTGGTAAATAATAGAGCTCGGCATGTGATAAAGGCCTGCTGACGTCTCCGCAGATCCAAAGTATCCTAGACATCAGAACTGCAGACAGTAGCACTCGCATAAACAGTGCTGTGCATGATATTACGGAACAAGGAATGGAGGAAAACAAACTGATTAAACGTCTTACGCATCAGTCGACGCAAGATACACGGGCCATGAAGGTGATAGCATTCATCTCTGCAATCTTTCTGCCAAGCACATTTGTCGCCGTAGGTCTCCAATGGTGGTATTTTAGGCGCCAACGTTAACCTGGAGTCTTTGCGCAGACTCTCTTTGGTTCCAATTTCTTTGGATTCAAAACAGAAGCAAGTCATAGCGTTCTCGTTGTGGCTGAAAACGTTTGGATCTATGTTCTAGTTGCGTTCGGTTTGACCAGCCTAACAGTAGCGTTGTGGTTCTGGTACCTAAGGGCTCGAAGGGCCGCAGGTAAAAGTGCCTTGGACCCGGATATTGAATTGGTCATGGTGGAAATGGCCCGCTAATATGCTCCCTTCACAAGGAAGGTTGGGATGTCCCTCACACGTGCCATTGAAACGAAGACGTAAGACTTGGCTAGCTTTTCCATGTTTGGAGCAGAAAGGAGGATCTTGTGTCGTGCCCATTGGAACAGTTGACGATTCTTTTCCAATTTGGTTTTTTCATGCTCCGTTCACGTTGTGCTTCCTATACTTGAGCCCATCCGTTGTATATACCAAGTGAAGCAGATACGGTCTATGAAATCTATCTTCACTGGGAGTTGGTTCACAGGCGTTGTCTATTTCTTCTTCAGCAGTTTCGCCTACGTGCTATTACAGGACTTTACGACTCCTAATGTCCGTAGTCCACCAGGGAAGAAGGAAGATAACACCAGTTCTTTAAAAAAAAAAATGGTAAGGTCCATACCCCATACAAAATACCAAACTTACTAACAATTGTAAAAGCACAATCCACCTGAAATAACATGCTATCCTGAATTGATGCCGTATGATTCGAACGTATTGAATGTCGGCTTGTATTACAGCCACGTATGGGGATTATCATGGATATTCTTCATCTTGGTTTGCGACTCGAAGCTGATGTGCGTCATCTTTCCATTCTTGGAATACAACGTTAAATTTTCGCCGGAACGAGTCGCGATCTAGAAAGTCCGGGTATTAGCGACTACGCGACGACTATGCTCAGACTCAGATATGTACCGTCTGCTGTGCGAAAATTGACTTGAGTCTCCTGATTTGGGCTGAACTCGTGCGATGCGCGAACGTTGGGGGGAATTCCTGACTGGAGATTTATTGCACGAAGATGAACGTTGTGCAAGATTAACGACGTCTCGGATTTAACGTCTACTGTCGTGCCCGGGGAAACTTTACAAACAAATGTTAATGACAACCTATAATCAGAGACATAGGGCAAGTTTACCGTATGTTAAGTACAGTAAGTGTGACGAAAACATTGCTAGCTTCATGTTTAATTTGGACTGACGTGGTCCAGTGGCCGATTTCTCTGGCGAAATTCTTGGTACAGCTCTGTCAGTCCAAATTTGAACGACGCTATCGCTGATTATAGTGGGATCTTTTTTTGAGAACAGGAACCAGGGCCACATTGTCCGCTTTGAGAGTACCCAGAAAGATGGCAATAGTATGGAGAGACTTGAAACGCGTACGCTAGTTAGCAGTTTGCTGCATTTTCCATAACAATGAATGAATCGGATATGTGCCTACTGGCTAGGAGAAGTGAGCTTACTTATCGTGAACTAAGAATCCTGACAGTTGACCCTGAAATCTGAAGGCGTCTTAGAAATCGTCAGCGGCCGTTCCACTGCGAGTAGTTTCTAAGCCGGTCTTCTCACCAATTTTATTTCGCATCCGATAGGTATAGCTGTGGCTATTGTGGACCAAGACGGTAATTTTGGTCAAATCGTCTTTCGAAGGAAAGAAGCCGCAGATAATGGGGCTGTCTTTTATGTCGGATTTGTGCCCAACTCTCTCACGATTGACTGCTTCAACAATTAGTCGGAGCTCTCCGAGGGGGCAAGAAACTCTAAAAGGAGAAACCTCACGGTGAAAACCTTCTGCTACTATTTTGCCTTGATTGTCGTGGTGATAATGCGCAATGTATAGTACGGGGTTCTTGGAATCCTGACGGAAGTAAATCGCACACCGACGCTCCTCTTGATCCTCATCAACGACCCTGAAGAAGGCACATCTATCAACATTTATCAGTGAAAATGGCCAGTCAATACTGTCTCTCAACTTACAAGCCGTCAAGTTTCGGCACACTTGGCGGATATAGGACCCCTCCGCGATAGCAGCGCCATATATCCGGTTTCAATTGAGGCTGCTCTTCAGCATTTGATGCTTCACATATAAGGTCCTTGAGACTCAAAGCTACCTCCCCGGCCGAAGGTCTTTTGTCCCTTTGACCTTTTGGCTTGAACATGTCATCTAGAAGGTCGAAAAACTTGTCGGTGTAGAAACGTTCTTGCCAAAGGGATAGTTTTCCCCCATCTCCACTCTTGCTTTGCTCTACTAGCTTTAGAAGCTCTTTGAATTTTGCACGAACCGCGCCCTTCAAATGGCCATTTTTATGAAAATTTTCAGAGCCGGTAAAAGGGTCATCTTCAGTTCTCCGCTCAGTACGAAAACTTCGAAGCGCATCCCACTTTTGTAGATCTGAGACGGCAACTTCTAAAAGCATAGCAGCGAGGGACCAAATATCGTAAGCCGTGGATTCAATACCGGACTCGGGCGGCGAATAGTCCCTAGGTCCCTGGACCCTTTTCAGAATCTGATGTATAAGTAGGAGAGATCCAAAGTCGGCGAGCAAAAACCTGCCATCACGAACTAGTATGTTCGTTGGTTTAAGGTCAGAGTGAATGGTTGAGCTGTCTTCGCCGTGGAGGTGATCCAGAGCGTGAATCATGTCAAGGATCGCATTCCAAATTGATTTCGCATCCATACCTGGAAACGTATCCATTAATGCCCTTTCAAGTGTACTGTCAGCTAATGGAAAAACGATGTGAAATTTCCCCCGGTGGGAGAAAGCAGCCAAGGCTTTCATGAAACACGGATGTTCTTTCTGATTGACATGTAAAAGGTTGCTCCACTCCGTCCGCCCTAGGTCGAAATTTTCCCGGTCGAAGACTTTGGCAGCAAGAGGACCGAGCTGTGGAAGAATTAGCAGATCTCCCTGCATAGTATTTTGGCCAACATACCGGCGTCGCAGTCGAGCTCGAGGAAAAGTATTCCGGGAACGGAAGGGATATTTTATACACGGTTCCGAACTGTCCCTGACCAACGCAATCGCCCCTTCGAATTGGCACTTTCTCGTTCGGGGCATATTCTATTGGCTGATCGGAGAAGGTCATTGGCCTGATCTGAAACCTCCACTGCTCATGCAGGATGAGATGCTGAACAAGTTTGGCTTCCTCGATCGCATTCGACAAGAAGTTTAGATCTGGCTCAGTGAAAAAATGTTCTCCATCGAGCCTGACGCCTTTTGCGATAAAAATGCCGATCAATGCGGGTCTGTCAATTACTACCAGGAGGCAGTAGATCGTGAGATAGTCTTCAAGAAGCCTGTGACGATTTTCCTGGAACTCTCGGTCTCGATCATTGTGCCTGTGTATCGTGCGGAAATGACGGTCGCATCGATCGCAATTGCAAGAAAACAGGCCCCTGAGATCAAGGTCCTGAACAGTTTTTAGGATGACGCTTTTGGGATAGTAGTAGTCCTCTCCGATTAGTAGAGCGCGATTGCGGTAGAGAGCATCACGTGCCCGCTCGCAGGGCGGCGGCTCCATGAGGCTTTGACCTTGTCCAGTGACTCAGCGTTGGATTCATACATCAGGGGCCAGCCTCGACCGCGAAGAGTTTGGGGAGGGTTTGGGAAGGTCGGTGTCGCTTGGCCGTTGTTTTTGGTAGCATCCTTGGGGGCGGATGTTCAGGGCGCGGTTTTGTCCGCAGGTAGAATAAGCGGACAGGGTCGTAGTCAGATGCCTGGCACGCCGATTAGAGGGCGGACAGACGAGAATAAGTGGCGGTTTCGAGGTACCGCAAGCGCGTCTTGGTGTGAGGAACGTTGTTTCGAGGAAAGGAGGGGAGCTGATTGATAGACATGATGTTTGCCTGCGAGGTCATTACTGGATGACGAGTCGGGGCTTAGACTTACTGAAATACTGCCTTGGATGCACCATTTCCCTCCATCGCAACTAGGCGTTGCTGGCGATGTCTTCCATCAATTGCGCCTCGCCACCTGAGGCAAACACCATAGATCTTAAAAGTGGTTCTTGTGGACCGAACTGTGGGAACCAGATAGAAGTTCGGACCACCTCAGGCACACTAACCACCTCAGGCACGCTTGCCGAGCACCACCACACCATCTTTAAAAATTCATAACTTCTCTCATACAACACCGAATTGCTTCAAAAATGGATAAAATGAAAGCTGCGCTCGCAGCGCTTCGATCGGACCCCGAATTGTCAATTACTGATGCCGCTAAGCACTACGGTTGTGGCCGGAGTGGCCTCTCAAAGCGCTTTAACGGAAAGACCTCTGCACGCGACAATGCACTCAAAAATCAACAATTCCTCAATAGAGCGCAATCTAATGCGCTTATTAAGCATATACACAAGCTTACAGAGCGCTCGTTGCCTCCTACAATCTCTATGCTTCGAAATATAGCCTTTGAAATTAAGGGCGAAAGGCCTGGCCATAATTGGCCTACTTAGTAGATTACTGCGCATAAAGAAAAGCTAGGAACGGGCTTCCTTTGTACACTAGATGCAGAGAGGAAGAAGGCCGACTTAGAATAGTACTATTAAGAGTACTTTGCTTTTATAGAGGCTAAAATAGCTAAGTATAGTATTAAGAAAAAAAATAGCTATAATATAGATAAAAAGGGCTTTTTTATTAGATTTTTAAATATAATAAAGTAAGTTTACTCTAAATTAGCTTTTAATAAAGTAAAGGCTAAGCATATTTTATAAAATAGAAATAGAAAGTAGATTATAGTACTAGTAGCTATCTATACGAATAGCTTAGCTTTTTTACTATTTCTAATCTATTAAGCTATAATAGGAAATATATAAAACACCTAGCTTAATAATTTTAACCTAAATAAAATAGATTGCTTTTTTTATATTCTTTTCTTTTAAATAGACTAATAATAACCTTAGCTTTAAGTAGTTAAAAACTGTATTTAACTAAAAAATAAAGAAAAAAATAGGGGGTAATTAAAGGCTTTTTATACTTAATAGCTAGTAAAAAAACACGATGCAATCGACCCTACAGCATCTTAGAAATACAACCTAAGGAGGGCCCCTAGGGGCTATCCAAGGCCCTGCGAACAATTGTACGCAGCCTTAAAGCCCTATAAGTAGTGCCGGCGGCGCCGCGGTAGGTACACCGCGAATTGCGACCCCTAACGCGCAGCCGCCCTAGCAACAGCATTAACAACAACAACAACAACAACGCCAAAACCAACACCAAAACCCGAAGCCTATTAAGAACGTCCACCAGGACGTCCAAGACCTCGTCAACAAAGCACACGGCATACAAGACCTCCTGCGGAATAAGCCAATCCAATCCCTTAAGATAAATGCGATCGTCTAAACCCTCTACGACTTTGCAGGACGCGTCCTGTTCGGCCTCTCGGATACCGCGAACAACCTACGGCAGACACCATGGAAAAAGCTGATAAAGATGATGGAGGACACGAAAAAGGAGGTACACGCGTTGTTAACGCACGGGAAGACGTATGCCGCAGCAGCAGCAGCAGCAGCAGCAGCAGGCATAATACTATTAGCTATACTAAGCAGCATAGCTGCGTAATACAGGAAGGCAGCAGGAAATAGGCAGTATATAGGGCAACCTATAAATATCTATAAAATTACTATCTATATTAAGAATAATAATAAGCAAACTATAACTACAGCAAATATAAATATAACTATTACCTAGAAGCTTTAAGCAGCTAGACTACTAAATATAATAAAAATTAGCGGTATAAAAAAGCTATAAAATAGAAATATTAAGGTATATATTATAAATAAGGCTATAAAAAAAGCACTGCTTAAAAAAAGGGAATAGGTATAGGTGCTAGGTAAAATAGTATATATATAACTGCCTGCAGTACTAATAGAGGTATATAGAGTACCTAAAAACTTAAACCTAAAAAGCTAAATACTTAAAAATAATATTATTAGGGCTAATATAATAATTAACCTAGGCCTAGTTATTAAGAAAATAATATAGAAAAATAAAAAGGGTATTAAAGCTGCGCGAGAAAACCTAGGCTAATACGCTAGCTTAATTATTACTAGCGTATATATAGAAATAATAGTAGATAAAGCTATTATAAAGGAATTTATAATAAGTAAATACTTACTAATAGCCTTAAAATATAAAGCAGGCTTTATAGCTATATAGTGCTTTAAATACTAGGGCTATAGGTATATTATAAAATACTATAAAAAGAATATTTAATATATAGTATATATAGGGGAATATAATATAAAATAATATATAGTAATAGATACTAAAAAGTGCGCTAACTATAAGAAAAACCACCTAGTATATAGTGCTAAATACAGCGTAAGAAAAGGGGCCTAGCTATAGGCTATATTAAAAAGGTAGGTAATACTATACTAATATAATACTAATAAAAGGCCGAGCTTATATATACTCTAGGCCCTGCTAGAAGTATATATAACCTTAACCTAGTCTAGAAAAAAAAAGCTGCTAATAATAATATATATAAAGGTAGTATAGAACTAGGGCTAGCGCTAATAGTACTAAAAAAAGTAGAATAACTAAAGATATTTAAGTATTCTAATAAAAACCTAAGCTAGCTAAAGATTAACAGAATAATATAGACTGCTCGTTTAACACAGTAATTTTCCTATTTAATACCTTTTTAAATACTATATATTTCTCGCTTTATATTACTATTTTTATAGCCTCTAACTTAGTTAACTTAATTAATAATATATAGAAATATAGATAAACTTTTATAACTTAAAACTATTACCTAAATACTATTTTTACAGGAAAATAATATAAGCTAGCAACTACGCGCTAAAATAGGTGTAGTAAACACCGCAGATACTATAAATATAGTTTAATATTAGAATAACCTAGTATACTTACTATTATATAGTATAATATTAATAAAAGCCGTAAAACCTAAAAAAAGTTCCTAGAAAAAGTAAAAAAAGCCTAGCTTTAACTACTAGTACTAGTAATATAAAAGCTATAGAAAAATATATAGTAATAAAAGTATATATTATTATTATTAAATTCTATTATGCTAGTATAGCTTCTATTAGGGTTTATATAGCTGTTCTATCTAGGCTAGTTTATAAAAAGAAACCGTTTGCTGCTGTATAGTATTCGGATAAAAACCCTATTTTCTGCAGTATATAGCGCTAAGCGCTTTTCTTATTATTATATAGCTATTAGGAATATATAGTAGATTTATTATATCTACTATAGAATAAGCTATTATAATACGTTTTCCTAAATCTATCCGGGTTTTATAGTTATTTTCCTAGGCGCAGGTTAAGTTAATTCCGGAGTAGTAAGCTGGTTTAGGATTAGCGTAGGACGAGCTTAATTACCACCCCCCTATTCTCTCCGCATCACCCCCCTTTTCTCTTCCTGCCACCCCCCCTATATCTAGCCTAGCGCCGGCCCGTATTAATGTTGTTCCACCAATTATATTCACTCGCTTATTAGATACGTAAAACGGCAAGGCTATATAAATCGGAAAGGATGTATACACGAATCGCATAGGATGTATATATATACAACAACAACAGTCTATTCACTCCATCTACTCTAGCTAGTCTAGAAGCGGAAAGCGCCTAGATGGCCGCCTCTTAATTGCTGATTGAAAGGAACGCCGTATACACCATTGTACTAAGGTCTTACACCTAAAGATTCTCCTTCACTACGAACAGCCTCTTCCTCAGGAGTACACAGAGGGCCATCCTTAAGCGCTGTTTGACTGTCAGGGACTAAGGAAATAGAGCCCTGGGCCGCTGTTAGGGTGCCTACTTGTCCGGCGGAGAGGTCTGGTGCTGTATTTATGAACTGTACAGGATTGTTGAATACTACAATGGTCCTCTCGACCGCCGGCGTGTCTGTAGAGACACCTGCCATAGTAATTTGGCTGGCTGGTGTCGCAATCTGCATCGATTGTGTT